ACGCCAGTGTTTTTTCTATAGTTTTAATACTATTAAATTAATAGTGTGTTATACCACATAAAAAGTAATAATAATACCTAATGGTAGTTAAATTTAAATGAGTAAGTAGGTGCATTTTTAGATTTACAAATTTTAGAGTTCTTATTACAGACAAAATACCGTCAAAGAATTTAGTAGAAAGGTCAAAATTGAAGCAATTGCAAATGGGTGAATATATTGAGATGTCCCCCAAGTGAAAATGATTATTTTTTATTTTTATTGTTTTACTGTTAGTCTAGAATGGGGTTTTTGGGAAGCCACCAGGTCCAGTAATAATATAACATAAGTGGTTTTGCACTAATGCAAGAATTTTAAGAAATCATACATTGAAAATTAGAGCTTCACGGAGGATAGCTTCACGGAGGTTAGGATTTCGTATGTTTTTTTTAAACATACCTTTGTATATTTGAAATAAGTTATTGTATTTTTTGACAACTAAATATTTTTTAAAAATACAATTGTACATAGGTACATAAAATATTTATAAAAAAATCTACTTACTGAGATATTACACTTCACAAAACAGATTCACGGATGATGGAATCAATTTTTGTAACACCTACATAAATGGTTATAAAAATTATTTCTTTTAATTTTTAATAATATTATTTTATATTTGATTCGATTGCTTTGGATGTGTTTAATTTACTTAGTGAACTAATATTTTTATAGGATGCTTTTACTACCTCAGATAATTGAAAACATATAGGTTAACCTAGAAAGAGTAACAGTCACGGAGGATAGGTTTTAGACTTTTAAAACATTGTAAAAAATAATTAATTGCGGTTAAAAATCTGGAACCTGAGCTGTAATATCTACTTAATTATGAAAGATCAAAACACAATAAAAGTGTAGGTCAAACTCATTTAGTTTTATTAAATATCACGGGGTAACACCATCGTGTTTTCACCCAAATAAAAAAAATTAATAATGGAAAAAAAACTTGATTTTCTTTGTTAAAGAGGACAAGCTTAGAAAAAAGTAAACTTTGAAAATATATATTTTAGTTTCTATTAAGTTTAAGGATTTTTTTTATTTATTTAAATATTATGGATTCCATTTATTACCTAAGAGTTTTTAAAATAATTTTTTTGTTTTACCCACATATATTTTTTCTTGCACATTTATTAATGTTTTAGAATTACATTTCACGATAATATATTAATAAATGTAATGGATAAGTAAAGTATTTATTATGGTGGATTAAATGTGGTTTGTTTAAATTTATTGGGTCGGATATTCACGATAATCAGAAATTTATATCCCTATAGGGTCAGAAATTGTATTGTGACGGTGGGAATAACAATTTCCTGATTATCGTGGAATATTCTTATCTAATAAATATATAGACCAGGGTCGATAATTTTTGAAACCAAAAAAAATAACAGTAGGATGAAACCCATTGGAAAAGGAGAAGAATATAATAAAAATTAAAGGAAAAATAAATTACGGGCGATCTGACTTCGGGAAGTGGGTGGGGGGGGGTTTTAAGGGTAAAAAATGGTTTATCTCGATTTTCGTCAAAACTACAAGTCCTATGGAAAAAATTGAAATGGCAAAGTTGTAGGTAATAAAAGGATCTACAATTTTTGTTATTACAATTTTTTTACATAACCTCAAAATTTATGTGAAAAATTCAAAAAAACCAAGTTTTTGGTTTTTTATTTTTATCTTTTTCAAAAAAAAAATTTTTTCCACGAAATTTGGTGAAAACTTACCTTTTTATGTCCCAAATACAGTGTAATTTATTTGATTTGAAATATTTATTATTTCGCCTTATTTTGACTTAATATCAAAAAAGCACCCTAATTTTCAATTGAAAATTCTCGCGTCAAAATATCAGCTTTTTTCAAAAAGTCGGTGTGCTTTTTGTTCGTTGAAATCTCTACTTTCTGATGGTGTAAAAAAATATACATTACTATGGTAAATGTTCTCAGAAAATGCAAAAAATATTATAATGAATAACGAAAAAAACTCGAATTCGAAAATTTATTTTAATCATTATGTACAATTTCATCAAAAAAATGTGATTGTTGCAATTTTTTTTTGTTAAAAAGTTTATTTATTAAATTCTAATAACATTTATGTCAGAAAATCTCATAAAATATAAAAATACATGTAAATCATACTATTGAATTTATATACTTCATTCTGATTACGTTTTTCATTATAATATTTTTTGTATTTTCTGAGAACATTTACCATAGTAATGTATTTTTTTTTTACACCATCAGAAAGTAGAGAGTTCATCGAACAAAAAGCACACCGACTTTTTGAAAAAAGCTGATATTTTGACGCGAGAATTTTCGATTGAAAATTAGGGTGCTTTTTTGATATTAAGTCAAAATAAGGCGAAATAATAAATATTTCAAATCAAATAAATTACAGTGTATTTGGGACATAAAAAGGTAAGTTTTCACCAAATTTCGTGAAAAAAAATTTTTTTTTGAAAAAGATAAAAATAAAAAACCAAAAACTTGGTTTTTTGAATTTTTCACATAAATTTTGAGGTTATGTGAAAAAATTGTAAATACAAAAGTTGTAGATCTTTTTATTACCTACAACTTTGACATTTAACTTTTTTCCATAGGACTTGTAGTTTTGCCGGAAATCGAAATAAACCATTTTTTACCCTTAAACCCCCCCCCTCCCACTTCCCGAACTCAGATCGCCCGTAATTTATTTTTCCTTTAATTTTTATTATATTCCCCTCCTTTTCCAATGGGTTTCATCCTACTGTTATTTTTTTTCTCTTTTTACCATTTTTAAAGGCTTCTGCACTGGTCTAATATACCACCACATTTAATTAATTCACCATAATTGAATAAATAATATTGATAAAAAATATTTAAATAACCACTATATAATCTTTAACACCCCATATCAGAAACTTTAGCTTGCCACATTTGTACTTTTAATATGCCATATCAGAACCTTTACCGAGCCATATCAAACAATTGAAGGGTTCTTGTAAGTGCCTTTATTGACTGCCGTTACATGCTCGTTAAAGGTGAACGCGACATAATATGTACAGTTCCATTAGAGTTAGCGTTTATAGGGCCTTTAGTTCATTAAAGAGCCATCTATAGGCCTTTACAGTTGTGTTTGCTGGGTATGATCTGTTACAATATTTTATCAAATTTATTTAAAAACTAAATTTAATATCTTAATGTTATAGAGATATCTTAAATTATCTTGAACATTGTCTTTATAGGTAAGTTTAAAAGACACATGTATCTCAAACGGTTTAAGATATCTAAAAGCGATTTTATATAAAAATAAGCATATTGAGCCCATGATTAAACCCACAATTTAAATTGATAATTAAAATCCATAATAAGGGATTAAAATCCATGATTCAATAATTGTTAGTAAGAATTTGTTACTATTTTAATAATGCAGGCGTGTATTCGGGGTTGCCTACATACAAATTGAAATATCATAAATTAATAAAAAGAACCACAAATAATTATAATTATTATAATTATTTGTGGTTCTTTTTATTATTTTATATTTCAATTTGTATGTAGGCAACCCCGAATACACGCCTGCATTTTCAAGGCAACAAAACATATTGCTGTAGCGTATGATATGGTACGTCAAGCATACGCAGTGATGCCAGATTGGGCGCTTAATTGCTAACTGGGGATTTCAGAAAATATTTTAGCATTTTTTAAAAAACTTGTTAACTGCAATTTGGGCGATTTAAAAATTTTTTTTAGTTCTTTGACTTCAATATTCTCAAAATTTTATCTCTTTTGGCGATTTCTAGAACTGAAACTTTACCTGAAATCTACCTTCGAATTGCATCTACGTAAAGATATCACGAAAATTTCACTACACTGTTATAAAAATTAGATTTTTTATTTTGTAAAATTTTAACATTATTTTTTGTATAGAAAACTAGGGTTTGTAATTATTTTAACAAAGAAAAATATTTTACCGAAAGGTTTGTAAAGATTTTGTAAGCATTTTGTTAATTTCAAAGGTTACAGAATATTTTTTTACTGTGTAACAAATTATTTCGTTAAAAAAGTATACACGTGTATACACGTGATTTCAGGCAGTTAATCAAAACATTTCCCACTGACAATACGCAACAACAAGTTCAACTAACTTCAACGTCTGCAACATATGTTTCTGCTTACTTTATTCTAATTCGTAAGGTGTTCGTAACAACACTCTGGGTTTATAATATATTACCAGAAATCTGTTATTATTGTTATTCGGATTCCTTATACCTATTTAACGAGTGTGCGAAGTGCGAAGTATCCGAAAAAAGATGCCATCACTGGTTTTCTAACTGACATTAGGGGATACAGTGAAGTGGGACCCACTTAGTGGGTTAAAGTTACGAAATACATCAGTAAGTGTTGTAGTAGTTTTGACAATTATATTGTACCAAATTTCTTTAAAATTTTCAGGATTTCAGAATGGTTTGGTATTTAATTGTGTGTATGTTATTTTTTTGTTCATTTATGTAGGTATGTGTTAATTTGTTTGTTTAGGAAATTGATGAATAAAGCAACATTTCTTATCAAACTTCTTTTCATTTAAGTTCCCAATTTTCAACAAATACTTTTGTTGCTGGGTCTACAAAAAGGTTTGTAAAAATATGGTCCTCTTTGAAAATTACAAGAATTATGGTTGAATAATTGACAGAATTTTGTTATTAAATCTACAAAATGTTTTTTATAATTACAAACTACTTATTTAACAGTTGGTTGTAAACTTAACATAAAGTTATGTTGACCTGGATTAACATGAAATTTGGTTAATATTTGGTTAAATTAACAAATATTTTTTTACTGTGTAGCAAGAGAAAATCATAAAGAGAAGTACTAGTTTTATGGTAAGCTACGATGTTTCATTCGCAAGTTGGCGCCTTGACCTTGAGAAATCTGGCAACACTGTGCATACGTACGTAGAGCGTATCGTCAGCGCGCGCACGGGCCATTATTATACAGGAAAGACATTTTATATAGAGAAGTTTCACATAACAACTGATTGTCAGTGGCGTAGCGTTTGCCTTGTTGAATTTTCAGCAAATACGTGGCCCATTAATTATTACTTACCAAAATAATGATCAACTCGAGTTATAAAATAGATACAGAAACTTTAATATGCACCATAGAGAAAAACAGGTGCATATGGGACGTATCATGTGAAGAATACAAAAATAGGGAGATTAAAAACAAAGCATACAGGGATGTTGCAGCAGTGGTGATAAAGAACTTTTTAGGCTTAAGTGAAAGTGAGAAAAGTGAAGCTGGTAAGTGAACACGAATATGCATATAATTCAGGGTTTCAGAAAAGGTGGGTCAGTACCATGGAAGTGTATCCAGGACAGTGTTGCCAACCTCTTCGAACATTTTATCGGTAGATTCTTTGGAAATTTTCGGCAGATGATAAAATTTCGGTAGATTTAAATATATGAGTAATTTTTAGTTAAAAAAATACAAGTAATAAAAAAATATTTATTAAAAATAAAAAATCTAATAAAAACAATAACATATTTAACTTATGTTAACATTGTGTTAACATTAGTTAAATATTTATAAAAAGAAATGTAACAAAAAAAAAGAAAATTGTAAAAAATACAAGCACAAAAAAATTAATAATATACATAAATCAAGAGAACAAACACCGCTTACTTTTTACATGACATCGTAGTGCGACTTTTGTACAAATGATGTTGGTAAAATCATTTTTAATCACGTAAAAAATATATAATACTGTTGTCTAAGTATAATATTTTTATGCAATTTAATCTAAAAAAAGTTATTTATTTGGATTATTGCAAGATTTAGATTTTCGTAAGTAATATCATAAGGGCATTTAATTTTTCCGAAAAGAATCGAAAAACCACGTTGCTAAGTAATATTTTAACAAAAAGCATGAGTGCTGGTGGCAACAAAAATCCGAGTCGAAGAGGAGGATTTTTGCACCTGCACGAATGCATTTTGTTAAAAAATATTACTTAGCATTGTGTTTTTTCGATTTTTTTCACAGGAAAAATTAGATGCCCGAATGGTATTTGACAAGACTATTTCATGAGTAACAGTTAACAATTAAAATATAAATTGCAATTTTTGGTGACAACAGCTGTCAAGTTTTGCCGCGGGTAAACTCGAATAAACTGCTGACAGGTGCTGTCACACAGTTTTTTCACCTAGAAACCATTTGTAATTCAAAATTGCGCGTTTGTGATTGGTGGAAATTAAGACGAGGGAAATAGTCGGTAGAATATTGATTTTTTTTTGGTAGATTGGTAGAATTTTTCAGAAATCGGTAGATCTACCTAAAATTCGGTAGGGTTGGCAACACTGATCCAGGAGACTATCGCGCTTTTAGCGTATCGCAAAGATATGGTTTTAAAGTGTCGGAAAGTGGGGGGAAGACCTGTTTTTTCCCAGATCTTAAAAAAATTGCCTTTTTAGAGAAAATTCAATTTTTTTTTGAAAAATTTCCACATTTTAAAAAAGTAGCAATTAACACCCTAACATTATTTTTATTAAAAAAAAATCCTTTAGGTATTGCAGAAAAAAAACTAAATATTAAAATAAATTAAACCGATTTAAGAAAAAAAAAGTAAACGTTAAATGAGGTCTGTCAGAGCAAAGTCAACAATCTCCAATCAGACTAAAACTCATGAGTAAATTGAGATAATTGATTTTGGTATTTTAAATTCTAGATTTGTAATTTTTTTATATATTATATTAAAATATTGTTGTTGTTAGTCTAGTAGCCAACTACAAGGTCTCCAGGATGCATAGTATAGGTGAAATATATAATTATAAATTGGAGATTGCTGACTTTGATATGAATTGCTGGAGATTGCTCATTTTGTTGTAAACGTTTAAGGAGATTTAGAAAAATAAACAAAAAAATAATAGTTTTTTTTATTTCTTTAATGGGTATAAAATTTAACTATACAATCAATGTGGGAAAATTCTGAACTGGACCACATAAATCTGGAGTTTCTTCTAAATCTGGGACCAGGTTGCCTCGTGCAAAAAAGTTTTTATAGTACAGCTCATCTCTTCCCACTTTGCCCCGTAATGTTTTACTTGCAATGTTTTGACATTATCAGCCTTTTCTTGCTTTACCTTTACGTATTATTATGGTATAATAGCACAAAATAAACAAGATAACTTTTTTATAATTCTTAAAACAATAAAACGTATATATACCTATTTTAAATATATTTTTAAGTGCCATTTACTGCAATAGAACTTAACAGTATATATGTACCAGTAAAAAACACAAAATTAAATCTCTATAACATCAAATGTTAGGATATTAGGTGACACAAATGACTAATTTCTAATGGTGGAATTGGAGATTGTATATTTTGCTGCAAATTTATCAGTGGAAATTCTCGACTTTGCACTAACTGTCATTTTTAAAATAGGATATTAGGCAGGATTTAGCTCCTTTTGTAGCACATAAACTTTATCATCTTATAGATAATTAGTTGAAGTACAGTCTCCGCCAAAAATCTAATTTTTGACCAAAAGTGGAGATTGTCGGTTTTGCTATGACAGGCCTCAAATATACTGTCGGTTGGGTCATTTTTTGCAAAAAGAGTCCATTTAAAATATCCAATTACAAAATAATGATTTTTAAATTGTCAAATAAACCAAAATGTCAAATTAAACGAAAGTAATGTGCTATATGCACCGAAATTGTTTTTTTGCGGCCCGGTAGAATACTTACTGAATTAAAATAATAGGAATAAAAAATAATTTTATTATAATCATAATATTATGATTTTATCAGCGTCAGAAATTCACTTTTTTCTTGATATCAGTGTACGGATATCATACGTAAAATTTGGAAATTTTTGTTTTGAAAAAAATTAAAAAAATACAAAAGTAAGTTTTTCTCAAAATTTCCCGGTTTTTTTCCGCCGCCTCAATTTTTTCAAACATTTTAAAACCCCAGTCACAGTCACGTTTATATCGTGCCGAATTTAATGAACAAAATGCACGATACAGAAAATGGATTCAAATGTTTGAAAATACCGGTTCGACTGTAAAAGTGATATTTCGTCGAGGTTGGGTTGGGTTGGCCTCCGAGAAGCCCCGATCTTACACCCCTGGATTATTTCTTATGAAGATAATTTAAAAAGAAAGATTTATTGAATTTACAAATACCCCCTACCCTATCTGGACACCCTGTATAATATATTACATACAGGGTGGTTCAACAAAAACGAAACACACCTGTAAAGAGTACTAAATGTATTTAAAGAAAATGCAAATAATGATAAGATTGGACAATTTAACAAATTAAACAATACCTAAACAACTAAAAATTACCTGAAGGCAAAATACTAAATATGATGAAACTGAATGAAACTAATGAATCCAATCATTGTCTATGTTATGATGTCAACAGATAACAATCAATTAACCAATTAATGATTTTTTTCATAGGATAAAACATTAACTCTTAATGAAACCATTGTTAAAACATTTTGTACATTGGACCTAATCTACAGGGTTTTACCTAATAAATTGTTATCCTTTGAGGTGATGATAGTACACGCCAAATCAAGAAAGTTTTTTGTCTATAATTTTTGCATTATAACTACTGTTTTTTAATAAAAAAATTGGGGTTTTTTTTCACAAATCCAGGGACCCACTGGATGTCACTGACCTATCCCATATATCATCATGTTTTTACCTCTAAAAACAATAATATTATTCATCCAAGCCAATGTTATGATGTGGTTGGCTGTTAAAAGGCGCGTGGATATGTATTCGCGCCTATAAAGCTTCTTTGCGAAAGATCTGCATGACAAGTTATGTTCTAAATTCTCCCAAAATGCGCAAATACATTTAAGTCTAAAATCGAAAAGATGAGAAAACATAATTATGATTCTTTTTTAGTCCAGTTAATACAAAAGCGGTGGAAAACTGCAAGAGATGCATATGTGAGAGACCGAACAAAACTGAAGAAATCCAAAAGTGATGATGCTGCCAAAAGTATTAAGAAATACCTATACTTTGACATTTTGAGGTTTTTGGATTCAACCATGGATTTGAATAGGTAAGATTTGATTTTTGGTCGCCATGACATTATTTTGGGTATATTTTTAGAAGTGAATCCACTTGTGAGGTAAAGTCTGAAAACTGTGCAGAAGATTTTCTCGAAACGGTTTTGTCTCAACCCGAAAATGATGAAGAAATAAAAACAGAAAGTAATGGACAATTAGTTGATAATTTTACTCAACAAAAACGGAAGAAGGTGGAAACTGTGGATGATGAACTTGTTCGCTTTCTCAAGAAGAGTGAGGATGGCGACCGAGATCATCATGAAGCTTTTATGGTATCACTCTTGCCAACCTTAAGAACATTCAGTGAAACGCAAACACTTATGTTTCGATCGGAAGTATTAAGGATTGTGATGGAACTAAAAAATATTACACCTCGTCCTTATTTTCCGAGTGCTTACGTAAGTAACTCGGAGTCGCCATCGACATCTCGTTCTAATCTACTTTCACCGAACTCAATTAAGTAACTTAAGCTCTAGCTATACTTGAATCCACCATCTGTATCTTCTGCAAATAATGCAACGTTTCTACAAAGTTGTGGATTCATTTAAACCATAACAAGAATATTATATCATTTTTAAAATAAAATAAATTTTGTTTATTGCTTATTTATTACTTACCTGACCTTTTCATTCAAACCAGCACCTCCATTCGGTGGTGCGTAGAATTGAGAAATCCATGGGCAATAACAATAATATCACAGCAAACGGAAAATTTTAGAAGCGTATAGGATGACGCCACGTTTGAATATGGTTTTCTAAATCTCCCCACGGTATAGATTTGTATTCGTCAGTCGAGCGTTTCAATACTCTCCACAATATAGAGGTCGTAATTTCACTTTTGAACTAGTATTAATATAAAAATTATTTTATGCTTAAAAAAAACTATATACGACATGATTGTAATTTTTTTCATTTTATTAATTAATTAAGCTGTGTTGAATATTTTTCCTAAAGGAATAATTGCCAATGGGCCATTTATTCATTTGTTCGTAGATGCTACAATAACCTGCACTGGTGTGTACTTTTTCACCAGATTTAAATATTGCTGTACTAACATATACCAGTGGAGATAGTGAGGGTCTACCAACAGACCTCATTACTAAATTATTAAAGTTTAATACTTAGCATATCGATCATTTTTTCAACATAACCTCTGAAATTTTTAATACAAATATAGGTACTTTATATAATACATAAATATACTTAACATCATATCCTCTGTGCTTTACATACCTGAGTTGTTACGGTAAATAAAAATCAGACAAAGGAACCAAAGAAAGGAACTATTTTCAACAAAATCATATGCAGAAATGAGAAAATTCAAACTACTTGCATCCATCAAAAGATCAAAACTTCTTGCAATATTACACCCTCTTTTTATACTCTAAGAAATATTGACTAGAACAGTATTAGAGAGACTCCAGTTTCTATAACTTGGTAGAGTAAAGAGAAGTCGAAACCTTTGCGATATTGCATTGCGCTGCTCTTGTATAATTCTCGGGGACATTAACGAAAATCATTGCCAGTAAAATTCGAAAAGCTTGAGTTTCTATGTCTCTGAAGAGAATAGGAATCCGAATTTGCTGCACCATTGGACTGAACCCTTTTTTAATAATTTCTAGAGACATAAATAACTGCACCATTCGACAGGGTCGAGTTTCTACCTCTCTGTTGAATATAGAAAATCAAAACAATGTATCTTGTAAGACACCATTGAGTTTGACTTTAAATATAGTCGTGCATAGGTATAGAGCCGAAAAATATAAAAACAAAGCACGATTCAATACAGTTTTGATAAAACTTTAAGATTTAATATTCAAACGATTTAACTATCATGCTAACGGGCAAAATTGAAAGCACTCTACGATCTAATGTAAACATCCCTAAACATACTTGAAAACTGGTGTTATAGAAATTTCCTCTGTGTAAATCTTGCAAAGACACAGTTAATTTTCTTCACCAGGAAAAGAAAACTTGTCTCTCTTAATATTCTCAAGTTATTTGGTACCTGTTTGGAACTTCTAAACCAAGTTACGTACTTGGCCTCCTGGCAGTGTAGAAGGACCCCAGAGAACCATGATTTGGGAAAGAAATTAGTCAACTTTTCCCAATCAAGTTTGGTGTATGATATTTTACAGTTATTGGGGTTTATTTGGACATATAAATTGTATTTTCATTAAGTTTGACCAAAAATTTACATACAAGGTGTGTTCAGAAAATATCGGGAATTTTCGTTTTTTGAAACAATTATTTATTTATTCGTCTACATTAATGTTGTCGCCTGTCAAACTAGTCCCATTGGATATTATGCACAAGTGCCAGCTCTTCTTCCAATACTCGAAACACTTCTAAAACTCGATCTTTGGGATAGCCTTTAGTTCTTTCAGCGATGCGCTTTTAATGTCATCTATGCTTGCAAAACGATGGCCCTTTAAGGTTCTCTTTATTTTTGGGATAAGGAAAAAGTCAAACAGAGGCATGTCTGGCGAATATGGAGGCTGGGGCATCATTACAGTAGGTATTTTTTGGCCAAAAATTTTGTTCAAAATTTAACAATTTTGGAACAAATTTTGCTGCCACGCGTTTCATACCCAAAACATTCGAAAAAATTTCATGGGATGAGCCAATCGATATACCAACATCATCAGCGACTTCTCTAATGGTTTATAACCATTTCTTCCACTTTTTCCATGTTTTTATCGGTGGTTAATGTGCTTGTGCGTTCGGGGCGTTCGTCATCTTCAACGTCTTCACGGCCATCTTGGAAACTCTTATACCACTTGTAAACTCTTGTTTTACTTATAGCCGATTCACTATAGGCCTTTGTTAACATTTCACAGAATTTATTTCATTTTTTGTACCTTTATACGTAGTTTATGGTATATTTTACTATTATATAGGTAACTGAACTAAATATGCTTAACAGGAATATTCCTAAATGAACTTTCTATAGCAATTACTTTCTTAACATTCTAAGCATATGTTTAGAGTAGACTAATTTTTACCACTAAAACTTTGCACCTTCTAAGAACCTGCCTATAGGCCAGTAAGAATATTCTTAGGATCATGCTATATATAGTGTCTTTTAAGCATGTTCTTTAGAAGAAATATAGCATGATCCTAAGAATATTCTCACTGGAAGTTTTAAAAAACATTCTTGGAATAAAGTGTGCTATCAGGGCGACGTACGTCGTAGATCCCAGTGATTGTTCCGCCATCTAGCGACAGAATTAGTTTGGAATACCAGTCCAAACTTTCAATCTGAATTAAATATATCATATTGAATTAAAAATATCTTATTTAATAAAATAAAAATTCAATCGAATTATATCTCTTGATATTTTTAATACATTTGTAAATGTCTCCTATGATATTTTTAAAAATAAAATATTTTTTATCTAATTAAAAATATCACTTTAGAATAATTCCTCAATAAAAAATAAAACGGGGCCCCATAGATCTGGAAATAACACTAATAAAATTATTGTCAACTAACCAATTAATTAATTGTTGTAATAAATTATCACTGATAATTATAATTGTTGAAACAATATGAACAAATTAAGCCCATTACTTACGCAATGTTTACGCTTTTATATTATATATTTAAATTTAATATATAGTATATTTTTAAATATAAAATGTAGAATTTTTTTAACAATTTTCTGGGATTCCTGGAGGTCTAGATCCTCCGAGGTGGGACACCCTGTATGCTCAGAATGCCTATTTCATTATTATTATTTTTTCTACATAAAACATGTCTGGTGAGACTTAAAAAAAATGATTTTAAACGTTTTATTTTTTCTAATAATTTGTTGCTACTTTGTAATATTTAACGATTATGTACTTAATCACCTTTATGTCTACACCATGGACTTTAATATGCTATAATTAATTAATTAATTGAATAAATAAGAAAAACTACAAGTAAACGCAATTTACATAATTATTTAATTTTAGTAATTATATAAATTAACATTGTTTACAATTTGGGTGTATACTCTTAGCATTTGCAAAGTAATAGTCGTTTTTATAATTCTGAACAATGTTTAGGTTAATACTTTTGTGCTGTTTAGTGGTTGCAAATGCTGTGCATTTACGTAAGTACCTATACATTTTTATATTACTTAAACCCCAAAAAATAATTGCTTAATATCTTTTCAGCGGAAAACTTTAAATTATGTTCGAAAAAAGACCCCGATTTCGGAAACTGTGTAGGAACTAACATGATGGACGCCCTGTCAAAATTAAAAGACGGTAACAAAAATTTGGGTGTACCTTCCCTAGAACCTTTTTCCATTGACCGAATGGAAATCCCCGGTAACGAAGCGGCTTCAGTAAATCTAAACCAAAACTATAAAAGCGTTAAATTTTACGGCATGAGCCAAGGAATCGCCAAAAATGTCAAGTGAGTTTTTTGGAGAATTTCACGTAATACACCCACAGGCAAAATAATCGATCCACACAAATTTTCGATGAATTTCAATCGCAAATAACTTTTTTATTTGATGTCGGATTTAAACGAATATTAAAGAATATTGTAGATAAATAAATGGAGAATCGCTCACATTTTAAAAAATTACTAAAAAATAGACGTACGTTTATAATATACAGGTTTAAACAAAAAGATGTTTTTTACCATAAGTTTAAGACACTTTGTAGAGTGGCTGAACCGTATATTGTTCTAAATTAAGTTTTAACTATCAAGTCACATCTATTTTTAACAGTTTTGTTTTTGGTTTACCTTGATATATTTATTTTTGTGGAAAATATGGATTTTTTTAAAAAAACATTGCAATTTTTAATATTTTCCTGTATGAAGAACTAAGGTTGCTATGGTCCATCCATAGCCTATGGAGGATGACAGTGACAGTTTTGTTGAATCATCCCATACTTGGACATGTCATGTACATCTTTCAAAAGCTATCAAATTGTTTTTTGTAAATTAATGTGTTAATTTTGAGGTGTCTTCTTACTTTTAAAAATGTCTCCGACTGATGTTGCCCTTTGTACTTTACTTCTTGTGACGTTTAAAACACTTGCCACGTAATACTGTGACCGTCAATCCTGGATTAAATTAATGGCTCTGGCAACATCAGTCGGAGACATATCCATTTTTTAAAGTAAGAAGACACCTCAAAATTTAAACATTAATTTGCAAAAAACAATTTGATAGCTTTTGAAAGCCGTGTATGACATGTCCAAGTATGGGATGATTCAACAAAACTGTCACTGTCATTCTCCATAGCCTATGGATGGACCATAGCAACCTTAGTTCTTCATACAGAAGAATATTGGTAATTGCAATGTTTCTTTTAAAAATCCATATTTTCCACAAAAATAAATATATCGAGGTGAATTAAAAACAAAACTGTTAAGAGTAGATGTGACTTGATAAATAAAACTTAATTTAGAGCAATATACGGTTTTGCCACTCTACAGAGTGTCTTAAACTTATGGTAAAAAACATCTTTTTGTTTAAATTTGTATATTCTAACGTACGTCTATTTTTTAGTAATTTTTTAAAATGTTAGCGATTGTCCATTAATTTATCTACAATATTCTTTAATATTTGTTTAAATCCGACATCAAATAAACAAGTTATTTGCGATTGAAATTCATCGAAAATTTGTGTGGATCGATTATTTTGCTTGTGAGTCTATAAACCTGCGTGTTTTTAGCAAATTTATTTAAGAATACGATATTCAAAAACAAAATATATTAACTTAAATCGTTTTAGAGATATGTTGAATTTTCTTAGCAATTGTTTTTTTCGAGATAATTTTAGAAAAACCATACATCTCGAAAACGGTTTAAGATATCGATGACTTTCTGCCAAAGTATCGGAAGCAACATAACTAAAATTTCGGGAATCGAAAACATTTTTTGTCTTAAAGACTGTTTCAAATTAAATATAGCCTAAAGGTTTTATAACAAGTAAATAGCTTATAATTATAGCTATTTACTTGTTATAAAACCTATAGGTTATATATGGGTTAAAACAGAGTTTAAAATAAAAAATGTTTTCAATTCCCGAAATTTGAGTTATGTTGCTTACGATACTTTGGCAGAAAGTCATCGATATCTTCAAGCGGTGTTAGCCGTTAAAAGTAATTTAAAAGTATTTAAAATATTACAAAACTTTATCTCAAAAAACATGTTTGGAACTTTTACATTTTTCGAGATATGAACAAGCAATCTGTGGCAATGTTGTATCAAATTTATATAAGAATACGATAGTCAAAACCAAAAAATATTATCTTAATTCGTTTTCGAAATTTTATGAATTATCTTACCCATCCTTCTTTCGAGATAATTTTATGTTAAAGAGATTATTACCGTTAAAAATAATTTCAAATTATCAAAAATGTTGTAAAACTTTATTTAAAAATACATTTTTGCTAGCAACTTTTACATTTTTCGAGATATGAACTTACAATAGTCAAAATCATCTTAAGTCGTGTTTGAGATATCTTAAATTATCTTAACCATTGTGTTTTTTGGGATAATTTAGAAAAGCATGCATGTATCTCGAAAACGAATTATGAAATATTAAAGTGGTTATATAAAATCATCTAAAATGTTTTAAAACATCCCAAAAATGTATCTCAAAAAACAATTTTTGCTTGTTACTTTTACATTTTTCGAGATATGAACTTGCATTTATTTGTAATGTTTTAGCAAATTTATTTAAGAATACGGTAGTCACAACCAAAATATATTAACTTGATCGTTTTAGAGATATCTTGAATTATCTTAACAATTGTTTTTTTCGAGATAATTTTAGTGTAAACACTATGTATCGCGGTTTTCAACCTAAAAGCATTTTGAAATTCTTTAAAACGTTGTACAACATAAAATGTAAAAACCAAAATTTATGACCTAAGTAATTTTTAATGAACCTTCCCTAGTAGAAATTTTACGTTGAAACAACGTTTTTCCCACGTTGGCAAAACCTAACTTTTATGTATAATTTTATGTAGAAATGTCCCGGTTTATAACATTACAAGACAACGTTAGTTTCTAATGTTATAAAAAACGTGGGATTTATGTATTATATAACGTTGGAAATACGTGGGATTTGTGTATTATACAACGTGGGAGATATGTGGGTTTAATGTATTATAAAACGTTGGAAATACGTGGGATTTGTGTATTATACAACGTGGGAAATATGTGGGTTTTGTGTATTTCGGCCTTATTTTTGAAACTATGACTTTAAAAATTGTATTGCATAGTTTGATTTTACTTTTATTACTAATGTTACAAAGGATAAAAATTTAAAAAAAATCCACATTTAAAAATTTGTCGACGGGACTTACAATAATTTTATGTTGTTAAATGTGTGTTTTGGAACGTTGTTGCAACGTTTCTAGCATACAAATCTACAACGTAGTTTGAAAGTGGGTTTTGTGTATTTCGGTCGTATTTTTCATATTATGACTTTAAAAATTGTATTGCATAGTTTGATTTTATTTTTATAACTAATGTTACAAAAAAATCCACATTAAAAATTTTCTCGACGGGACTTAAAATAATTTTATGTTGCTAAATGTGTGTTTTGGAACGTTGTTGCAACGTTTCTAGCATACAATTTTACAACGTAGTTTGAAAGTAGGTTTTGTGTATTTCGGTCTTATTTTTGATATTATAACTTTAAAAAATGTATTGCAGAGTTTGATTTTACTTTTATAAATAATTTATTATAAAAAATTAAAAAAATCCACAATAAAAAATTTGCCGACGGTACTTAAAATAATTTTATGTTGCTAAATGTGGGTTTTGGAACGTTGTTACAACGTTTCAAGCAATACAATTCTGCAACGTTTCCCAGACAACGTTTTAACTACGTATTTACCACTTAAAATCATACATTCAAAAAACGTTTTCATGCAACGTTTTAACTACGTATTTCCCACTTAAAATCATACACCCAAGCAACGTTACGAGTATAACAATTTTTTATACAAATTGACAACGTTGTCTGAATGTAGGTAAACGTTAATTTCTACCAGGGTTGCATTAGCTTTAATATGGGTGATTGTATTTAACACCCAGTATATCAAAAACTGTTTAAGATTTTGCTGTTAAAAGTATCTTAAAATCTTTTTTCTACTCCCACCTTTAAAACGCCCTTTATCGTACATGTTTCCATGACACTAAGTGACCTTTTAAATACACATTGACAAGTTGTGGCTTCATGGCGCTTTAGTCACGGGCTGAAGTTAGTTTTAAGTTAGTTGACAGTTGTCAAATGTCATACAATCATTACAATAAAGTGCCTTCCTTGTAAAATAATACTAAATGTGAAAATTATTTTATTATCTCAATACAAAAGTATTAAATTGTTTCTCAACGCCAATATTTGAAAAGTTTGAACATTGTACTTACCTTTTAATTTCGACGGCAGTAAACTATAACTTAAATTCGGACACGGACTCCACTGTAAAGTGCTCATAAAACATTTTCTTTACTCTTACTTTGAAAAACTGTCAATTTTCAAGAAATACATTTCGATTTATAACCTTTATAATTGTATTTGTAAAATATGTATAAAAATTTGACATTTGACGGTGACACACAGATTCCCCAATTGTTTCATAGATGGCGCTCTATACAAATTTTTGATTTAAATCATTTTAAGATGATAATAAGTATTTGTCGTAGAAAAAGTATAGTATGCACCTCGTTTATAAACTTTTCTATACACTCATAATTTAAGCACTCTCTCGCACGCTCGCTCGTGCCTAAATTAAATTCGTGTATAATATGGTGTTTATCAAACTTGATACATAATATACTATTAAAAACTCTTTGAACATTGTAAAATTGTATATTTAAAAATAAGCATAATAAAACAATGGTTTTAGGATTGATTTGGAAAATTGTCACTGGAGTTTTAATGCTATTTCTCCAAAAATCCAGATGTTGTCTGAATATGAAATGAAGGGGAAATTATTGGTTTTCCCTATTAATGGTTTTGGAAAAAGTAACACTACTATGAGTAAGTTTTTTATGACGAAAATAAAAATAACTATTAATTACATTTTGTATCTTCTAGCTGATCTTGACGTAAGGTACGAAATTGACTGCTCATATAATGAAAAAAATGGCAAAAAATACATGAAATTCGACAAAATTAAGATGAACATGAAACCTGGAAAGGTATACTTCAATTTTGAAAATCTATTCCCAGGAAATGCTCAGATGAGTGCAACTTTGGATAAAACAGTAAATGAAAATTCCGAAGTCGTCTTTAATGATGTAAAAAGTGCTTTTGAGGAGGTTTTTTCACAGATTTGGAACAACTTGGCTAATAGTGTATTGTCCAAAGTACCTATCGACGAAATTTTCCTCAACTAAATTTTTGTTTAATTTTTTATTATATTTTAACCCCCAAAAATATAGGTTTAAAAATAAAAGACATTCTTCATAAAAAATTGTTTTATTTTAAACCAAAAATAAGCGGATTAAAAAAAAAATAACGTACACTTTAATATTATGTTAATACTTAAAAAAAAATGGAGATTCTTTAGTTGGTATCCATTGTGTCTTCACCAACTGCAAAAAATAAAAAGAATGTTTACAATTTCCGTTATAACTTTGTGGTTTCGAAAGATACGGACTTGAGACCTTTTTCAATGTGTTAGCAAATTTATCATGTATTAAAAACAAAATTGTATTATCTCAAATCGTTTTCGAGATATCTCGCATTATCGGTATCTCAAAAACGGTTCAAGATATCTTGAAGTTTGTTTCTTAAAATTATGAAATATATAATTTTTTATAATTTTAATTACATATGTCTGACCTAATAATAATTGAATAAAAGTATGTCAAGCATAAATTTAATTCAAATTTAATGGAAACTGATAGGAATTATTATTATATCTAGGCATAATAATAATTATATTGTATGATACATTTTAATTTGATACGCATTTATTTGTAACATTTAAATATTTTACCCGACGAATATTTTTAAACCTTTTAACTTATTATTTTGTTAGTTGAATTAATATTTGCGTAATTTAAATTTGGTCCATTTTTATTTTGTATTAGGTTCTTTATTTTTTTAATTTAAAATTTATATTGGAATTATTGTAAGTCTAAAAACATTGTTGAACATTTTTTTTAAACAAGATTATTAAACTTTTATTTTATTCTATTATTTTGTACACATAAAATTAATGCAATAAATTTTTATGTTACACTTAAAATAATGACAAATAAAAAAAATTATATAATTAATTTTATCTTCTTCTTCTTCATTGGTGGCCAAAGGCCTTAATGGTCTCGGTTTCAATGTACCACTTTGACCAGAAGCAAGTTTTAACGTCTGTGCGGTTCACGAAGCCATCCACCCATAGACACGTGAATTTTCCAATCTTGGAACATCCACTAAATCTTTTGTACAAATCGCAAAATACCTCGCTAAAAGGTCAAAGCCTGCGATATTGTTCAAGAATACAGGTATATTTCTATACCCGGAATCCAATTTTGTCCATCCTGGGTCAAAGTCAGCTATGTTTCATACTTTTTCATCGAGCGATGGCCCAGAGCTGCGAATGCAATGCACTACACACGAAAGACAAAATCGAACTCTAATTAATTTTATGTCTACACATAAAATTAATTTGGCGCTTTGGGAACACGGCAGGATGTGGCAACTGCAGTAGTTCAAATGCATAGTAGGTATTTATGCGTAATTTATCTACGTCAACTTTGGCGCCAATATGCGGAGAGATTCGGGTTTTCTTTTTCGGGGTTTTCTATGTTTGAAGGGTACACAATTTTTTGTATTATGTTCTGTGTGTATAAAAAAGTGAGAAATAAATTAAACATACACACTATTTGATAATAAAACTAACTAATGAATTTGCCTAAAATTGAAGTAAAAAATGCAATTATGACATAAATTTAACTTCGACTTTGAATAACTTTTGAACTCGTTGGTTTATCGAAAAATGATAGGAGACATTTTTTGTAGAGCGTTCAATTTCCCACAAGAATACAGGGTGTTATGTAATTAATGTTATATATTAAAATGGGTTGTTCCTTAGGGTCCATAAAGAAGCACCTGAAACTTTTTTTTTCTAAATTCCAAAGACTAAAAATAATTTATAATAACCTTTATCCTACCAAAAAGTACGCCACTGATCGACTAGGAACTTAAGACTAATCTGGTTTCCTAATTTAATTAATTATGTTATGGTTGGTAACAACCAAATTCTGTCAAAAAAGTTGACAAACATTGTTTAAATTTAGCTTAATTACAAAAATGACAAAATTAACAATGGAAATTGTCAATATGGCGTTTTTATTAATTGTCGGTTATGTCATTTTTGTACTGAAGGTAAATTCAAACAAAACTTTTATGACAGAATCTAGTGCATTTCTTTCAAATTTTAGGTTATGTGCTCAAATTGTAAATATCTTAACTAAGGAAAGTGCTTTTGAATTTATTTACACAAATTAAATGTTTAAAGTTTAACCTGTGAAGAAAAAAACCCATGAAAAAATTAATTTTGTAGTTATGGATTTTTTTAAATAGGTACTAAATTTTCTAATCATTGCTTAAGCTATTAGCTCGATGAGTAAATAAATACAGAAGGGTATTAGAGCTTTAAGGGCATACAACTTTTGTATTTATTAAGTTTTTATTTATTTTTTTGCAAGAAAAATTTTTAGTAACAATTTTTTACATCTCGTCACCTGAGAATTATAGTGTTCTATCTGCATTTTCTTTTTTTAATTCAGGTTAGTCTTGTTTTAAGTCTTAAAGATGCATATTGATCTATCTATTTATAATTGGGGTAGAAATTGTACAGTTTAAGGCTTAAACTGTACAATTTCTACCCCAATTATATATAGATAGAACAATATGCATCTTTAATACTTAAAACAAGACTAACCTGAATTAAAATAAGAAAATGCAGATAGAACACTATAATTCTCAGGTGACGATCTGGCAACGCGCAGCTACTTTCTTGGTTGGTATCTATGTACTTACAGAACACAAGTGTGCAGAGATAAACCAAGTGTGTAACCAGTGGCGTATCACAAAAAATATAAAAAATTTCTAATGCATATTTTTTCTTTATCTTTGGAAAAATATTTTTTTAAATATTTTTCCTTTACTCCTTATGTCAAAAGGTATTCAGTATTTTATTATATAACATTAATTACATAACACCCTGTATATATGGCGCTTAAAAATCTGTTAATTAGTTTGTGAGCTAGAAAATTATAAAGAAACAAAACAAAATTTCAAATTTTATTTAAATGGAAAATAAAAATTCTCCATGCGCGACCTCTAAATATTAAAATTAAGAGCTCCGGTTTTTACATGAATCTTTTTTTGGTACCGTGAACATTTCAGTGCGAAATTTCAGAAAAAAAAATAGTTGATTATTTTGAACCAGCCTAATAAACATATTTAAAAAAGAGTAACTTCTTTGACATAATTAATGTATTATTTTCCAGTGCAATTTATTTTTTAAAATATTAATATTTAACTTAGGTATCCGATTAAAAAGTGACAACAACACAGTTTTAAAGCGAAACTTACGTTCGTTGAACATGAACTCTTGCTGGTACTCCCTCAGGAACTGCACCGACCTGGAATCGTCGCTGAACAGTTGGTAGGCCCGTTTGATGTCTTCGACGTCGATTTCTTGCGCCTTGCGCTTGCGCGATATCAGGCTGGACGTCATGATCAGTTGCATGCCGTACCGCAAAGACGTTTCTTTGGCTATGCGCGTCAGCACGCCCAGCGCGTTCTCCGACATCTGACAGTCTTCTTCTTCGCAACGGATGCTGTGTGACAAAATGCATTCAACGTCAAAATGATGGGCATTTTTTTATAATAATTATAAGCTTTATTAATAGTGTACTAAAGTTTGTTGTTGACTGCGGCAACGTTGCAAATTTAGGGTTTTGGTTGGTAAATACAGTTGTCAAGTTGGTCGCATTGATTAAAACAAACTAAGCTAGTTATAAATCTAATTGTGGTTATGTATAAATTATTGTAGGTTACATCGTGCAGTTGTCAAGTTGAGTTGTCGAAATTCGTAGTTAAAAATGCAATTAATTTGGCTTTGGTGGTGCTTGGATGAGTAAAATCATATAAAAAAAGTAGTTAAATATAGGTTGCTTTACGGCCCAGAAGAGAAAGTATTCCTAGCGGATAATAATCTTCGCTTTGAAAAGAATTTATATAAAAGAAATTAACATTTTTTGTGAACGTAAATGTTGTCCAATGGTGAATAATGTGAAAATAATGTGTGATGTAATATTTGTAAAACCAAATTCGTTACTTTTTTACTCCAGAAATGTCCATAAGGCGATGTACTGTTTCTTCCATTGTCGCATTTGGCATAATTTCATCAAAATTAAGTTTTGCCTTCAAAAGAGCTTTTACATTCGAATTCGTTGCTATTATTTTTGGCATAATTATCTTTTTACTTATAATTGACAAGTAAATTATCAATAATAAATATTATTGTCAATTTGACAGTGTCAAAGTATTTAATTAAATTCTTTAGCAGAAGTACCATTTTTAAATACTAAAAGTCAAACTGGCATAAGCCACCAACCTAACAAAAAAACACGAGTCCAGATAAAACAAAGTTAACTGTATTTAAAAAAATACTAAAAATAACTTAACTATAATAATATTATATTGGCACTACCTTATAAACAAATAAACCACCGTTCGCAAATGTCATATTTTTTTTTTGAATATTCCTTTATTATTTTATTTAACAAAATAAGCAGTTTTTCTATGTATATGAATTTATTTAAATAGTGTCAAGATATTATTGTGCTTTAGTTTAAGTTTAAGTGTTTTTTTAGATTTTAGAAATTTTTTTAAAACTGATTTAAATCATTAGTTAAAATTAAAAAAATCACTTGATTTAAATCAGGCGAACCCTGTTGAAAACTAGGCTAGGCTAAATATGGAAAATAGGCAGATTTATACTTATTTAGTTTTCATAAACAACCTATTTATTACATCGACACCTCTTTACCTTCGAGAAATAATTAACTTTGGTAGCTATGTACATAGACATATTGTACGTCAAAACAACTCTACTGGTTTTTAACGCTGTTTTAGCAGGGTCGCACCTAATATTTATAATCCCCTCAAACCAGTACTTAAAAAACGGACTCCCAACTCTTTTCACAGAAAAATTAAAATATATTTGCATACAAAGCAGAGTTTGCCTTTCTAAAAAAATAATATATTTCTTGTTTTTTTTTATAAAGAATTATAATTGAATTGTTTAAAAAATATTATTGAAATTGTTTTATTTTTAATTGTTGGCGCACTACTTTTATATTTATTTTTTGTACTGACACTTGTGTCTTCTTGTTTCACTAAATTGTAATACATCGAAATTTTTGTAATTCTTGTAATTCATGTTTGTCATCTATTATTTAATACTTTAAATTATACTTTATTTATTTATGTATTTATTTATTTAACATCCAGATACACGTGTACAGAAAATAATTTCTGCCTATTGGAGGTAATAAAATTACCTGTACATAGGTCCGGTACATAACTTAAAAACTAGGATCTTAAAACTAAACTAAAACTAAAATAATATATAATATTTTCATTATCATTGCGAAAACAGTTTATAATTCCAACATTTAATACTATTAAGTTAACAATGAATTATTGGTACAGTTTTTGGTAATCCAGTCTTTTAACATTTGTTTAAACTTAAAAGTAAATTTGTTTTTTGGGATATTTACTACTTTGATGTTATTAGGTAACATGTTGAAGATTTTTATACCATTGTAGAGACTAGTTTTTTTACCAACAGCAAGCTTGACTTTTGGCAGTACAATACTTTTAAACCTAGTTGTTTTATTACTATTTTTGTACATAACGTACAAGTTATTAAAATTGATAAGTATGGTTTTTAAATAGTAATTTTGATAAATATTAAGGTGGTTGTTACAAAACTGATCATTTTCCAGAATTACCTTTAGTACCCTTTTCTGCAAGTTTAAGAGTGGCAAAAGAGCATTTTCATAAGCAGAGCCCCATGCGGCAATTCCATAAGTGGCAAGGCTATTAAATAGACCATAGTAAATTACCAACAGTGATTTTGTGTTTATACTATATTTTATACTTTAATACTGTTTAACTGTTGTAGCTTTTATCAAATAAAGACGTTTATTCTTCCTTTTGTACCTTCCTAATTTTGTCAAAAATAAATATAATTTTTTTTTTTGTGAGATATTAAAAACCTAACTGTATAAATTTACTATTTAATGTGTGAACCGTAATGGTTTGCTTTGCATTTGGTTGTAAAAGTTATAGTGGCAAGAAAGAGACTGAAAAAGCCTTTGACAGGTAAAAATCAATATTATTAATAAAAACCCAAAATTCGCTTTGAAGGTAATAAAGATTTATTTAATTTAGTAACTGTTAAACCAGTTTCTAATTAAACAAATATGCGGTTCTTTATTCAGAATGATATCATTTATAATTAAATTATGCATGAAACTGTACGCAGCTTGGTTCACACTTTCCAACGACGCATCCACTATCTTTTATTGTCTAAGACTTTGACAGTTTCCAATATTGTTGTCATGATGATTTGGAATTGCCTCTTTATTGTCAGGCAATGTTGCCATTTAAAGAAAATATATCCTGTATATTTTTAAATAATAAAGATAGACTTTTTTAACAATTTTTTTAAATAATTAAAAATTAAAGTGAATAGAAAACGATTTTTCAATTTCAAAATTATTATTAAAGATTTGAGAACTACGTTAAAATTGATTTATCACATATTTTATATTGGAAAATATGTATAATACATTTATTCCTTTTTTACCTTTTTAATTTTTCAAAAAAAAACATAAATTGTATTTTTTTGTGAGATATTAAAAACCCAAGGGTATAGATTTGTGTGAACCTTACTGTCAGTGTCAACTTAACAAGTTTTATTGTGTTTTTACTCGAAAAAGAATTAAAAACGTCGGTTTTAATATTAAAATACAATGGTGGTTAGTTCTGCATTTGGTTGTAAAAGTTATAGTGCCAAGAAATACAGGTAAAAATCAAAGTCATGTAGATGTGTCAGTGTGTGCGTGCGTAAATCGATATTAGTGAGAGTGGGGATGCGTGATGGTGACGTCATATTCGCATGTGTTCGTGGCGTAAGAAATTAGTGCATGTGCATAACTGAGAAATATAGAAATAAATCAATAATTTCTTCACAACCTATTTGATATTTGTATAAAATGATGAAGGGGCTTGGCGAGTAAAAAACGGTAAGGTGGATGAACATTTTTGAAACTTTCTTATAATTTTCATATTTCCCGCACTAAACTTAGATTATGAAATTTCCGACTTTTCCGTACAGTAAAAAAAAATTTTTTTGAAATATTTTAGTTCAATATTTTCTTTCAAAAGTATTAATATCAAAATATTTAGTGTTGCCAGATGTTAAAAAAATTGCACTAACCTCAAAATCTCCCTGATCTCCTTCTCATTGTATGGAGAAGTGGGAACAATAATCATTCTATCCAACAAATCCAGTGGTATACCATGAGGGGAAGTATAATTAGTACCTATAAAAAAACATTATAATATCTTTAATGTTAAAAAAAATAAGTATTACCTCTTATCTTGGTTATTCCTCTGTTGGTAGCCATGATAACAATGGGGGACATATCGTTCTCCAACGCCCTATTTAAAAACGAAAAACACTCGATGTCCAACATGTGGACCTCGTCTATAAATAGAACACCCGGTATAATTTCGGCCTTGCCTTCTTCGCGCCATTCGGCCACTTTTCCGTTGATTTGCTCCCTAACCTGCAAAAAATAAAATACAGGGTGTCACCTCTTTGGGAGGATGATAGTCTTAGTCTTATTTTGGCTTGTACTTACCTCAGATTTGATTTCTCCGGTGTCCCCGGAGAATAAAGCCAAAAATCCGTGCGTTCTGGAGTTGATGACGTCGATTTCGTGCAACGTCACGGTATGAACTACTTCCTTCCGTTTCTGCAGTTCACCTTCCGGGCACTGGACGAAACGCGTTTGCTGTCCAGTGGCGTCGTAATCGCGAGCTCTTGCGAATGAACGACCCAAACGTGTGATTTTTCCTAAAAAAATGTTTTTAAAGAATTAGGTATTTCACACACAATAATCGATCCACACAAATTTTCGATAAATTTCAATCGCAAATAACTTTTTTATTTGATTTCGGATTTAAACAAATATGAAAGAATATTGTAGATACATTAATGGAGAATCGCTCACATTTTAAAAATTACTAAAAAATACACGTACGTTTATAATATCCAGGTTTAAACAAAAAGATGTTTTTTACCATAAGTTTAAGACACTCTGTAGAGTGGCAAAACCGTATATTGTTCTAAATTAAGTTTTAATTATCAAGTCACATCTATTCTTAACAGTTTTGTTTTTGGTTCACCTCGATATATTTATTTTTGTGGAAAATATGGATTTTTTTAGAAATCATTGCAATTTCCAATATTTTTCCTGTATGAAGAACTAAGGTTGCTATGGTCCATTCATAGCCTATGGAGGATGACAGTGACAGTTTTGTTGACTCATCCCATACTTGGACATGTCATATACAGCTTTCAAAAGCTATCAAATTGTTTTTTGTAAATTAATTTGTTAATTTTGAGGTGTCTTCTTACTTTTAAAAATGTCTCCGACTGATGTTGCCCTTTGTACTTTACTTCTTGTGACGTTTAAAACACTTGCCACGTAATACTGTGACCGTCCATCCTGGATTAAATTAATGGCTCTGGCAACATCAGTTGGAGACATATTCATTTTTTAAATTAATTTGCAAAAAACAATTTGATAGCTTTTGAAAGCCGTGTATGACATGTCCAAGTATGGGATGATTCAACAAAACTGTCACTGTCATTCTCCATAGCCTATGGATGGACCATAGCAACCTTAGTTCTTCATACAGAAAAATATTGGAAATTGCAATGTTTTTTTTTTTAAATCCATATTTTCCACAAATATAAATATATCTAGTTGAACCAAAAACAAAACTGTTAAGAATAGATGTGACTTGGTAAATAAAACTTAATTTAGAACAATATACGGTTTTAACGGTCTTAAACTTATGGTAAAAAACATCTTTTTGTTTAAGCCTGTATCGTCCATTAATTTATCTACCATATTCTTTAATATTCGTTTAAATCCGACATCAAATAAAAAACTTATTTGCGATTGAAATTCATCGAAAATTTGTGTGGATCGATTATTTTGCCTGCGAGTGAATTTAACACAAAAATAATACCCGTAGCTTTATCAATGGTGATGACATCTCCACTTTGCACTTTCTCCTTCAAAATACTGTCAATCATTTTGCCACCCAAATCATAGACAGTCTCCATATCGGTGGTCTTTAAAATCAATTTTCCAACTTTCGTACCGACACCGGTGGCTGGTCTCTCAATCTGAACTTCAACCACTTCACCTTCAATGATTTCACTCTCTTCCCTTTAAAACATAACCTCAATCAGTCAAAATATGACGTTTAAATGTCATTTAAACGTCACAATTGTAACCTTAAAACGTCAAAGTCGCAACTTACTTGATTCTGACGCCAATGCTTTTACGTATAGCCTGAGTTAAGGCTTCCGTTTTCGACATTTCCAAAGAATATATTTCTGAGCCCGCCATGCTAGTGAAAGGAGTATCGTAACCTAAAGCGGCCGCCAAGGCTGTGGCAATAGCGGTTTTACCAGTACCTAGTGGAAAATAAATCAATATAGTCCCAAATCAGGTTAAAAAAATTTCATCAATTGATTAATGGATTGATCTATTGCAGTATTTCCCAAACTTGGGGGCGCCCCCTTTGAGTATGAGAGCACAGACAAAATTCTGTTTAACAAAATTTAGATTAACATAAATTGTTAAATAAATTATCGGTGGGCATAATCATTTCATGATATCAAAAAGGGGGCATCATAGGAAAGTTTTGGAACCATGATCTACAGTGTGTTCTATTTTGATTGGCTACAATTTTAGTTTGTAGTATTTGAAAAGCTCTTTAGAAAAAGAAATAATTGTCATAACTTCAAAAACTTTAAAAGTTATTAGGCATTTTTCAAATTTAAAACGGAAAGCGTTTCTAAATTTGGCACAGGTGACTAAAACCCCTAAAACGATAATTTTGTAATACAATTTTAGCAGACTATTCCACTCATTACTTTATGGACCAATCAGATTTCAGAAAACGAGTGGTTTTTTCAGTTTTGCAGCGATAAAACTACTATTTAGTTGACTATTTCCCTCGTCTTAATTTCCACAAACGCGCAATTTTGAATCACAAATGGTTTCAAGGTGGAAAAACTTTATGACAGCACCTGTCAGCAGTTTATTCGAGTTTACCCGCGGCAAAACTTGACAGCTGTTGTCACCAAAAATTGCAATTTATATTTTAATTGTTAACTGTTACTCATGAAATAGTCTTGTCAAATACCATTCGGGATCAAATTTTTCCTGTGAAAAAAATCGAAAAAACACAATGCTAAGTAATATTTTTTAACAAAATGCATTCGTGCAGGTGGAAAAATCCTCCTCTTCGACTCGAATTTTTGTTGCCACCAGCACTCATGCTTTTTGTTAAAATATTACTTAGCAACGTGTTTTTTCGATTCTTTTCGGAAAAATTAAATGCCCTTATGATATTACTTACGAAAAAACCACTCGTTTATACCAATTGGTTGCTATGCGAAAAATAATTGTCAATGTTGAAGTTTCTAATTTTAATAGTTATTTACGATATAAGTGGGATATTAACGTACGCATGCGAAATTTGCAAAAGTACGTTAATAAAGCGTTAACACAAGTATATTGTACAAATTTTTATCTACGCCTCTAAATGAAAAAATAAACGGTAAATATTTTTGTCTAAGATTTAATTTAAGGTTATTTTGACATTTTTACTTTTTTATTTGATTGGTTAAAAGCAGAGAAAAACGCGTGCGTTAATGAACTTCTTATCTCACTCAAAATGAGTGGGATAAGAAGTTCTTATCTCACTGGCGTAGATAAAATAAAATATGCGTTTTGGTCAAAAAAAATCTTACAGAAATTATAAGTTTGGTTAGTTTTTGTAGTTTCATTTGGATATTTTAATGCTTATAAATATTTAAATAAAACATTTGTTGTACCTAAAAAATATTCGTAAAATAGTCTTCCCGAATACCACTCGTGATAAAGTTTTCCCTGAAATATTTTTTGATTTTTATTAACTCAAGATTTCGACTAGCCTAGCGGCTCGTGGTCTTAAAAATTAATGCCACTTGCGAAATTTCCAAGAAAAAAACATTCGTATAAAAATCAAAAATTTTATCGGTAAAATTTTACCACTAGTGATATTATATACGATAAACCCACTTGTTTATACGAGTTGCATTGGTTGCTATGCAAAAAATAATTGTCAATGTGACGTTTAAAATTTTACAATAAAAATGTCAAAAAATATGCGTTTTGGTCAAAAAATCATACAAAAATTGAATCAGCAGTTAATTCTAATGAAAAAAAATATTCGTGAAAAAGTCTTGCCGAATACCATAGAGAATAAAATTCTATCCAATTAGAGCCAAAATATGATTGAATGAAGAATTATTTAAAAGTAATCTTTTAGGTAGCAGTACACATTTGTGTATAGTTCCCTTATTCATATTATGCCTCTAATTAAATTAATATTTCTATTTAAAATACCAATATTTTCTATAATTTGTGAACACTCTGTATAAGCTAGAGTAACAAAACTAAGTGTAATACCTAGAGAAATGACGGAATGTTTTTGCAAAATCTTTGCTAGAATTTATAGTGCTTAAAAAATGTATTAGTGTTAAAAAATTGTTTTTTTTTCTAAATTTGACCATACTTTTTGACCATCCTATATAAAATATAATTACAAAATTATCGTTTTAAGGGGTTTGTGGGTATGCCAAATTTAAAAACACTGCCCGTTTTAAATTTAAAAAATGACTAGACCTTCTATTAATCATAGAGGGCCATAGAAATAACATAATACAATGTTTTTTTCTTTAAAATATAGAGTACTACCAACTAAAAATATATTTTTTTAAATCGGTCTATTTTTAAATAAATACCGAATTGTCCAAATCAATATGAAACACACTGTGTAGAGTGCGCTGAGAACTAAGAAATAATTTGGATTTCAAATAATGGCAAGTTTTGAAACAACTGCAAAGTTACATTGCGGAACATTTTCCGCAAAAACCCCAAAAATATCCTAGATTCGATCTATACAAAAAACTAGTTGCGCAAGTTATAAGGTGTCAAGTTAATTTTGGTTAATTTTACCGTAAAGCAATTTTTATGTGATCTCTACTTAAAAATGTCAATAGGATCCTAGATATAACTGTCTTAATTATAGCTTTAAAAATGTAAACTTTTTATAGCTGTCTTAAATAGCTGTCTATGCATTGAATAATAATATTGGTTAAATTTGAATGGGGGTTTATAAAATAAGTTTTTGCTGACTTTTTTAATCCATGTTTTGCAGAACATTTTTGCGATTTTCCTTTAGTATTTAGCAATCTAAAGTAATTTTCTGTGTAAAATGAATTATATTAAGGTAAAAAGATTATTTATTTAATGAGAATTTAATTTAAACAGTTTTAATCCAAAATATTCAGTGCTATAGGATGTTACAACAGCAGTTAACTGGGTACTTTCCCTAGTAAATAAAATTCACCTTTTTATCAAGGACTTCCTTTTTATTGGACCGATAATGCAAATGTTTTAATTATAAGGTATAAATCTTTTAGTATTAAAAATAATAGCATCAGATTATTCATTTACTATATTTTTTCAAGTAATTTTGAACATTTTAATTTATAATAATAATAAACATGCAAGGTTAACCAAATTATGTTTTCTACTCCCATCTTTAAAAGACACAATAACATATATACTTATTTAAGGCTAAGTGATCTTTTAAATAACAAGCTGTGATTTTGTGGCGTTTTAGTCACGGGCTGAAGTTAACTTTAAGTTAGTTGACAGTTGTCAAATGTCATACAATCGTAAAAATAAAGCGCCTTTAGATAGAGAGGTTAGATTTTATTTTCCCTGTATATTTTTAAATAATAAAGGTAGACTTTTTTACCATTTTTTTTTTTAGATTTTCCTGGGTCTGTAGATCATACACCTTCAGGTGGTGAGCGAATTTTGGGTAACCTTGTATATTAGTCATTAAACTCATTTAAATGTTGGTTTTACAGAACAGGACAAGGCTTTATTTGTTTAAAACATACATATATAATAAAATTTGAACCCTATGAACTACACTAGTTTACAAAATTCCTTGTTTAACCAAAACCACTTTTTTCAAGGTAAATTTTTTTGCTGGTTTTTATAATAAAATTTGAACCCTATGAACTACACTAGTTTACAAAATTTCTTGTTTAACCAAAACCACTTTTTTTCAAGGTAAATTTTTTTGCTGGTTTTTCTGGTTTAGTTTAGATGTCTGACTGACTGATATAGAACATCACAATTATGCGGCTAAAAATGTTATTTGATGTCAAATCAATCCCAAAGCTTTATAGGTGGAAAATAAATTTTAAGGTGTAAAACCAAAAAAAAGTTTTTCCAATTTTTTTCAATTTTAGTCCAGTGAAAATCAAAAAAATACTCCAGAAAATAAAAAGTTAGCTCCCCTATGTTCTAAAAAATTTAATTACAAATATTTTAAGCATACTTACGTTAATATTGAAAGAGATTTACATTTTATACTGTACATTTTTTAAAGCATTGTAAATTATATATTTTTTTTAATTTACCCATTATATAATATTAATATATTATAGTTTATTAATATTTTTCAATAAAATTTAATTATCTTAAAAATATCAACCTAGACTAGCTTTCCTAAGAATGTCAACTTAAGCTGGATACAATTGTTTTAGAATCTTTAGAAATAAAGATTTTTAAATATAAAAAAATTGTTTATTCAATATTTTTTAAATTACCTGGTTGGCCAGCCAATAAAACTGCTCTACCGGCAATTCTACCTTCTCTTATCATTTGTAGAACAATTCCTATTGCTCTACGGGCTGAAACTTGCCCCACCATCCCTTGGGAAACCTTAAAAGATTTATATTTTTTATAAAAAAGATGTTTTTCCATAAGCATTCTTAAAAACAACTTAACAAAGCTTTTTTATCAAGTCAAACAGGCTGTACGAAGTTGCTTGTTTACCTGTCTAGCTTCAAGACTGTCATCTAACCCTAAACCTCGTATGTGCGAATGCGCTCCTATTCTTTCCACACGCGTAGTTTCGCGGACTTCCGCAATCTTAGCGGCAGCGGCGGCCTGTAATGAAAAAGAAATAAAAACATAACATAACCTATATCTTTAATAGGCCAAATATTGTTTAATTTGATATTGAAAATGCTAAAAATGTTAAATTTTGGGTAATTTCACTAATTTTATTATTACACATTGTGATATATTGTGTATATTGATAGTACAAAACACGGTTTTTTAACTTTGAGGTTATGTCAAATTTGTAACCACAATATTTTCCAAAATAAACATTTTCAGAGCATAATTTATACGTCAAAATTTGCAATAAACACCAATAAATACGTATACCAAAAACTGTAAGTGTACTTACAGCCATTTTCGAGATATTTCAACTTGTTTCCAAAACGTTTTTAAAATGCTGAAATTGATTAAACAACTGTCAGCGCTGCCAACTGGGTAACATTGATTAAACAATGTACGCAGTACCAACTGCGTAAAATGTAATATTTGAATTTTGACGCGTTTTAACTTATTTTCTACATTCTAAGTTGTATACAATACAATAAATAACCATGGCCGTCATTATTGTATTATGTAATTGTTTATATATAATGTCCATAATTCGTATTTAATTTACATAATTTGTGGTCAAATTAAATAATTTTCATTTTTATATTTAATTTACCTATATTAAATGGTTTTGCTGAAATAAATGACATAATTGAATAATAATGTTGTTTCAGTTTTCCTATTTTTGCTAATTTAATACAGGGCGTTTAAACAAGTCTTCAAACTAAATTTGTATCTACTAAAACCAAAATATATTTTTTATTTGCTTAAAATAATTTTAATATATTTTTATTTGCTTCGTATATTTGCGTCATATGTTATGCAATTGTTTTGTAAATGGTATTAAAAACATTAAGATCTTTGATCGTATTAACTAGAAAACCTTGAGTTAAAAAGAGACCAATTTTGGTATTTTTTATATTTAATTAAATTTATAAATTTACCTACTTTTTTAATATAGGTAGGTACCAGGTGTGTTTAAAACATATGGGTTGTTTTCAAAAAACACCCGCCTTCCGCTGTCCGTAAGTTTGAATTCTAATAACTTTGTTAAAAATTATCGGATCTTATTGATTTAAAAACCAAGTGAAAGCCTAACAAGCCCTTAGTCAACTTTTTCAGAAAATGTTTGTTTAGTTATTTCAGAATAATTTTTTTGTAATTTTAAAACTTGTGAAACACACATTTTCGCATGTTTTATAAAACTTACATACATGTTTTTTTTTAATATTGTATAACCAGAACTTTGTGTTGCTTTAGGTATAACAATCCATAACATCCTTAGTTAATACAGTAAACAATTTATAAACTACTCAAAACGAATTAAGGACCACTTTTAAACTTGTTTATAACTTTAAATCAAAAACTTTTTTTTACATTCTGTAACTGCTGTTAGTTATAAAAAACATTAGGGTTTTAAATGGAGTATATATTTTATAAATCAAATAAAAAATAAACGCTTAGAAAATAAAACTTTAATTTTTCACAAATGTTTTTTTTTAAATAAACTATAAATAATATTTTCAACAAAATTAGTAATGTGTGTGTCCTCCTCTGGCTAGCCGAACTTCTTCACATCGTCTAGGCATCGATTCCACTAAATTTCTGATTACTTCTCTTGGAATATTGTTCCATTCCTCTTGAAGCATTTCTCCAAGCTGTTTCAAATTTTCTGTTGCCAGACGATCCCTTATCCTTCTTTGAAGAACATCCCAGAGATGCTCAATAGGATTTAGATCCGGGGAGTTTGCGGGCCACTCTAAAACCTCGATATTATTCTCCTCAAGATATTGTGTGACAATACGAGCAGTGTGGGGCCTCGCATTGTCATGCTGTAGAATAAACTGTGGACCTTCTTCTGCGGCAAATGGGACTATTTAGGGTTCTACAATATCTTCCAAATACCTATGAGCATTTACCACACCATCCCTACAGATATGCAAACCTGTACGCCCCGTTAAAGTTATACCTCCCCAGACAATAAGTGGGCCACCTCCAAAGTGAACAGTTTCTGTTACAGTTGAATCTAAATAACGCTCACCTCTACGCCTCCATGCTCGTACACGTGCATCGTTGTGGCTAAGTCGAAATCTAGACTCATCTGAAAAGAGCATGTGTCCCCACTGATCCATATCCCAATTGATATGATTTCGAGAAAAAGTTAATCGAGCTCTTCGGTGCGCACGGGTTAACTGGGGCCTAACAGCTCGGACTCTGGAACGTAGATGGGCTTCATGAAGTCTATTTTTAACTGTCTGAGTGGATATTCGCCTTTCGCTGGCGTCAAAATGTAAATCAGCAATGTTTCTTGCTGTTCTGGCTCGGTTTTGGGTGGCTAACCTTACCAAATTACGGTCCTCACGTGGGTTTGTGACTCTTTCTCTTGCCGGATAAGGTCTTCTAGTGATAAAACCAAATTCTCTATGTCTGTTAAGAAGTCTAGAAATTACCGAATGACTTGTTTGAAGTCTTCGGGCAATACTTCTAACCGAATGTCCTTCTTGAAATAAAGTAACCGCTGTCTTTACTTCAACCTGATTTAAATGCCTCCTTTGATAAAGAGGCCTTCCCAGAGCATCAACATTCATTTTTTCCGTTGCGATACCGATAGAATATTAAAAAAACATATATATGGCAACTTTTTTGGCACTCACGTGATCAACAAATGATGTTCGGACGTACACATCACCCAGCTGATTTATTTAATCAATCAGGAAGAAGATATTGGTGGAAACAGGTGCGGGTAAAGCGAATGTAATAATTGTTTGTCCGCTAAGTTACTCAAAAAAAATAATAAGAATAAGGTAAGAAAAAATACTATTTTTCATGTTTATGTTTATTTTAGGGCACTAAAGCTTATTGAGAGTAATTAATGACTGTAATGTCTTATTAATATTTTTTAAATATGGTTTTACAAAACTTTTTCCACTGCGTTACCGAGTCCATTATGTTACCTTATGGTAACGCAATGGAATTTAGGGTAACGCAATAGAATTTTTCGACAACAAAGTGGATATTTACCGTCGCTTTTATTAAAAGTAGTTTATGATAAACCAATTTAAAATTGTTTGTGATTACAACTCATGATATAGATTAGTAGGAAAGTACTAAAAGGGACGCAAGACCTTCACCAGCTTATAGTCAAAGAAAAAGGGTGTCTACAATTTAGAAATATAAGTTGTTATTGTGCAAGTGAGCACCACTACAAGGGATTTTGTTTATGCATTACTCTAAAATCGTACCACCCTATATAGTGTCTTTCATAGAAAAAGGATTTCTTTTTTACGTTATCTGATCCTTTGTGTACCCAGTCCGTTGTGATACCAATGTCTATTTCGTTACTTTTTTTAGTTTTTGTTAAAAAAATACGTACAATGATTTTTAACACTAACTTGGTAATACGTGTTTATAAATTAAAGTTTAATACAGTGACTAAAAGAAAATATTAATGGTATTGTTTTTTTTAACAAAGAATCGGAATGGTTTCTTTTAAAAAGTAACTTAACGAACATAAATATTTAAAAAGAATTTTGTTTTATTTATTTATAAGTAAGCTTTCAAATTTGTTTTTATTCTTATTATTAATATTATATTATTAAGGGGTAATTTTACATCCCAAAATATAAAAAAGATATTCAAGAACATGGGGTCAAAAATGCTTTATAAGGGAGCTACGCCTTTTTAAAGATGGCGCTCAGCATTTACATTTAATTTTTTATCTCAGGTATACTTTAACATAAAATAATAAATTTGGGCACAAACACTACACTTAAAAAATGCAACTTTTCTGTGGTAGACCCGATATTGACATATTATCAGCGACGCCCCCATTTTATTATTTTTTGAGTTATAACTCCTATAGGTACGTTATTGGGTATTTTCTTACCATTGTATGAGTTTTAATTTTTTTCATATTTTTATATAAACAACTGGGTGTATAAATATTTTTTATTTCTGCAAATTTATTTCCAAAAAATAAAAGAGGTCATAATATATGAAGAAACTCTGTATATTAAATGTAAGGCAAAGCGTTCTACAATTTTAAGCATTTTGCCTACATAATGGTATATATAAGAAAGGTAGGGGAAACCCATGCATTTGTGTGTAAGCGTTAGAACAAGACGGTCATAAGTGAAAAAAAAATTAATGATCAATTTTAATTTATTTTTATAAATTATTAAATATTTAAAATGACTAATGTAACTTTTTCTCTAGTGATCATAATAAACATTTTTTGTTTGTGTTATTGTGCTCAACTGCGTAAGTATTTTGTGTGAATTTCCCAAAAATGTCATTATCAAATATGCTTCAATTAAATTATCATAAATATAGGGTTTGAACAAGCTTCAGGTGTTTAAAAAAATATACAAGAATAAACATTACGAAAATACGAAAGTAAATTCCCATCCTTATTTTTCTGTGAATTCACTTTCACTCAAGTTTTATTAGTTGCCGACTGCAGCTGCAGCTAAATAAAGTAAATTTATTATTATATTTTTTAGTGAACCTGCTTACCGGGTCCCGGTATTATTTCATGCATTTGAAGCTTATTGAGAAAATTGGTGCCATTCTTATGATTTTAATTTTTTTTATTTTAGCAAGTAATTTTGGAAGGTGTCATACTAAAGACAAGGAGTTTGACGAGTGCATAAGGAAAAATATAGAAGTAGCAATTCATTCGCTAAAAGAAGGTAAATATAGCTATTTATTTTTTTATATATATAGAGTAATATTTGGAATGGATAAAAACTTTTTAATTTGTAAATTACTTTGCTGGTCTTAAAACTACAATTTCTATTACCAGTATTGTTATTGTTATAACTTAAAGGTTGACTTTTGTGCCAAAACAATAGTTTTTCATCTACAGAACGTAAAAATCTTTTACATCTATTTCAACATTATTTCTTCACATTTTTAGAAATTTTTAAACTGTAGGAAACCGTTTAAGGAATATTATTTATTTAAAATTTATATATGCCGTTGTTTTAAAGATTTTAGTATTTTTTCTTATAAATATATAAAAAGGATAGTTTAAACTTTATTCACGTTTACTTAAAAATAAGGATATTTAAATTTTTAATAATAGTTTTATAAAAACATGCAAAGAAGTATAGTAATTGGACATTTTATATAGTAATTGGACACATGGACCATAGTTATTGGACATACAATTTTTATAAAAATATTACAACTTTACATCAAATAACATAAATTGTTAAATATTTTTTAAAGATAAATTGCTGTTTTAGGTAAATTTTTTTTTTCGTTTTTGTAAATATCATATAATTCATATATTTCTTTCTCGGATTCCTCACCCCTTTCCTGGATTCTGAAGGTAACTACTAATTCCTTGGTCTGACTTCTGAAATATCATTCATATCATCATCAAGTCTGGTATCTCTAGTTTTTGAAGCATTTATATTGTTTAGGCCGGAACAGGGTAATTTATTTATATCTAATATTTTTTCGGGTGGTATGTTAAAAGTATTTTCCGAATTTATTAATTATGTTCTCTATCATGCACTGTATTTAAATCACTGTTATTCTGCAAGATGTCCTTTGACGAATAAATCACTATATAACTTACTCTAAAAATGAATTAGTCGAAAAAGTCAAAGCGAAAAAGCAGCCACTAATAATTCTTGTTAACAGCAATTTATATCCAGGACATTTAGCAGTCAATTCCTATGAAATATTATTTGCTGAATCCGTAAATAGTTATAAAAGTAGAACAGGTTTTGAAATATAATCAATTTTACATATAATATGGAATTGACTATATCTCAAAAACTGCCTAACTTTTATAGTTTTTGACGGTCTTTTTGGATTTAGGGGACAATTTTACATAAGAATTGGCTGGTAAATGTCCGGTTACAAAAGGAGTATGATATTGGACAAATGTCCAATAATAGAAATTTTTTACCAACCAGTAATTGGACACTGGCCCTTTAACTATTTGTTTTCAGAATTAAAATTAAAACACATTAAAGTGACAATGTTTAAACCATGAGGAACACATTTTTACCACACACTGATCTGTACACTTTTTAGAAATATTTTTTATTGTAATTTAAACACAGCCCTGCTCTTAACAAAAAAAACAAAAATCTTACCACCAAAGTAACGTGCGAATTTTTTGGTCCTATATTGAACCCAAAATAAAGTAGTTCTATATTATTACCGACTTAGATAGTTATAATTGTATACAGCGTCATCTAATGATTTGACTTTAAGGTACCTAACTATTTATAGAACTCTTGTTTTTACAGTATTAATGTTAATTGTCCAATAACTATAAAGTGTCCGATAACTGTCTACTTTAGCCTACTTCGATCTTAAAAATTGACGATTTGGTAGATCACAACATTTCATATATTAAATATGGAACGGTTTTAATAATGGCGGATGCGCCGGGATATTTTTATATCGTTAAATATACAATATATTAAATCGTAAATTTCAAATGGAAAACACTATTTTAAATAGGAGCCAAGTTTTTTGTTTCAATCGGACACTATTGTACTGAGATTTCAATCGGTTTGCCCACTAGTGGGCAAAATGGCATTTCGCCCACGGGCTGAAGTTAAAATTGCAAAAAAGTTAGGTTAAAGTTGTAGTGGACAAAAAAAATTCAAAATGAAAGAATTTAAGTTTTTTATTGATTTAAATCGGACATTTTAAACAGGTTCTCAATCTACATTTGTATCCAATTTTTTCGCTTCTACCTATATTTTGAGTTTTTTGATAATGGCCGCCAAAACTTATGTACTTTGATTCTTTGATTTTTTTTCTATCTAACCATGTAAAATTCCAATAGGGCGGCCGAAGCAAAAACAAATTATGGTGGTGGTAACTGAAAATCTATTGGGCGAAAAATTACAAATTGTATGAAAATGTAGATTAATGTGTACGTTTGCATATGAAAGTACTTTTTTTCAAAATTTCCAGCAATAACGAAGTTGTAACGACTTTTGGTTTTAAGTTTTATTTTCTCTAATTTTTAAATGCCATTTTACTAAAACGATTTTAGAGGACTTATACCCGTGCATAGAAAGAGAGTTAGTGCAACCTGTATTCTTACAATCATTTTAATATTTTTAGGGTCTACACAATTGGGTTTACACCCTTTCGAGCCTTTATCTATACCTCAATTAATAATAGGACAAGGTACAGGGGCTGTAAATGTGGAACAGCGATTTTCTGATGCCAAACTTTATGGTTTAACCGGATCTCTGGTCCAGGCAGGAAGGTAATGTTAAAACTATTTGCTATAATATAATATAATATATCATAAATAATATAATATATATCATAAACACCTAATACGAAGAAAATGACATTCTCCACATGAATGGAACTTTTTGTTTAATCTAAACATCGTTACACAAATATTATCAACTAAAATAAACAAAAGTCTAAGAAAAAATCATAAACCACTAAGGGCGCCGACATATTATCCCAGGTAGCACACTGACGTCTGCTGAGGTTAAAATAAGTGGGATGTAATAAATGATAAATAAATGGTGGGTGCAGAAAATTTAAATTTTTTATTATAAAATTTTAAATGAAAAACTAAAGTTTAAGTTTTTCATAAAAATCGTTCCTTATCCAATTACGATTTTTAAGTGAACCACACAAATTATATAATAATAAAATGTTTTACTTTTAGTGTCGATTTTGAGAAAGAAGTTATTTTGGCAAAATCTGTTACCCCAAATTTACAATTAATAGGCACATACGATATGAATGGTAAAATTCTACTATTGCCACTTGTTGGTACAGGACCGTTTAACGTTACCTTAGGTAAATATGCATTTTCTTATATCAATTTAACCCCACTGAATAGTGTTTGCATCTGGATGTACATTGCATGAAAATAGTTTATTTTAATAACAACCGAATTATGTAAAATGCAGGTCTGCCTCGCATCAAAAATCAATTACTTTTTTGTTTTTAAAAAAAGACTGCTAAAATTTTGTACATACATGTATATATACAGTAGGGTGGCCCAAAAAAAAAAGAATATTTTTTTTTACTCACTCTTGTAAAAATATGTTAGTTTATCATGCTGTAAGAGCCCTGTCAAAATATCAGCTCGATTGAAAAAATTTTAGGGGTCGCTCAAGATTTTTTAAAATTTTCAAAATCGTCAAAAATTGAATTTTTTGGTTGAAAATAATAAAAATTCTGTAAATTTCAAATCAATATTTTGATTTCTAAAGGTCGCTAAAAGTTCGTTGATATTTATATTCAGAGGTCGCTCAAAAACATTCAAAATACTTTACTTTGAAAGTTAAAAAAATCTTGAGCGACCTTTAGAAATCAAAATATCGATTTGAAATTTTCAGAATCATTATTATTTTTAAATTAAAAAATAATATCGGAACGAGAAACAAAATTAAAATAAAAAAAATGCAATTTTTGACGATTTTGGAAATTTTTGAAAATCTTGAGCGACCCCTAAAAAATTTTTAATGGAGCTGATCTTTTGACAGGGCTCTTAAAACATGACAAACCAACATATTTTCACAAGATACAAGAGAAAAAAAATATTCTTTTTTTTGGGCCACCCTAATATACAGTGTGGCCCATTTGTTTGCGACTCACCCCTGTAAAATCTTTATTTATTGTGCGATTTTAACCGGATTTGTTTTAAAGTGTAGATCTCAATGTTTTTTTCATGGATAACTTGACAAAATAAATTTTAGTTGTTATTATTGTGCATTTTTTTTCTTAAAATTTTTCAATATCATTTAGTATAGGGTCGTTTTTGAGGGGTGGTGAATCCAGTGCCGTGCTTAGATATTGTTTAAAAAAATCTCGCTAATATGAATTTTTAAAAATGTACTCTTAAAAACTGACATAGCAGGCCTTGAATTTTGTAAAAATATGGCGTTTTTTGCATCAAAATACAGTTTATCGAGATCTATACTTTAAAACAAATCAGGTTAAAATCGCACAATAAATAATGATTTTACATGGGTGAGTCGCAAACAAATGGGTCACACTGTATAAAGTAGATTGCAAGGATTTAAATGAATTATTTTTTTTTTGAATTTATCTTGATACATAACAAAAAAATTATTTAATTTTTTTTTTATTTTTAAAGTTTTGAACCCCATTTTTAAATCGAAAAAAAATAACATTTTACATTTGAAATTTTTTGAAAAATACCCCATTCCGGACACCCTGTATACAGGTTTTATATAAATCATGCTTTTAATGAAACAAAATCTTTTTTAGCCAAAAATTAACTTTTTTTAAAATTTAAAATGCTGTAACATTACACCATTTTAAAATTGTCTTATTTTGGCTATTAAAACGATTTTATTTTGTTATAAACAGGACTTTTATTTATGGCAAAATTGCTGTCGAAAACCTTGCATAATTTGGTCCAGGTTAAATGGGTTCAAAATTAAATAAATTATTTTATAATGAGATTCGAGAATAAAAAAAAACTTGAAATGGTTTCCAAAGATATATTTACGAAATCTTTAAATATTGATCTATACTTTACTATACAATTATTTAAGCAACTAATAACATGTAATTAAATATTTATCATAATTTTTTTTAGCAAATAATGTTACGTTGCAAAATGCTAAAATTAAACAAATTTGTTTAAAAAATGAATAATTAAAAAACCACGTTAATTTTTTTAATTTCAGTCAATACAAAAATAAACCATACTATAACAGGACAAGCCTATGAAAAGAAGGGTAAAAAGTATTGGAAATTTGTCAACTACACTGTCACTTTGAGACCAGAGAGGGTATACTTTAGATTTGATAACTTATACAACGGATCCAATCCTCAGTTAGGAGAAAACGTCAACCAGGTATTTACACAGGGTGTTTTAAAACTCCCATGCCATTTTAAATTAAAGACGATTTTTTATATTAGTATTTTTATAATTTTAGGTTTTGAATGACAACTGGGATGAGGTTTTCACTGATGTAAGGCCAGGTTATGAAGCATCCTTTGGGCAAATTTTCCAGGATTTAGCTAATAGAGTCTTTAGTAGAGTCGCTTTAAAAGATATATTTTATTTTGACTAAAATAGCGTATTTTACAACAGTTTAAAGTCCCAAAACTGTACAAAATTTGCATAACATAGTCTTTACCAAAAAATAGTATTAGTTATACAGGGTGTTTTGTATTTAATTTAATAATAAAAAACTACAAATTTTAACAACATTTTTTATTTCTATTTCTAAAAATATTTTTTTGTAAATACATTGCTATTTATTATACAGTGTGTATTTTATTAACTCTGTTTAAAATTTTCGTATCACATTAGTAATTTTTTCCGGGGCGTAGCCACCTGATTTAAGTGAAGTAGCACCATCAAACTTGCCCACCATCATTTTTGCAATAGTGCCCCCCAAACGATGACATTTAATTAGGTGACACTGGTACAACCCTCAAAAATCAAATTTTGTGCAAAAACGTTTATTTTTTGTTTAACTCCCCTACAACCCCTCCATGGCTACGTCCCTAAACGTTTTAAAATATTTTTTATTTAATAACAGTTATAATTTTTTTTTAAATATATTTATTTTTTGCGTACAGGTACTTCTAGATAGGTATTGCCACAATCCACACAACAAGGTCTGTTCTATCTCGTTTCGCGTATATACTAAAATCACTAAGTCAGTAAACCCACTTCACAGACTTTAACGGCGGCCATTTTTATAATTATAATTCTTGTGCTTTGGGTTTGTGTTGTTTATACCGATTAAAAATCGTTTTAAACTTTAAACTGTGTGTTACAGAGGCACTTGTAAGCCTAAAAAGAGGCCTCAAATGGGCTAAGAACAACCATTTTACTCCTTTTTGTAATAACCATTGTCAAAGGTCATTGACATCTGTCAGTTTGATGACAGCCCTGATAAAATAAGGTTTATTTTTTACACTTATCACTTTAAGGCCTCATTTGAGGGTTACAAGTGCCTCTGTTAGAAACACAACGTTTAGAACTATTTATAGAGAATTGTAAACAACATAAAATGGCCGCCATTAAAGTCTGTGCAGTGGGTTGCCTAGCTTCGTGATTTGTCCTTGTTGTGTGGATTGTGGGTATTGCTAATTATTTTAATAACTGCTTAATCTATGATGTGTTTGCTAAAGGTTTTGTTGAACAGGTTTTTTACTTATTTTGAGGCATTAAGGGGGCGTATTTTTCAGAAGGCATAAAGTTCCATTGTCCACATATAATGTCACTTTCTTCCTGTGTATAACCATTTCTATAAAAATAATTTTATTTTATAAAAATAATCAGTCCTTTATTAAATTAAAAATACAAAAAATCACAAAATGTCACATTATTAAATAATAAAAAAATGTTAAAGAAGTCCAAATTTAGTAAAAAACCAGTTTAAAATTTTGGCGGGTTTTTGTGCCCAAGAAAAACTTCTGGGTTGATTGGATTTGAGGTATCGGTCAGATTTTACGAATTCTATAATACAATTTTTGTTTAATTCCTCTAACTTTGTACTATTGCTAAAATAAAATAAAAAAAAATAAAATAAAAAAGGACTTAAATCTAATTATACCTTTGCCATTTAGTGCATGGACTTCTTTCCTGAAAGCAAATTACTTGGACTACGTTAAAAAATATAGCTCCTTGCTGTTTCAGTATTTGTTTCTTGTAGACATCTTCTAAACGTTGCATCACAGTCACAATGAGATCTTAAACAATGCTTCAAAATAAAAAAAATACTTTTTCTTTATTGCAAGTGTATACCAATATGCTCGTCCGAACTTTAAAAGTATGTAGATATGTATTTCAGTATGGTTTATAGGAAGACATTTTTTTGGAAAAAGTGTTTTATTTAATCCTAATAAAGATATTTTGATGTGGATGTATACATAAAAAATAAATACTCCAAAGCTCAAGAATCTTTATTTGAATTTGAATTTTGCTTTTTAACCAGACACAAATCTTTTTTACATACTGGCTTCTATAGACTCACCATCTTGGTGAAAATAAGGGTCGTCCAGAGCAGTGGCGGCTCGTCGTATAAAGCAACTGAGGCGGGGCCTCACATGTTAAAATTAGAATATAATTTGAAATGTTCGATACATTATTTATTTAAATATAAAACATTTTTAAACTAATATTTCCTTTAAATTTAGCGCGCACCCCTTCCAACTTTAATTCTAAACGCTTAAATCATTGCCCGACCGCATAATAGGGAAATAGTAATCCCAAAAATTTGCGCTTCATATACGTCACACAACATCAGGCTCCCCACCGCTGCACGGTGCCGCCGGCACGCCCGCAAGGCGGGGATAATACGCGAATTTTTGTAGACATTGAGGCCCACAAAGTTGGGCTTGTACCACAGTATATGGAAGACAGCAGATTCAACAAAGCTTATTAATTAGATCTATGCGTGTTTATAGTTTCTTATTTCTGTTTAGTCTTTGCCTTAGCGTTAAAATGGAAAGTGGTGATAAAAATGCAAGCGTAAAATACATTATTGCGTTGTGAATTCATGTAAAAATAATTCAAATAACTATTCCGCACTTTTTGAATTATTCTAGCTAAATTTTAAAAATTAAATTAAAATCTCATAATAGAACATATTTTTAAATATTATATATTTTTTATTTAGATTATGAAGTGCTCCGAAAACGCGAGACCTTGAAAATTTCAAAAAAAAAATTGCCTGCGGCCCCATGGGCCTCACCTTCATGAATGGTCACGAGCCGCCACTGGTCCAGAGCCAAATCATCAAAAAATTTTTTACATTTGCTGTTATTTTTTTTCAGTAACGTTTGAAGCTTTACCACGGAACATTTTGAGCTATGGTGAAACTTCAAACCTTACTGAAAACAAATGGCAGTTTTCAAAGTTCGCACACCCCTGTTGGTAAACCCTTTACTTAACATTTTGTTGATTTTTTTACAATTTACCTTGTAAATGCAGAGTTATTACATATTCCCTGTTTGCATTGTCCTCTTAACAAATTTTCTGGACAATTGTCATGATCCCGACAACATGCGTCTTCCTTTGCATGATACCCTAAATCTGAATGATTTTTAGCCGTAGTTCCTACAAAAAATCAAAAATATACTGTAATGGTTCCGTACTTTGATACTTTTTACAAATTTATTCGCGAGTTAGAGCCAAAAAAGGTGTGATCTAAATAAATGAAAGAATTTTATAAAAAAATATTTCCAAAAAAAAACTGTTTTATTTGCTTTATCAGAGTTTTTACACGTTTTGGTTAAAATATTTTTATTTGTACATCAAACCACCTAAATATTAAAAAAATGTACTCTCTTAAAATGAATTAATCAAAAATAACTAATTATAAGTCATATTTGACTAATTGTCATAGCGAAAAAGCAGTCACTAATAATTGGTCAAATTCTACTGAATGAAATAGTCAAATTAGTAGTTTTAAATTTAAAAAAAGTTTTGACCCAGCTTGTCAAGCTGTTGTCATAACCCATTTGGCTATCAGTCACTCTTATAAAAATCAATTTTATTTGTCAATAAATATTGTTCATAATATTTTAAAGTTAAATATATTTTTTTGTGTTGCTGTTTTAAATTGGAGTAAACTAAACACTGTATTTTATTTCTTGTATAGGTACCTACCTAATTCTCACAAGTATGATTCCCAAAGCAATGTATTTAATAAAACAAGTTAGTAAACACAACGTAGAGGTTCGAATTTGGGTAAGACTTGTTTAACGAACCTGGTGTAAGGAGAAATCTTATAATACAGGATGTAGCAAAAATTCTTGGCCAAACTTTATGAACGTGATGATAGAAAATTGTAAAATATATTTTTTATTTACCTGGTCCACACCATTTGGTTCCTGGGTATATAAAACCACCCTGGTGTGCCGACTCCAAATTCTGACTTTTACAAACATTTTCTATTTTAAATATGGAATCATCGGTCATTTGACGAACTCTTCTTGGGTCTGCGCTTAGTAACATGTTTCGTATATTCCCTCTAAATAAAAAGAAAAAAATATGTTAAGAAATATACAGTTCCTTTATTGTTATTTAAATATTTGATTATGCCCAAGGGGCTCTAGTGATTATATTGTCACATGGCAATGGGGTTTTGAAAATATCTGGATAATTATTTTTAATTTATAGATTTATCCCTGATAGCACAGTTTATTCTAAGAATGTTTTTTAAACCTTCCAGTGGGAATATTCTTAGGATCATGCTATATTTCTTCTAGTCATGTTCTAAGAATGTTTTTTAAACCTTCCAGTGAGAATATTCTTAGGATCATGCTATATTTCTTCTAAAGAACATGCTTAAAAGAAATATAGCATAATCCTAAGGCCTATAGGCAGGTTCTTAGAAGGTGCAAAGTTTAGTGGTTAAAATTAATCCACTCTAAACATATGCTTGGAATGTTGAGAAAGTAATTGCTATAGAAAGTTCATTTAGGAATATTCCTGGAACATTATGTTCCAGTTAGGTACCTACACAGTAAAAAATATTTTGTTAATTTGCCATTTATTTAACAAAATCCATATTGTCAATAAATAGAAGGCAAAATCAACCAATATATTTTTATTATTTTACAATTAGGTAGTAGGCAAAGTATAAATTTGTTAATTTAATAAAATAATATTGTTATCGCCGAAAGTACGAATTTTTAACTATATAAATTGCCAACTTAAGCAAATAAATCTCAAATAACAACAAACTATTATTTTTTAATTCTCCACAAATATTTGTCAGTTATTAAAAAAAATCTATAGTTACTTTAACAAACTTTGTATCATTTTTTACTCTTAATTAATTGCAATAGCCAAAATAATCGCCATATTAATGACAAAATAACAAAATATCATGTTTAAATTCCCTTTTATAAATTTGTCATTAATTAACAAAACTAGTAGGTAGTCTAAAAACCTTTATATTCATTTTTACAATTATTTATATGTAATAAACCAAAATAATTTGTTAAATTCTTTGCTAGTGGTAAAATATGCAACAAAATATTGTTAATATGACAAGAAAAATAGCCAAAATATTTAATACGAGAGTATTCGGACAAGTTCGGTACCTAGCGTCGTATTTTTAAGGAATAACTATTAGTTTGAATAAGACAGTGTAACGGGCATCATTATTTTTTTTTTGAAGACAATGGTTGTATGAATTATTTTGTATATTCAGAAGATTTACGCTGAAAGTGCTTTTTTTTTAAGAAAAACATAGAAAATGGTAAGTACCTACAACTTATTAGCTATTATGTTCTTTCGTGTTGTAATTTTCAACGTGGTAAAAGTATTGGACACACTTAAAATTGTTTCTATAGAACATATATGTTTCAATAATTGCTTTGCCGTAAAAGGGCAGGTCAAGAAATATTTTTAATGTGGATATTTCAATGCAATGCAAAAACGTAGATACCTATAAGTAGTTATATTTTTGCACGTTTTTTCAAGGCATTAGCTGTTAATAAATGAGGTTAGATCCCAACATGAGGCAAGGCAGGTTTTCTTAGTCTAAAGCTAAAACCCTTTATTAAAAAAAGTAATTGGATAATCACAGTGGCATAAATAAGGGGACATCCATTAATTACGTGAGACAAAAATGGGGGGAGGGGTCCAGCAAAATCTCACCTTATCTCATTTTAAGGGAGGGGGGTCATTTAAAATCTCACGTCAACTTTTAAGTTTAAAAAAAATTGTATTATAATTCAAATTTGTTAAAAAAAATTAATCATTTTTTACATGTCCGCAAAAAAGTTTAATGGCTAAAATCCTACGTGAGGGATAGGGGGGGTCTATTACTTTAGACACCTGTCTTAAATCTTTATTGAAAGATATATCTAAAAAATGTTTTATGCAATCTAGTTTAAGAATCTAATTTAAATACAAAAATAAAAGAGCATCGGTAAATTTTAAAAAATAAGTAGGTATCAATTCTGATTTTGTTAATAAAGTAAAAAAATTGAAATTCTTGATCACCCTTATAAATATAATATAGGATATACTTAAGTAGGCTTTTGGCATGTACATTAAGGTAGTTCTTATTTCCCATATGTTTAAATTTTAATTGTGCCGCCCCCTATTTGTTTCTAAATAAAAAAACAAAAATGTTTACCCCAATTTGAACTTCCTTGCTTGATCGTAATCATCCCCTGTAACGAGGAGAAGTTTTTCATTTAAAATACTTAAGATTTTTTTATCCTAATTATTTTACTAAAACCACTTACCTACTTAAAAAAAAATAATTTTATATGAAAATGTCGGGGATCGATGGTACTTTTAAAACAAAAAACAGAACAAAAATTATCCCTCATTGTAAGTTATTTTTACCTGGCTTATATTGAAAATATTAAAATAGCTTATAATGACCGATATATTTTATCTGTGTTTTTTCCTTAAAAGTACCATCGGACCACGACAATTCCATTTAGCGGTTTCAGTAAAATAATCACATTTGGATACAAAAATACTAATGGTAGGTAGGTATTTTAAATGGAAAACTTTTTCTCGTTTCAGAGGTTGACAAGGACCAAGTTATGAGGAATAAATTGGGGTCGAAATTGTTAAAACAAATGGGACGCGGCAAAATTAAAATTGAACATTAGGTAAATAAGAAGCACCCTAATATACATATGTGTATTATATATATATATATATATATTAGGGTGAGCCAAAAAAACTAACCTATCGGATTTATGGGTTAAAATGAACCTACATACCGAGCAAAAAATTTTCCTGCAAGGAAAAATTTTTTGCTCAATTTTAAAAGGTGTCGGTGAGCATTCTAAGTTTTCCATTGAAATAACACGTAAAAAAATCTTTTTTCATTAAAAAAAATATAACTTTTGAACCGTTTGAGATAAAAATTTTTACGTCGCGGATTCTTGTAGAGCATAAAATTTCCTACAAAATCTATCCCAGAATTATTTTTTTTCAATTTAAAAATTCGTATATTTGAAAGCTTTGAAAAGTGAAAAAAATCATAATATTTAGTTTTAGTGTTTTTTGACTCAAAATGTTCATTAGGGTGTTTCAGTTAAAACGAAATTTTTTTCTTCTTGCTGACACATGAAAATTTCGGTTTTTAGGTTGAAAAAAAAATTCCCTGAAAATTTGAGCCCTTAATTTTGATTCTAAGTACTTCCTTTTTAATTTTGTAGTTTTTCCATATAAAAAGCATGTATTTTTAATTATTTTTACTTTAAATTTCTATATTTTGGCCGGGTTTTGAAATATAATTTTTATCACCATAATAAAGGCCCTGCATCAATTTTGTTTTTGATTTATTTACGTTGATTGTAGTAGCTCCAAAAGTCGTTTCTTCACTTTTTCTCATATTTTTGAGAAAATCGAGCGAATGACTGGTTTTACCGAAAAAGTTCAAATAAAAAAGTTGTAGAAAATTTAATTTTTGACTAAAAAGGTTTTTACGTTCATATCACTAAAGTGCTTTGTTTAAGAGATATAAGCAATATATAGTTGTTGAATGAAATTACATAAATTTCAATAAAACCTATTTTTTCTTTGTTTTTGGTTATTGAATTGCTTATATCTCTTAAACAAAGCACTTTAGTGATATGAACGTAAGAACCTTTTTTGTCAAAAATTAAATTTCCTACAACTTTTTTATTTGAACTTTTTGGGTAAAACCAGTCATTCGATGGATTTTCTCAAAAATATGTGAGAAAAAGTGAAAAAAACGACTTTTGGAGCTACTACAATCAACGTAAATAAATCAAAAACAAAATTGATGCAGGGCCTTTCAAAAACCGTGAATACTATGTAGAAAATTATGGTGATAAAAATTATAATTCAAAACCCAGCCAAAATATAGAAATTTAAAGTAAAAATGATTAAAAATACATGCTTTTTATATGGAAAAACTACAAAATTAAAAAGGAAGTACTTAGAATCAAAATTAAGGGCTCAAATTTTCAGGGAATTTTTTTTTCAACCTAAAAACCGAAATTTTCATGTGTCAGCAAGAAAAAAAAAAATTTCGTTTTAAATGAAACACCCTAATGAACATTTTGAGTCAAAAAACACTAAAACTAAATATTATGATTTTTTTCACTTTTCAAAGCTTTCAAATATAAGAATTTTTAAATTGAAAAAAAATAATTCTGGGATAGATTTTGTAGGAAATTTTATGCTCTACAAGAATCCGCGACGTAAAAATTTTTATCTCAAACGGTTCAAAAGTTATATTTTTTTTAATGAAAAAAGATTTTTTTACGTGTTATTTCAATGGAAAACTTAGAATGCTCACCGACACCTTTTAAAATTGAGCAAAAAATTTTTCCTTGCAGGAAAATTTTTTGCTCGGTATCGGAATCCGCGACGTAAAAATTTTTATCTCAAACGGTTCAAAAGTTATATTTTTTTTAATGAAAAAAGATTTTTTTACGTGTTATTTCAATGGAAAACTTAAAATGCTCACCGACACCTTTTAAAATTGAGCAAAAAATTTTTCCTTGCAGGAAAATTTTTTGCTCTATATGTAGGTTCATTTTAACCCATAAATCCGATAGGTTAGTTTTTTTGGCTCACCCTAATATATATATACTTTTTTTTATAAATTTTTATCTATAAAATGAAAAAAAATTACAAAAAACTTACCTATTACTTATTTTGTGACATTGTATTTTAGGTTAAGTTTGCGTTTACCGATGCTTTTTTGTAGAGAACATACAAAATCACCCTATACACAAAGACCACAATATTTTGTAAGGCTTTCTTACAAAGGGCGGTTAGAGTGGGGGTCATTATATTACAATACATATGAACATGTAAAACAAACAGGTTTGAGCTTGCAACTTAATATAAAAAAGTATTAAACAATTAAAAATAAAAACATGTTTTAGCCTGTCAAATATTTCCCGAACTTGGGATAGAAGAATTTGAAATAGAGGATACAGAGGGGGCTGCCATAAATATTTATTTATATGAATTTATATTAATATATTAAGAAAATAAAATGTTCTTTTATTTGAAAATACATTGTTTTTCTTGTATTGCATTTGTACCTTCATCATTTAATGTTTTACCCAAAAATCGCTAAAAAATACCTAAATAATAATAACTAATCATAAAATAAATATTTTGTGTAAATCGTATTTAAGTCTATAAAAGTATACACTAAGGTAAGTAGAAGTTTTTAAATTGTAATATTTTGTTATAATTTTTTAATTTAAATCCTTAATGGGGAAATGAGTTACATTTTAAAATAAATTTTAGCCTTTTTTAATAAAATGGCCAAAATTATTTAAAAATATTCCATTTTATACTGAATTTTGAATTACCCTATATTAATGTACTTTAAAAAGGACATGAAAATAATACTCAATTACAATAATGACAGAACGAAATGTTCAGTTAACAGTTAATTTTAATAAATTTACAAAAAAATAGTTTTACATTTAACATAAAAATATACTCATTTAACAATATATTTTGTCAAATTTACAAAAATTTGGTTTTACTTACAACAGTAAAATTATATTTATTTAAAAACATATTTAAGTAAATTTACAAAAATTTAGTTTTACTTTTAACAATAAAATTTGGTTAATTTAACAAAATATTTTAACAAATTTACAAAAAACAGTTTTATATTCAACAATTAAACTATTATAATTTAACAACATATTTTAGCAAATTTACAAAAATTAGTATAACCTTATACAAAAAATGTTTGTTTATATAGCAATATATTTTGTAAAATGTACAAGAAATTAAAGTTATTTAGTAACATTATTTTGACACAAAAACAAATCAGTTGTTAAAGTGACTAAATTATTTAACTATATAAGTGGTTAATTGTCCAATAAATTATTGTAAATTTAGCAAAATAGTATGATTATTCATTATTACCTATAGCGATTTTTGTAAATTGCCACTTTAATTGCGTGGACTTATGTGAACAATATTTTGATGTCAGGATGGCAACAATTTTTTTACTGTGTACCTATATAATAGTAAAATATACCATAATCTACGTATAAAGGTACCTATACTAAGTATTAAATACTAAGTAAAAAACACAACCCAAAATATTTTTTTTATAGTTATTTGTCAAATTAAAACAATATTTGATAACAAAAATACTTTTACTATAGGTATCTAAATTATCCGGCTTTTACATAAAATCTTCTATCCAACTTAAATACAATGAAAAATGTTTTTTTTATGAAGAACTATTTGGTTTTTTCTTTTATGAAGAATTATTTTATAAAGAAATATTTAGTTTTTTATATTTTATTTTATGTTAAAAATAAATATTTCTTAATTTGTATACCGATTTTTGATTTCTGAATTAACATTTTTATGTATAATAATCAATCTAATCTGACTTATCCCACAAAATTTTCCAATTTTACTTTTTATGAAATAATGTCATACAACTTATGGTTTAGAGGTCAAATTGTTTATTTAATATTTTTAAATAAATATATATTAATATGTCGCAAAATTTTTTAAGGGGACGACAAATACATTTCACTGTCATATTATGACAGTGAGGCGTATTTGTCGCCCCCACCCACCCTGTCAATCCCTTGTCTATGTTTGTCGCCTCCTGAAGAATTTTACGAATGTAGAATCCAACATATTAGAACGTGGGTATCTGACATAATATGTCAGATACCCACGTTCTAATATGTTGGATATTATTTGGAAATATTCTCAAAAGCTTCCTAGAAGCTCCATAAGAAACCTTCTAAGAACATTCCAAAAACGTATTCTTAAAATGTTCTTAGAATGCTTTTTAGGAAGGTTTTAAGAAGCTTCTAAGAATCTAATTGCATCATTAAAAGGGTATCTATTGAATGTTTTAAAAGTCCCTAAGAACATTCTTAGCAATAAGGGAAGGTTCTAAGAATATTCCATTATTCCGGGTCATATCTTCTTAGAAGATTCTTAGAATCAAATTTTGCTATCAGGGATCTCATTTGGTATGGTTGGTTTATTTTTTGACATAACACTTTTTCAATATAATAGGCAAAAAATAAGTTTAACACTATTGTTTTTTACAAAATATAATTAGTTCATTTTTCTTACCTGTCTGTATGTATAAGACAAAAAGGCTTTCTTGTGGTCAACTCTATCATTTTGGACATTCCATAATCTGCTATTAATACTGTACTGCATGATATTCCTGATAACAGGGCCAGAAATGTAAAAAACCAAATACAGACCTGTAAGAAAAATATTAAAGTAATCCCTGCGCATTCGCCATTTTTTCAAGTCCGTTTTTTTCTGTTTGAACTTTGACCCTTCTTTATTTTTTTTTAGTGTAGGTATTTTATACAAGGTGTCCAAAATCGATCCAAAAATATTAAGGAGTGTACACCTCGGATTTTTTCTTATTTTCTGCTGTAGAATCACCCCTTACAATTTTTGGATGAAATTTGGAGACACCCTGTATATTAAAGTTAAAATGATCCCCTAAAATTTCGGTATACATATACGTTTTGTATAAATAATTTAAGTTTAAAAATCAAAAGTTTATTGACTTATTTGTATCTTATAATATATTTACCTACATGTATTGAATGCTAATATTCAAAAATGCATTCTTCACTTTTAAAATTGTACAAAATTTTAAGAGAAACAGTATTTTTTATTTTTCGAAGTTAATTTATAAGTAAATCTACTATTCAGGAAGCTAAAATAATGCATTACAATATTATTTAACATTCTTGGTTTGTGTGTATTTTTTTTATTATTTTCCAAGGTTTATTTATTTATATTTCCATTATATTACGTGAATTTTAATATTGAATTTTTTATTAATTTGTTCAGATCTTTAATTGATATAATTATTTTATTCGCGAGGTTTTTGGTAATCAGCGAAATTGCGAAAAACTAGCAATATAATTTATTGAATTTGAAAAATTATTTTATTTAAAAATAGCAAAATATACATAAGTTAGCACTAAAATGAATGTAAAAAAGGTATTTTTGCAATTGAGCAAATCTAAATTAATGTTCTTATAGAAAGAAGATGTGGTGTTTGTAAAATTTAAAAATTTTTACTTTCACTTTTCAATTAATTGGTTAAAGTATTTATTAGAAGCATTTTCAAAATAATTTTCATGTCAAGAAAAAAATGCCTTTAAAGTTTTAGCCCTTAATCTTACTCCTAGGTACTTTTATTTTAATTTTAAGTTTTCCTATTGAACTAACTTTTTTTTTCAATTTTATACTTATTGGAGTAGATTTGAGTCTCTCGTCTAGCGACTCGAAACGTAAACCTCATCCTCGTGAATCCTCGCCATGACAAGTAGTCAAATATGATTTTATTATCAATATAAATATATATTTAAATTTAATTGAATTAATTTGAATGATTATTTCCCTCAATATAATATGAACCAATCAAAAGCCTTGAATTTTCGAATAAATTTCGTTTAAATAAGCGATTAAATCACTAGAACTATTTAACAGCGATTAAATTTTAGCCTCCATATTGGATTTTTGTTTACGATTTTACGGTGTTATTTACAAGTTTTAACAAACATTTTTTAAAAAACAATAAAAAATAAGTTATCTAGTTTACGAAATATCCATTATTACTTATTACATACCTTACATTAATGGAATTTTCTTTAAAAAAATGTTTATAAATTTTGACACATACGTCAGGTTTTATGAATTGTCAAATAGTTTTCTTTAATTGGAGAAATAATCTAGACGTATATCACTCAACCTATAAATTTAACCTGTCAAACTATGCTCAGTAAGTTTTTTATTTGATTTTTCTTTTTGAAAAATAGTTTCATGCAAAATAATTAAAAATAAAACCCCTCGTGATTTTATTAAATTATTTTGCATTCAACATTTTCCAAGAAAAACCAAACAAAAAACTACTGAACCTATAGTTTAACCGATTAAATTCATAGTTCTCGTGATATATGATTAAAAACATTTTTTTACCAATATCGCGAAAACGTGATCTAATTGAGCGTGTTTTATAAATTTGTAACTACCAATTACTAAAAAGAAGTTTTGCAAGCCTTCATGAAAACCTTATGTTTAATCACAAAACAATAATTAATGATATATAATAAAAAGAATATCCAATTAAAAAAGTATTATGTATTATAAATATATGTTATTTAGTAAATATATTGTTTCATTCTCATTACTTACGCATTTTATCCAAAAATCTGAACTTGACATTAATTTTTTTATTAATAAAGTAAGCAAGAATTGCATAAGACGATTTTTTAAAGATCAAACTAAACATTTAAATATGTTGGTGCTATTTTAATGTAATTCAATGTTGCTGACCTTAACACTTATAAACAAACACGTTTGGCAGATTTTGTAAGTGTTGATTCATTCCCTCTTAATTCTGGATCAATGCCAATGTCAAGTTTTATAAAATTTTCAAAATAAAAAATTTTGAGGATGAAAAATAAAGTGATTTAAGGATCAAAATACATAATTTGGTTCAAAATCATTTTTAAACTTTTTAATCAAAATCAATAAAAATGTGATCAAAATTTTAATTGCAAAAGTTGTTTAATAATTTGCATTTCTATTCAATTTTTATGACAATTGGTCAGTTTCAAAATTAATAAAAAAATAAAAACTAAAAATGTTTAGAACATTAAAGCAATTTAAGCTTGTGATCAAAATCCATAATTTTGGATTAAAATCCATAAAATGTCATAAAACAAAATTGTTTTTAATGAATGAAAAAATAAAGTTCTGATTAAAATCCATAATTTCTTTCAAAATCCATACATTGAAATCAAATATCATAAATTTATATTTTAATAACTTGTTTTAATAATTCTCATTTAGATTAATTTTAGAATGCCAATTTCAATTTTTATGTAAGTTGACGATAGTTTAAAAGTAAAAAAAAAGTATAAAGAAGTAAAAAATAAAGCGATTTAAGCTTGTTATCAAAATCCATACTTTTATCATTTGGATTAAAATCCATAAAACCATAAAATTGTTTTTTGAATTAAAAAAATAGGGATTTAGGCGTCTGATTAAAATCCATAATTTCGTGCAAAATCCATACTTTTAATCAAAATTCATAATATTGCGATTAAAATCTATAAATGGATATTTTGGTGTCAATAGTTGTGTTCAATAATTTGCATTTCGATAACTTTTTGAATTGATTAGACATATGTAAATTTTTAAGGAAATTTACCATGGTATAATATTAAAAAAAAGCAAACAATTTTAAAAACGAAAAAATACAAAGCGATTTAAGCATGTGATCAAAATCCATACTTTTGATCAAAATCCATAATTTTCGATTAAAATCCATAAAAAGATATGTATGTATGTTTGGTAATTTTCGCTGTCTTACCTTCATTTTTGATGAGTTTTAGAACCTAAAAAGACAAAAACACGTTTAGTTTTATAAAAACATGCAAGACTGACTAAAAATTTAAATTGGGGTTCTTTATATAAAAAGTGTTTTCTTGCAAAAAATACTTGCAGGGGGTTTCCTTGTATTCTAATGACGCTAAAACGTTTAAATAAAAACCCAAATTATTTTAAATATTGTTTGTACTTTATCTACTAAACAAAGAAGTAAAAACAACTGCTTACCAAATTTGGCTTTTTATGTTAACTTTGGTTAAATATCTCGCAGTTAACTTGTTAAAAGGCTAATTAATTTAAATATTTCAAAGAATTAATTAATTTATCTGAAATTAACATTTTTTTGGTTTTTTATTTTAAATTCTATTCTTTCAGCATTGTCATAAACTGTTGCATAAACATATTGTGAAAATCACATTTTTATAAATAAATGTCATAAAATTTGTTAAATATTTACCATCTTATGAAATTAACAACTATAGTTATATATTGATGTATTGAGAAGAAAGGTTAATGATATTTAAATGTTTATTTATTTATTTCATATTAGAAATTGTCTTTGTTTATATTTTTATTTTATAATTCTCAGAAAAAATAATCAATCCACACTAATTATCGATGAATTTCAATCGCAAATAGGCTTTTTTTATGTGAACCAAAACCAAAAATGTTAAGAATAAATTTACAGAATTTAAAGTCAATTTTATTTGTTAAAAAATTGACATCTGTCAACTGTCACCCGAATTTAACCTCACTTTTTCCCAATTAAATAAAGTTAACTTCAGCCCGTGACTAAAAAGCGCAAAAGGAACTGTTTTTATCTTTAGTCCGTGTACAGCTCGTCAATGTAGGAGTTGATAATAGTATATTTCACATAATAGTAGGAAACATAAATTATACACATTCATGTTTTTAACGAAATAAAATCTTTTTTAAGCATAATTGGGCAACAAATTCAAAGTGCTGTTACATGAACAGTTTTTGTCCAATTTTGAGGAAATTCAAAAAAAAATTATATAATTTTTTGTTTGCTATTTTCGGGGCACCCTATATTTTAATAAAAAATATTTTTTTTAAATAGTTGTTTTACTTAAAGAATCGTGAAAAAATATCATACCTAACTAGTAAAATAATAAAATAACTCTTTAAAAACTTTGTCATTCCTAAATAAACAAATATAAATTTTAAGGAAACAATTAGGAATAAACTAGGTACCTCAGACCTGTGCTAGGTACCTATTTTATGTTTTTAAAAATAAAAACCATTATTTGTAAAATTTTCAGATATTTTATAAAATCTATAAATAATAAAAAAATACGTACTGATTATAAAATATTACAAACCATATACGACAATTAATATAATGGGAACGTTTTGTACAAATCAATCACATAAAATAATTAAAAAAAAAACATTACAAAATCACTCACACAAAAATTTGCAAAATAAACAAAAAATTTCTATAAATTAATCAATTAAAACTCACCTGAAGATTTAAAATTAACCACAGTCTTATTAAAGCGCGAATCAATGATTTTTTTAAAGATTTTAATCAAACATATTTAAAATGAAGATTATCAAACCCCTCCATGATTTTGAGACCTTAGGATTCATGGCCAAAAAATATTGATTTTTATTGGAAATGCCTAAATGTAGGCAACTACGGTTACACGTAGATGTAATGTGAGTTATGTATACATAGGTATTTATTTCATTTTTGGAGTATTTTGCAATTATTATTAAATATTTTTGGTAAAATATACTGTATAATTGTTATATAAACCAAAATTAAGTGGTTTTAACATTATATTAAATGTTTTGTACGGGTCTGATATGTTCGCAACCTCCACTAATTATACCAGATTACACTGGTTAACATGATTCAAACGGGTGCTTGAATAGAATATTTTTATAAATTAAGATTAGCTAATATGTAAAAGTATAAACGATATTCAGCTCCTTAATACGATTAAAATGTGAGTCAAATTATTTGATTCAAAAAGGGTAAGGTAATTGGTGTACACTTTTATTTTTCGCGCTACACTTCGAATATACTTTTTACAGTAAAAATTTTACTTTGTCAAGTTTGTTAACATGATTTTAATGACGTTTAATATTTAGTCGGTTCGGTGGTTAAAAGTAATGTTATTCTTCCTCTAAAAGTAAAAAAAACAAGTAAAAACGGAGTGAAAAACTTTAGAAATCGCGTTAATACGCGACAAATTATTATTTCCTTTATTTTCACCTTAAAATTCTACGTTTAAAGTACATAAAAAGCAATAATGTTGAAACTAACATATTTAATTTCTGTGATAACTGTATTTTTTGGAATCTGTGCATCTCTGAGTATACCGGAAAACACTGAAAATACTGTAAACGAAAAATTCCTAGACGACCCTAAATACTTAAACTACGATGAATTAACTAATTTATTTAAACAATTGGAATCTGAATACCCAAATTTGGTTCATTTAACATCTGCGGGAAAAAGTGTGAGAAATAGGGAATTATGGGCTCTTGAAATAAACGCAAATGTTCAAAATAGAAGTTTACTTACACCGATGTTCAAATATGTGGCAAATATGCATGGTGACGAATCATTAGGTACGTTAAGCTCTATTTATTATTAGTTTTTAATATAAAGGTGGTCCAAATTTTACCAGCTGATAGTTTATCAAAAAAAAAGTTTAATACAAGACTTAGGGCCTGTTTATCAATATCTGGTTAAGTTACAGTTAGTCTATTTGACAGTTATATTCCATATTGATGGTTGTGAGAACAATGGTATCCATGGAGATTATCTGCTAGGTAACTAACTGCAACTTAAACTGACATTGATGAACCGGCCCTTAATAGATTAAAGTTGCACACATACTTATCTTCAGTTATGCTAAAGGCAAAAAAAGCAAGTGGGACAGTAATATTAAATATGGTTTTTAATAAATAAACATTTTTAGTAAGATTCATATACTTTTTTTTAATTATTTAAAATTGGTAGTACTTCTGTTCCAAGGACTTAATTTTAAATACTTTGACATTTCGTCACCTGAGAATTATAGTGTTCTATCTGCATTTTCTTTTTATTATTCAGGTTAGTCTTGTTTTAAGTATTAAAGATGCATATTGTTCTATCTATATATAATTGGGGTAGAAATTGTACAGTTTAAGCCTTAAACTTTACAATTTCCACCCCAATTATATATAGATAGATCAATATCATCTTTAAGACTTAAAACAAGACTAACCTGAATAAAAAAAAGAAAATGTAGATAGAACACTATAATTCTCAGGTGACGATTTATTATTAATTGTCAATAAACAATGCCAAAGATACCAGAAAATTCTAAACAAAAAGAAATTTTAAAAACTAAACAGTACCTACAGCATTTTGGTGAAATAATTACCAATGCCACAGGAGGAAAACCAGATAAAAGATATTTTTGGAGTAAAAAGGGACATATTTGGTTTCACCTAATTAAAATCAAAACAACAATAATATTATATTTTATGAAATTTTGAAAAACATTGCAGAGAAAAATTTTTTTAACAAGTTATATAGTCAATGCAATATAATGACGTCAGGATTACCAACTTAAAGTTACTGCCGTTAAATTTGCTTTTTTAATTCTGATGTGTTATAAAAAAATATCATTTGCAAATTGTTGACCAAGAAATTTCCCTGTTTTAAAACGGTTTTTTACGAAATTATCAAAATAAAACCATTCACTTAGTAATTTTTGTGTGTGCAAGTTACTAATAGCTTAAGGCTGCCAGTTTAGTATTTTTGTGTTTCTGGTAATTTAGTATTTTTTGTTATGTAGGTACATGTGTAATTAACTCTGTTTTCTCTCTAAACACATTTAATTAAAATTTGCCTGTAACAGACTCCTAATTAGTATTTGGCTGCGACTATATTTGACATTTCAAAATTTAGAAACATACTCTTAACCTCCTATAATTATAACTTAACCACAATTATATTCTCCACTAAATTATGTTCTTTTACTGTATGTAGCCAATTTTAAATTTAGGGTCCCTAGAATTTGCCACCTAAACCCCCAAACGTTTTTGCTAGATTTCAAACCCCCTGAAAATTAAACACATCATTTTTATATTGTCTATGGTTAGTTTGCAATTTTAATTTTTTTTAAACATTTTGGACAATTTGTGATATTTTAATTAATTAGGTCGATGTTTTTCTTCATAGGATTATATTGAAATAATACAATTAAACAAATAAAATTAATAAAGAATACAATTATTTTTATAACTTGTTGTACAACATTATTTTTCTTAAATCACATTGGTAAAGAAATTTATACTTAATATGTAGTAAATTAAATGTAGAATAATAAAAATTGTACCTCTTATACTTTTTGAGATATTATAACATTTTGTAACAACCACAAGTTTTTTCTGAGACACATCATTTTTATATTGTCTATGCTGCTGTGTTAAGCTTAAAGGTCGTTTCTGCAATATTTTGTAGTAAACGATAAAAAAAGGCTTTTTTGCTTAACTACTACATATTGCAGATATGAAGTTTTGTCTTCGAACGGCAGTTTGTGGTAGTAAAGAAAAAACTTTATTCTTTATTGTTTTTAAAAATTAAAATTTTCGTCTGTCCTTTACTACAAAATATTGCAGATACGACCTTTAAGATTAACCCTTTAACCCTTTAAGCTTAACCATAATGGTTAGTTTGCAATTTGGATTTTTTAAAACATTTTGGACAATTTTTGATATTTTAATTAATTAGGTCGTAGTTTTTCTTCATAGGATTATATTGAAATAATAAATTAAATAAATAAAATTAATAAAGAATAATTAATAAAGAATAATTTTTCTTAAATCACGTTGGTAAATAAATTAATACTAAATATGTAGTAAAATAAATATAGAATAAAATTTATTGTAGCTCTTATACTTTTTTCAGATATTTTAACATTTTATAACAACCACATTTTTTTTCCTTAGGTAGGCAACTTATGGTTTATTTGGCCTTATATCTGATTAAAAATTATGGCAAAGATGAACGTGTAACAAAATTGGTGAACACCACAGATATTTATATAATGCCTAGTATGAACCCAGATGGTTTTGAAAATTCTGAGGTAGGTATTTATAAAAATTCTTATCAAGTGTTATTTTTCTAAATAATTTAAAAAATTTTTTTTTCAAATTCGCTACAATAAAACATATTCAATCTTAAAAAATGAAGTAATTTTTCAAAATGAAATTTGGAGTAAAATGTATATTAATAATAAAGTCTAGAATATATTACATTTTTCATTATTGAAAATTTTGACCGGGAATAAAAAATCGGATTTCTTATTATTTTGAAGTTTTCACATAAGAAACCAATAACAATGTAAAACTTCTACACTAATGGAAAAAATTAAAGGATACAAAAAAAAATTCAAATTTTTTTGCGATTTTTCGGATAGCTGTATCTTCGTTAAAAATGGTCGTATTGGAGCCGTAAAAAAAGCAATTTGAAGCTTTAAGGTTCTAGTTTTAAGATTTTTAGATAAAAAAAATTTCAAAGCAACGAGCAACGCTAAATTCTAACGAATACCGTATTAAAAAAAAATTTTTTTTACTTTCTTTTTTGTTCCCCGTCTTGGAAAAAATGTTCTTACTTAAACACCAATGAATAAATGTTCTAAAAGAATTTGCTATTGTTTAAAAAGAAATCCAAAATCCAAAATCATGAAAAAGGGCTTTTGGTAGCTTATTAGAAAATCAAGAGCTGAATCAAAAATATTATTAGACCAAATCAAAACGAGCCCTTATTGGTCAATTCGGTGGTGGTGGCGCGTGCAAAGCGCGAGACTGTATTTACATTTACTAAATGTCATTTAGTGGCTAAATTTTATTAATTTTTTGTTAAAATTATATAAGGCGGTAGAATTTTTGGAATCTTCAAACATTGTTTAAAATATTCCATGTCTATTCTTTAACATTTTTCAACAAATTACCTAAGAAAACCCAGGGCAAATTATGCTAACTTAAACTTAAATGTAACATAGTTTGTTTTTAGTAAAAACTCTTTACATAATCAAATAGTAAATTAAAAAACCTTTTGATTGATATTACTATTCCATTATATTATAATGTCAAAAATGTATCAACATATTAACCTAATAACAAAAAAGTTATAGATCATTTTTGATTGAAGCGCATTTCTTAAATTTTAACAAAAAAAATTAATAAATCGAAAACTATCCACTTTGGGTATAGCAATTTGACTCAGATTTTTTTTGAAAATGTAAAAATATATGGGGTGTATTTGAAATAAAAAAGTTAAAGTAACGGACTGCGAATGTGAAACACCCTGTATATAATACATATTTAATTTAATATGTATTATAATCAATTATGACCACCACTTTTTGATATAAAACATATTTTATGTTAGTTTTATTGACTTATTTCAAACATTCATATTTGTTTTATTTCAGTTTTATATTTAACAATTGGACATTATTATATTATTGTAAATATTAAAATAGTATGTATTGATAAACAACAAAATTTAAATTTGTACTTATCATAGCAATAGCTATTATTTTCCCATATTTATTTATTTTGTTATCAGTTTTTAGAAGTAATTGACCAATAATCAATAAAAAAATGCCAGTTTCCAACGAATCTATATAAATTATTTGACCTTCTGCGTCTTTAGCAATATTTTGCTAATCAACAATAAATAATTTGATGATAATTAAATGAAACATTTTTAGGAGGGCCTCTGCGAATCAAAACCGAAATACGTAGGACGGGAAAACGAGAACGGAAAAGATTTGAACAGGGATTTCCCTGATCAATTCGAACCCACAAGAATCGGTACAATTTTATCCGGTAGACAACCGGAAACGGTTTCCATGATAACCTGGATCATTTCGAGGCCGTTCGTACTTTCCGGGAACCTCCACGGCGGCGCTGTGGTCGCAAGCTACCCATATGACAACTCAAAGTAAGTAGAATGAGGTTATAAAGAATAAAAAGAAGTATTTTTCTACTTCCACCCTTAAAACGCCCATTATCGTACATGTTTCCATGAAAAATACACATTGACAAGTTGTGGCTTTATGGAGCTTTAGTCACGGGCTGAAGTTAGCAACAGGTTTTTAGTCACAGGCTGAAGTTAGTTTTAAGTTAGTTGACAGTTGTCAAATGTCATACAATCGTTAAAATAAAGTGCCTTTCTTGTAAAATAATACTAAATGTGAACATTATTTTATTATCTTAATAAAAAAATACAAAAACAGTGCCCATAAATCATTCTCTTCTCTGAATTCCAATAAATACAACTGTCACTTTTTGTACCTTTAACATTCCCAATGTAAGAATTTTTAATACTTTGTAATAATTAACGTAATAAAAAATCAGGATGAAATATTTTCTTAACATAATCATATTTTGAAGTTATTTTAAGGTATTAATAATTGTTTAAAGTTTAATTAATATAATAACGGGCAATATTAATGGCAAAAATTACCTCAAACATGTTTATTTGGATGGTTACTTTATTTTCTTATAGATGTCGCTTTATACAAATATTTCATTTAAATCATTTTTAGGTTATATTAAGTATTTGTCGTAGAAAAAGTACAGTATGCAACTCGTTTATAAACTTTTCTAGGCACTCATTTAATTAAGTACTCGCTCGCAAGCTCGCTCATGCTGTAATTAAATTCGTGACTAAAATGGCGTTTATCAAACTTGATACGTAATATAATATTAAGGTATTAGCGACGCCAAACGTAATATTTTCACTTTTTTTAATTAATTATTTTAATGTATAAAGGGTTGCATATCAAATGTTCTTAAAGTGCGTAAATTTTAGAATAATTTGCAATTCAAATTTTCAAACAGTCTTGTTTCGCATTTGACATGGTCAGTATGAAGTAAATAAACAACTGAATTCAATTAATCTTGTTTTTATACAATATTTTAAAATAATTATTTTTGTTTTTTTATTTAAAGTTAAATATTTGTTATAATTTTATAAGTTATATAATACGATTTTCATATGTAAATACATTTACCATTCAAACAAGACAACAAATATAGGTAAATAATCCTCACTATTGTCCAAAGTTTTATTTACTTAATAATTATTTAAAAAACTTTTCACAAATATATACACAATAAAAAAATAACGTTTCTTGAGGAAAATTTTAATTTCCGTTTATGGGTTTTAACTCCTGATAAAACTACTATGACTATGCACTACTATGACGAAATTAAAAGATCAGTACAAATGTTTACATAAACTTTTCAAATATTGGCGTTGAGAAACTATTTAATACTTTTGTATTTTTGTATTGAGATAATAAAATAATTTTCACATTTAGTTATATTTTAAAGGCACTTTATTTTAACGATTGTATGATATTTGACAACTGTTAACTAACTTAAAACTAACTAAAAACCTGATGCTAACTTCAGCCCGTGACTAAAGCGCAATAAAACGTTTGTATGTGTATTTAAAAGGTCACTTAAGCTGGGTTCTAACAGAGAAATAACGTAGTATAATTTAATTTAACTTTAAAAGTAATTTAATTTAATTTAATTTACTTGCAATGATACAAAAAGTAACGTAATTTAATAGTGTTTGAAATTAAAAACAATATTTTAAAGATATTGCTTACTTCATGTATCTAAAACTTAAAGTTTTGGATTTATATGGCTTACTTTGGTAATTACAATCGAAATATTTTTCTTATTATTAAAACTGTTTACACAAAATAGGTTAGATTCTCCCAAAATAGGTTAGATAATACGAAATAACCTTGAAATAACGTAATTTAATTTAAAAGATAAAAGTTGGCCAACTATTAAATTAAGTCTTAAATTACCTACATCACTGTATGAACGTTACAAAGGATTGTTGGGTTTTTAACTTTTAAGTTAAATTAAATTAGATCTTAAATTAAATTACTTTTCTGTTAGAACCCGGCTTTAGTGTCATGAAAACATGTACGATAATGGGCGTTTTAAAGGGGGAAGTGGAAAATAGTATATTATGTATCAAGTTTGATAAACGCCATTTTATACACGAATTTAATTTAGACACGAGCGAGCTTGCGAGCGAGTGCTTAAATTAATGAGTGAAGTTTATAAACGAGGTGCATACTATACTTTTTCTACGACAAATACCTACTTATTATTATCTTAAAATGATTTAAATCAAAAATTTGTATAAAGCGCCATCTATGAAACAATAGGGGAATCTGTGTGTCACCGTCAAATGTCAATTTTTTTTATTTTATAAACACAATTATAAAGGTTATAAATCGAAATGTATTTCTTAAAAATTGACAGTTTTTCACAGTGAAAGTAAAGAAAATATTTTATGAGCACGTTACAGTGGAGTCCGTGCCCGAATTTAAGTTATAGTTTACTGCCGGCGAAATTAAAAGGTCAGTACAATGTTCATATAAACTTTTCAAATATTGGCGTTGAGAAACTATTTAATACTTTTGTATTGAGATAATAAAATAATTTTCACATTTAGTATTATTTTACAAGAAAGGCACTTTATTTTAACGATTGTATGACATTTGACAACTGTCAACCGAGGGGTCAACCTCCCAAAGAAAAAACTACCAGGGATTCCCATATATTCCCATTGTATTTTATTGTATTCCTATGTATTTCCATTGTATTCCTATGGTATGCCCCCTCTAAAATGTCCAGGGATTCCCAGGTGTGGGTGACCCCTCGCTGTCAACTAACTTAAAACTAACTTCAGCCCGTGACTAAAAACCTGTTGCTAACTTCAGACCGCGACTAAAGCGCCATAAAGCCACAACTTGTCAATGTGTATTTAAAAGGTCCCTTAGTGTCATGGAAATATGCGTTTTAAAGGTGGGAGTAGAAAAAATATTTTATTTAAATGTATGCTTTTTGGTTAAAAAATAAATCAAATAGTAAGACTAATAAAATTTATTAATTTTAAAATGCTTGCATTAAAAAGAATATAGATAATATTATGTATGTCAAAAATCAGTTTTTAACATTTTACATCTATGATGTTAAAAAAACCAAATTATATATGCAAAAATAAAAAATCCTAACAAACCAAATTCTTTGACAGTTATAATCTTACTTGTTATAAAGTTTATAAAATTATTTTTAATATTTAATATTTGCACCTTTAGTATATACTTTTTCTCGATTTTAAAACGATTAAAATCCATTGAAGTATTTAATTGATATGGAAAATAATATAGAAACCATGCTAGATGTAAGATTCCTTCTTAATTCTTGACAAATCTGTTATAAAATCGTGACGCGTCACGTCATGACGTCACGATCTCTCTTCAAGGTAATCGAAGCGTTTTGTATCTGCCAGATACTATCTGGTGGTTTCCAAAACGCTGTAGCGTTCTCAAAAATTGTTTGAGAAACGTAGGAAAAAACGCGTAATTGTATTACAAATATTCAATAAAAAAGTCCCAACCCCATTAAGCCTTCAATATATTATAATATTAGGTTGCCATGAATTCGTAGATATAGTTTGTCTTTTACTATTTTAAAATGCAGATGTCGGCGTTTTTTTTTAGGATACTCAAATATAAAAATGATTTTAAGGTTATGTTTGTACAACAATTATTTTTTGTTAAATTTCTTAGTATGCATTTTAGTTAATTTTTAGCATATAATCATTAAAAAGTTTGGTTATCACTTTCCACCACATCTAAATTGGGTCAATTTTATTGTTTTCTTTCATGTTTTAGTACCAAAAGACACTGCTGCAAGGAAAGTAAATCCCCAGACAATGAATTGTTTAAAACTTTGGCTCTAACCTACTCCCAACCCCATCCATTAATGAGAGACGGAAAAGCTTGTAAAAATGATAATTTTGATAGAGGAATCACTAATGGAGCCTTTTGGTATGAATTACAAGGTAACTGTTTTTTTACCATAATTTTAATTACATTAATACGTTCTTTTTTACAGGTGGCATGCAAGACTTTAATTACATCCATTCCAATTGTTTTGAGGTAACATTTGAACTGTCATGCTGTAAATATCCAGAAGCTAAAACATTACCTCAGGAATGGTATAATAATAAGGAATCTTTGCTAAGGTAAAAAAATAATATTTTTATCAAAAAATTTAAAAAAAAAATTGTTTAGATATATCGAATCTACTCACTGGGGTGTAAAGGGTTTAGTAACTGATACTAAAGGTGAACCCGTACTGGATGCAGATGTTGTGGTAACAGGAATAAATCATAATATTACAACAAGTAATAGAGGGGAATATTGGAGATTATTATTGCCGGGACAATACGAGATGTACGCCTCTGCTTTTGGGTAAATATTAATTACTTTCCTTTTATCAATTTTATTTGTTTGGACTTGAAACATTTGATTACATCGTTAGTATTTTATTATAAATAAATGATGAACAAAAAATGTTAGGGAAATAAAGTAAATATAAATAAATGCCCGTACAAAATACCACATATTCCGAAATAATGCTATATAACTATATTTACTTCCATACAATATATTGCAAATTTTAACTATAGTTGAAATTTGCAAGGTGTACCTACAGTTAATTTTTTTATTACTTGGACTCGTGTTTTTTTATTAAGTTGGTAGCTTATGCTAGTTTGATTTAGTATTTTTAGTATTTAAAAAATGGTAAAGTTATTTTTTTTATCTGGACTGCGGCAACGTTGCAAATTTAGGGTTTTGGTAGGTAAATACTGTCAAGTTGGTCGCATTGATTAAAACAAACTAAGCTAGTTATAAATCTAATTGTGGTTTGTATAACATATTGTAGGTTACATTGTGCAGTTGTCAAGTTGAGTTGTCGAAATTTGTAGTTAAAAATGCAATTAATTTGGCTTTGGTGGTGCTTGGATGAGTAAAATCATATAAAAAAGTAGCTAAATATAGGTTGCTTTACGGCTCAGAAGAGAAAGTATTCCTAGCGGATAATAAACTTCGCTTTGAAAAGAATTTATATAATAGAAATTAAAATTTTTTGTGAACGTAAATGTTGTCCAATGGTGAATAATGTGAAAATAATGTGTGATGTAATATTTAAAAAACCAAATTCGTTACTTTTTTACTCCAAAAATGTCCATAAGGCGATGTACTTTTTCTTCCATTGTGGCATTTGGCATTATTTCATCAAAATGAAGTTTTGCCCTCAAAAGGGCTTTTACATTCGAATTCGTTGCTATTATTTTTGGCATAATTATCTTTTTAATAACTGACAAGTAAATTATCAATAATAAATATTATTGCCAATTTGTCAGTTTCAAAGTATTTATTATAATTAAATTCTTTAGCAGAAGTACCATTTTTAAATACTAAAAATACTAAATCAAACTGGCATAAGCCACCAACCTAACAAAAAAACACGAGTCCAGATAAAAAAAAATGAACTTTATGTCGCCCAGAAAAAGATTTTTTTATTTTCACCTACAAAGCTGGACTGTATAGGTTAATTTAGTTATATCCTCAGGAATATGCATTACTATTTTTTACAGGCATTTCAGGGACATAATTTTACACTATTTTTCACTAGTTTTGTTTCTTGCTTTAGCCATCTTAATAATTAAAGTCCAAGTATTTTTTTTCTTTCGACTGTTTTAACTGTGTTTCATGTGTGTAGTTTTCTGCCGTCTGACAAAACATTCGTAACGGTGACCGCTGGACATACGGAAATACAAAACTTTCAACTCAACAGAATTCCGCAGGAAAATGTTAAAGGTAACGGAAAAACAGCCGGTTTGTCTCAAAAAGAATCCAACTGGTATTGGAAAAACTAAAAAAATTGCTTATTCTTTTTTATTTATATATTTTCGGGATTTGGTTATGGTGATAAAAATACTCCTAGGTACTTAAAAACGCTTTATTTTTAATACTCTTAGATCGAAAAATACATATGTTTTTTTATGTGTGTTTGTTTTTTACACGGGCATTTTTATATGTTTTTATATAGGTTATTTTTTTATTTATGTTAATGAATAAATACATTCCAAAAAAATATATGTATTTTATTTCTACTAACACTAACCCCCACCTACTAATTTTCTGCGCACGCTCACAACTTTGCACCACAAAACTAACAAGGTATGGTTTAAATATAGCACATTCAGATATTGTAAAATTTTGGGTTTTTTCCAAATCGCTATATCTTTAAAATTAAAAGTTGGCAATGCCTCAAAATAACAAATTTATATTAGGAAAATTAAAAGCAAAAAACCCAAAATTTTTATGTCATTACCCTAATTAAAACCATTAAATCTCATTTTAATTGTATACATGAAAAATGTTGGAATTTTAGTAAGTCGCTAAAAGCAAGCAAAAAACGAAAATCACAACATTTTTCGCATTTTGAATACACTATATATCCTCTAAAATCATATAATTGTTGTGCTTTTAAACAAAGTATTATTTCAAAAGTAAGTATATACATATATCCGGAATAAAAAAATTTACCAATGTAAGATTCGGTGTACTTTTTAAGAATTTTACCCTTAAAAAAGCCCTAAAATAAATCGATATCTTTAAAAATGTAGTATATATAAGCAAGACACAATATCCCAACATTTTCCGCATTTTGAATACATTATATCGCCTCTAAAATCATATTTTTTAAATACCATGTAATTTTAGCAATATAATTTTAATAGTATAATATATAGTATATTCGCAAAATGAAAAAGTTTGGGAATTTAGTAAACTGCCCTAAAAATAATCCTAAAATAACAAATCGATATTTATAAAAATGTTCCAAATATAAGCCAAAACATAAATCCCAATATTTTTCGTATTAACTCTAAATTCTTATTTGGGTTTTCAAGCAAAGTATGATTTAAATAGTGTAGAATGTTTGCAAAATTAAAAACTTTGCGATTTTAGTAAATCTCTTATATCTTCGGAATAAAAAGTATTACCTACGTAAGATTGGGTGTACTTTTTAAAAATTTTACCCTTAAAAAAGCACTTCCAAAATAACAAATCAATATCTTTAAAAATGTAGTAAATATAAGTAAGACACATTATCCCAACATTTTCCGCATTTTGAATACACTATATTGCCTCTAAAGTCATATTTTTAAATACCATGTAGTTTTTGTGTTTTTAAAAAAAGTATTATTTTAATAGTAGTATATTGTATATTTTAGTATAATTTAATATATATAGTTTTGTAAAATTTTAGTAGTATATAGTATAGTATATTCTCAAAATGAAAAACTTTAAGATTTTGGTAAATCGACAATAACTCCTGAATAAAATTTGGCTTACTTTTAAAGAATTTAGCCCTAAAAATAAAATAACAAATCGATATTTATCAAAATGTTCGAAATATCCAAAAACAAAAATCCCAACATTTTTCGCATTTTGAATATAGTATATTATCTTCATATTCATATTTGGGGTTTTGAGCAAAGTATGATTTAAATGTATAGAATGTTCGCAAAATTAAAAACTTTGCGATTTTAGTAAATCTTTTATATCTTCGGAATAAAAAGTGTTACCAACGTAGGATTGGGTGATTTTACCCTTAAAAAACACAAAAACAAAAAAAATAAATAATAAATTTTAGTAAATCGCTAATATCTCTGGAATAAAACTTGTTACCAACTTAAAATTTGGCCTTATTTATTAAGAATGTTACCCTTAAAACTCATCTAAAATAACAAATCGACATCTATAAGAATGTACGAAATATAAATAAAAAAAAATCAAAATCACATTTTCAGCGTTTTAAATACGGCATATCACCTTTTTTTAAACATACAATTTTTGTGTTTTTTAAACTAAGTAGGATTTGAAAAGTATAGTATGTTCGCAAAATCAAAAACTTTGGGATTTTAGGAAATCGCTAATATCTTTGTTATAAAAAGTGATACCGAAGAAAAATTTGGTGTACATTTAAAGAATGTTACTGTTAAATATTCCCTAAAATTAGAGTCGATGCACATTAAAATGTATTTAATATAAGCAAAAAACAAAAATCCCAAAATTTTGCGCATTTTGAACACACTATATCACCTCATTTTTTGACATTTCAGGCGAATTTACCAAGCTCAAAAAAGACGTAACTCAGTCTTTATACGACGAATATGGGTTTTTAATACATGATGATGATTTATTTAAGCATCATCATTACGCTGAAACGGAAAAATATTTGAAAAGAATGCATACTATTTATCCGAACATAACATATCTGCATTCTATTGGTAAATCTGTGCAAGGCAGGGAGTTATATGTCTTTGTGATTGGTACCACCGCTGAAAAGCATGTTCCAGGTAATTGTCCCGATTTAAGTAAAAAAAAAACATTTTCGATGTAATTTTTTAAGGTATTCCCGAGTTTAAATATGTCGCCAATATGCACGGAGACGAAATTGTCGGAAAGGAAATTTTATTATATTTAATTAAATATTTATGTGAGAGATATGGAACAGATGACAGAATTACCAACTTAATTAGGACAACTAGGATTCATATACTACCATCAATGAACCCAGATGGCTATGAAATGAGTAAAGAAGGTAAATTATTAAATTTAAAGTTTTCACTTTAAAAACTGTAAATTATATTTTAGGCCCTGAAGAGAATATTTTTGGTAGAGGCAACGCAAATAATTTTGATTTAAATAGGAATTTCCCTGATCAGTATTTTACAAACAAGGTATATATTTTTTATTCATATTTTTTCAAAACAACACATTTTTAACTAGTTGACAATTTTTTAAATTGAATATTATTTTAGTATAACTCAATTAGGCAACCCGAAACACAAGCTGTGATGGATTGGATTTTATCAGAACCATTTGTATTATCGGCAAATCTGCACAATGGGGCTCTAGTTGCAAATTATCCATTTGATGACAACCCAGAAAATTTGAATGGTATCGAAAATTTATCACCTGATGATCAAGTTTTCAAGTACTTGGCTCATACTTATGCTGATGTAAGTATAACTTTAGAGAGTTAAATTTGTTTTTTAATGTTTAGTTTAAAACAAAAATTATGATGATTTTTTTGAAAAAAATGGTGTTATTGATAATATAAAAATTTTGTGGTTGAAAATTTCATAAATAACAATAATAACAAAAGGTCAAAAAGTCTTCAATATTTTTACGTGGTTTTTGACATTATTTCATAACTTTTAGACGCATTTGAAAATGCACAAAGATTTACCATGTCCCTTGTTTCCAAATGAGCATTTTGATGGGGGAACCACAAATGGGGCGAAATGGTATTCAGTTACTGGAGGCATGCAAGATTGGAACTATCTAGTTGCAGGTAAGATTACTTTATCTTGGTTCACATTGGTGTTTTTAAATTTCTGGAAAAATTGAGCCGTCTGAAAAAAAACTGAAAAATTGGGAATTTTTGTCTAGAAACCACTTGTAGAGTATTGCACACTATTTTCGGGACACCCTGTATACAATTTTACACTTTTACTGGCTTAAAGGTGCAGAAGAATGTTTTTTCCCGGAAATATTAGAATTAAAAAAGAATTAAAGAAAATAATCATTTATTCATAAATAATATAAGAAAGCTCCCTGTTTTAAAATGTGTGTATTTTAAAATTGTCCAAAAAATTCAATTCTTCCCAAAGAAGCCAAAGAAATGTCGAAAATAAAAAAACCTTGTTGAATAATTAAAAGAAGTGTCAAAATTACCATGTCATATTATGTTAGGGTTAAACCTCTTTTTTTAAATTGTCCCATATCTATCCTCTTTAAACTTTCTAAAATATCCCATCTTATAAAATAGTATATTATGTATAAGTTTGATAAAGTATGAATAAGTTTGATAAACGCCATTTTATACACGAATTTAATTTAGGAACGAGCGAGCTTGCGAGCGAGTGTTTAAATTAATGAGTGTATAGAAAAGTTTATAAACGAGGTGCATACTATACTTTTTCTACGACAAATACCTATTATTATCTTAAAATGATTTAAATCAAAAATTTGTATAGACCGCCATCTATGAAACAATAGGGAAATCTGTGTGTCACCGTCAAATGTCAAATTTTTATAATTATAAACACAATTATAAAGGTTATAAATCGAAATGTATTTATTGAAAATTGACAGTTTTTCACAGTGAAAGTAAAGAAAATGTTTTATGTGCACTTTACAGTGGGGTCCGTGCCCGAACTATTTAATACTTTTGTATCTTTGTATTGAGATAATAAAATAATTTTCACACTTGGTATTATTTTACAAGAAAGGCAATTTATTTTAACGATTGTATGACATTTGACAACTGTCAACTAACTTAAAACTAACTTCAGCCCGTGACTAAAAACATGTTGCTAACTTCAGTCCGTGACTAAAACGCCGTAAAGCCACAACTTGTCAATGTGTATTTAAAAGGTCACTTAGTGTCATGGAAACATGTACGATAAAGGGCGTTTTAAAGGTGGGAGTAGAAAAAATAACTTAATAGTAACATTTTAGTCACGAACGAGCTTGTATACTATACTTTTTCTGCGACAAATACTTATTATCTAAAAAATGATGTAAATTAAATTTTTGTAAAAAGCGACATCTATACGAAAATAAAGTAACCATCCCAATAAACATTTTTGACCTAATTTTCACCATTAACATTGCCCATTATTATTTTAATTAAACTTAACAACTATTGAAACTTATTATTATAATAATATTTTGAAGTTATTTAGGTATAATAAATATAATATTTTAAAGTTTCAATAAATGTAAAAAAAATATTTTAATTTTTAATTTTTTTATTACAATAATTGCAAAATATTATTACAAAGTAGGTATTAAAAATTCTTACACGGGAAATGTTAAAGGTACAAAAAGTGACAGTTGTGTTTATTGGAATTCCCGTTAGAATTTCTAACTTGGGAATCTCTGGCGTTAAAATCTCAAATTTTTCTGTGTAAATCAAAATTTATCCCTTAAAAATATAGAAGGAGTTTTTCACAGCAAAAGAGAAGGGAATGTTTTATGGGCACTGTACGCAAATTTTTTGACATTTAAAAGTAAATTAACCAAAATTAATTTACATACTTACTTTATTTAAATAGGTTGCATGGAAATAACCATTGAGCTAGGATGTATAAAATACCCACCTGCATCATATCTACCAACGTATTGGTTAGATAATAGAGAAGCTTTGGTAACATTCATAGAACAGGTACATTTTATTATTCTCTTAAATTGTTTTAATCTTTATTATTGATTTTTGTTAGGTCCACAAAGGTATTTCAGGCTTTGTTAGAAGTACAATCGGTTCTGCGATTTCCAACGCTGACATCATGGTAACCGGTATAAAACACCCGGTAAAAACCGGCAAAAATGGAGACTACTGGCGTATACTTTTACCCGGACAATATAGCGTAACGTTTGCTGCAAGAGGTTACGAAAGCTACACTACTGATATTGTAAGTATACTTTTTTAAAAAACCTTACACCCATGGTACATTAGGGTGTCCGTTATTTACCAACTTGTTTTTTTTGTTTGAAGCGCCCCCTAAATTTTTAGTTTATGACCTAAAAAAATTATAAAAAAATATTCATATTAAACCGTTCCACAAAGACGATACATTTTTCATTTAAATGCAAGTTTTACATTTATTTTTTTTCTCCCGAGCAAGTTAGTATACAGCAATAAGTGATACATATTTTTATAGGAAATTGAACGCTGTACAAAAAAGATCTCTTATGATTTTTCGACAAATTCACTGGTTTAAAAGTTATTTAAGGTTAAAATTGAACTTATAGTAATTTTTTTGATTTTTTTACTTTGACTGCAAAATTATAATTTTTATGAAAATATATTGTTAATTTTTGAAAATATGTAATTTTATTGAATTATTAAAAAAACAAAAATTATTGCAAAGAGATAATTAAGTGAAAATTATTGACAAGAGATTCCGATAAATTAAATTTTTTTTATTACATTAAAAGAATCTGGTACTAGTTTTACTCAAATTTACTTTTTTTATATAATCTTTTCATTTTGTGAAATTTTACAAAATTTTATCAATCAATAATTTTATGGGTGATTCTACAAAAGTTGGACAACTTTATGTCATCAGTCAATAGAGTAGGTATTTTAATATTTTTTGTAAATATTTTAGTAAATTACAAAAATTTCCAGGTTTTTTTAAATTGTCCACCCAATTTTTATGTATTTTTTCAAAAGCACGTTTGTAGAAAAACATAATAAATATTCAAAGCATCAGTACCTTGGCGTGTCACAACTCCTGAATTAAATATTTGAGTGATTTACAAACTATAAAACATTAAATAATGTATTTTTCATATTTTATCATAGATTCGAATAATAGCAATTTTTAAAAAATTGATACTCTTTGTACTCACTTTTGCCCATCAGTTCTGTGTTGAATGTTAAAATTCAAAATTCCTGCAAAATATTGAAGTTTAAACGTCAGGTCCTCGTTTTAACTCAACTGTTGGTAAAAAATTACCTACAGAGCCCGCCCTTTGCACGACAGTCATCTTGAAAACAATGCAAGCGGCGAAGTTGTGGTGAATGCACGTATAGTTCCAGTCAAAATTTCAGTACTGTGGTGAGTAGTTATTTTCTTACGTATATGTATTTCATTGTAATTTATATAAGGCTATATGTGATTTGTTGATAAGTAGCATCCACTAATAAAAAATATCAGTAAAATACTTAATTCCGAATTATAATCTCAAATTTGTATCCCATTCATCAGTACCGTGTCGTCAGTTCCATGTTCGATGTTTCGGTTATCTTTTTTTCGCAAACTTCAATTTAAATTCTGCTTGCGCAGAACTTGTTTATTTAATGTCATTAGGGGCATTCCACGTTACTCGGTAATTTTTGTCCCGCCCGTCACGATTAAAAGTTGTGAGTAAAAACCACAAGTTATAAAATTAATATCTTATAATATTATTTTTATTGTGCTTATAACTTATTAAAAGCATAATAAAACAATATTTTTAAATAAATTTTATAACGTATAGTTTTTACTCACAATTTTTAATTGTGACGGGCGGGACAAAAATCCCCGAGTAACGTGGAATGACCCATTATAAACTCATATAAATTTGGTGTGGGTCCCATATCTAATAATTGAGATATCGGTATACCCAAAATCCACCAGCCGCCACTGATATGTGGTATTATTTGATTTTTAGATTTAGAAAACACAGATATTTCAGAAACGTTTTGAAAAAGTGACTGGCCCGGTCTGGAACATTATATTTATTATATTATAATATAATATGATTTATAGATAATTATCTATGTTCTTATAACAAAATACTGTTTAATTTTCTCTGAAAACTATATAAACAAAATGAGGTCATAAGTTGCCCAACTTTTGTAGAATCACACTTATCTCTTTTCAATAATTTTTGCTTTTTCAATAAAATCACATATTTTCAAAAATTAACAATTTATTTTCATAAAAATAATGATAATTTTGCAGTCAAAGTAAAAAAATCGAATAAATTACTATAAGTTCAATTTTAACCTTAAATAACTTTTAAACCAGTAAATTTATCGAAAATTCATAAGAGAGCTTTTTTGTACAGCGTTTAATTTCATATAAAAATATGTATCGATTATTGCAATATATTAACTTGCTCGGGAGAAAAAAAATAAATGTAAAACTTGCCGAAACCCCATTTTATTTAAATGGAAAATGTATCGTCTTTGTGGCACGGTTTAATATGAATATTTTTTTTATAATTTCAGGGCTCCCACACCTCCTAAAACTCATAAAATTTCTTAAATTTTGCTTAAATCTTGAAAACTCCCAAAATTCTCCTAAAATTGCATTCAATCTCCTAAAACACCTAAAATCTTAAAAATTAAATTTAAATAGGCCAATTAAGGTAGTGCTAAAAAAATTCTTTTTTAAAAAGTAATTTAAAATATATATTTATATGTTCTATTCTATTAAATTCTTTTTAAAATGATATAATATCACAACCAAAATTTTTCCTAAAAAACAACAAAAAAACTTCTAAAAAATTGTCATTTTTAGCGATATTTCTTTTTTTAGTCAAAAATATACCGTGTATAAAGTATACCGTGTATTAAACAAAAGGATTTTTAATTTTCTTTTAAATGACAGCTAAAATAGTAAACAATCTAAATAATGTTTTGCTGTATTTTGAAAACTTTATATTTTGTTATGAGATTTTTAAGTATTAAGATCCACATTACAATTAAATTGGTGAGAATAAGAACAGTACAAGTCCAAACATTTAATTTTGACAATTTATTCTAAAATCAATTTTAAAGTTTAAAATACATTTTTGTGAGAAGATATAAATTATTTTACAGAATATGAATATTATATTTCATAAAATAGTTAAAATATTCTAACAAAAATGCATTTAGAACTATAAAACTGATTTTTTTAAATATTTTATCAAAAATTTTAGTTTTGGACTCGTACTATTCTTAATCTTATCGATTCAATTATTGTTAGCTATTAACTAAACGGTTAACATATTTGTTCTTAAAATATAAATATAACATCATTTGATTTTGGTTTAGTTTTTTAAATAAAATTAAAAGTGTGGTGAAATTTATACTTGTATATATATGTACCTCAGATATATACAAGTTTTAATTTTACCTCACTTTTAATTTTATTAAAAAAAAACTCGTCGAGCGATTTTTCTAAAAAACTAGTCAATATAACTTATTTTTACAAAAGAAGTATTAATTTTGTTCTTATTTTTTAAGTAGTAAAGAGTTGTTTTTATTTAATTAAAGAAATTCATTTCCATACTTTATCCTCAAATTTTACAAAAAACCTCCTAAATTCCTAAATAAAATTTGTAATTTAGCCGTGGGAGCCCTGTAACTCTTTTTAGGTCATAAACTAAAAATTGAGGGGGCGCTGCGAACAAAAAAAACAAGTTGGTAAATATCTGACACCCTAATGGTACATGTACCATGTTTACACCCATACATATATTTATTTATTAGATAATTCCCGAAAGCGGACTTTTGGAATTAAACGCAACTCTGATGAAAGATGACCCGAACCATTGGGCCGATGCTTACGATTTCGGATTGAGCGAGAACCAATTTTCTCCGAAATACCACGACAACAACGAAATCGACCGAATTTTGGCCAACCTCGAAACCAGATACAAAAACTCGGTAATTTTTCGCTCCGGGCACAGCGTCATATCCAGCAAGATACATTTCTTGGAAATCAGCCACGAGGTAAGAAAAATTGTTTGTTGGTAATATTTCTATCTATAATTTAAACTTTATTGTTGTCAACATTCGATAAAGAAATACCTTGTTATGGCCAAGGCCGATAAAAATTTTTATGAGGCAAGTAATTAGTTCGATTTTTTCTCGCTAGGGGTATTGTTTTGACAAATTAATCCTTTTCTTAGAAATTAACGTACTAAACTGGTTTAATTTATTTATAATAAGCACTCATTTGTTTGTTTTACTGTTAATGTTTAATATTTTTCATTAAATTATTGTAAAATTAAATATGAATAACAAAACAAAAAGTGAGGTTAGGCAACCAAGAAAACGCACGATTCTTTTTCTACGATTTAAATTATCTTTAAGTTTTAATTTGCTTTAAGTTTTCAGTGAAATTAAATGTTAAACACAGCTTAAACATTCCAAACTACCTATTTTTTAAATAAAAATCGAAACAAATTGAAATTAGATACCTATTTATTAAACAATTAATTGAATTCAATGTAATAGCAAAAATACATTTCTACTTAAATCATGTTGCTAGGTATTGTCAAATTATTACTGCTTCTAAAAGCAATAATAATTATTGTAGGTACATTTAATGTAATCTTTAGCTAATAAATAAATGAGATTCTAAAAAAGTGAGGTTAGGCCGCTTTGATGTTGAATTAAATTGACCTGTATAAAGTGCTTTGAAGATAAAATGTTGTATGTCATTCGGCCAAGAAGTGTCTTTTTGTGCTTCGCTCAATTGTAGGCCTCCGCTACGCGTCGGCCTTCAAACCTTGAGCTTAGCACAAAAAGCCTTACTTCTTAACCTAATGACATAAATAACTATTGTTGGTAATATTTGCCTGATAAAAAAATGTTTATATCCACGCGGTCTATAATTTAAACTATATTGTTGTCAACATTCGATAAAGAAATACCTTGTCATGGCCTAGGCCGATAAAAATTTTTATGAGGCAAGTAATTAATTCGATTTTTTCTCGCTAGGGGTATTGTTTTGACAAATTAATCCTTTTCTAAGAAATTAACGTACTAAACTGGTTTAATTTATTTATAATAAGCACTAATTTGTTTGTTTTACTGTTAATGTTTAATATTTTTCATTAAATTATTGTAAAATTAAATATGAATAATAAATCAAAAAGTGAGGTTAGGCAACCAAGAAAACGCACGATTCTTTTTCTACGATTTAAATTATCTTTAAGTTTTAATTTGCTTTAAGTTTTCAGTGAAATTAAATGTCAAACACAGCTTAAACATTCCAAACTATCTATTTTTTTAAAATAAAAATCCAAACAAATTGAAATTAGATACCTACCTATTTATTAAACAATTAATTGAATTCAATGTAATAGCAAAAATCCATTTCTACTTAAATCATGTTGCTAGGTATTGTCAAACTATTACTGCTTCTAAAAGCAATAATAATTATTGTACATTTAATGTAATCTTTAGCTAATAAATAAATGAGATTCTAAAAAAGTGAGGTTAGGCCGCTTTGATGTTGAATTAAATTGACCTATATAAAGTGCTTTGAAGATAAAATGTTGTATGCCATTCGGCCAAGAAGTGCCTTTTTGTGCTTTGCTCAATTGTAGGCCTCCGCTACGCGTCGGCCTTCAAACCTTGAGCTTAGCACAAAAAGCCTTACTTCTTAACCTAATGACAAAAATAACTATTGTTGGTAATATTTGCCTGATAAAAAAATATTTATCTCCACGCGGTCTATAATTTAAACTTTATTGTTGTCAACATTCGATAAAGAAATACCTTGTCATGGCCTAGGCCGATAAAAAATTTTATGAGGCAAGTAATTAATTCGATTTTTTCTCGCTAGGGGTATTGTTTTGACAAATTAATCCTTTTCTAAGAAATTAACGTACTAAACTGGTTTAATTTATTTATAATAAGCACTAATTTGTTTGTTTTACTGTTAATGTTTAATATTTTTCATTAAATTATTGTAAAATTAAATATGAATAATAAATCAAAAAGTGAGGTTAGGCAACCAAGAAAACGCACGATTCTTTTTCTACGATTTAAATTATCTTTAAGTTTTAATTTGCTTTAAGTTTTGAGTGAAATTAAATGTTAAACACAGCTTAAACATTCCAAACTACCTATTTTTTTTAAATAAAAATCCAAACAAATTGAAATTAGATACCTACCTATTTATTAAACAATTAATTGAATTCAATGTAATAGCAAAAATCCATTTCTACTTAAATCATGTTGCTAGGTATTGTCAAACTATTACTGCTTCTAAAAGCAATAATAATTATTGTACATTTAATGTAATCTTTAGCTAATAAATAAATGAGATTCTAAAAAAGTGAGGTTTTGCCGCTTTGATGTTGAATTAAATTGACCTATATAAAGTGCTTTGAAGATAAATTGTTGTATGCCATTCGGCCAAAAAGCCTTACTTCTTAACCTAATGACATAAATAACTATTGTTGGTAATATTTGCCCGATAAAAACATTTTTTTCCAAGGTTGCCGAATCCGACGAGCAAAAATTCCACGTTGCCGTGATGGGCAACTTGTTCGCCACTCAGCCAATAGGCAGGGAGATAACTATCTACTTGGCGCGCCATCTGTTGGCCGGGTACATGAGTAACGACCCTCAAATCGTGGAAATATTGAAAAACACCGTTATTCATATTATACCGGTGATAGACGAGAATTTCCCTAAAATTTGGGGGGAATACGATAGGCAAGTTTTGGGGAACAAAAGGCCGAAGAGTTTTCGGTGCAACAACATTACTGCAGGTAAAAAAATAAAATATTTTGAATATTTCAAATTTGATAATACACTCACAGGCAAAATAATCGATCCACACAAATTTTCGATGAATTTCAATCGCAAATAACTTTTTTATTTGATGTCGGATTTAAACGAATATTAAGGAATATTGTAGATAAATTAATGGACAATCACTCACATTTTAAAAAATTACTAAAAAATAGACGTACGTTTATAATATACAGGTTTAAACAAAAATATGTTTTTTACCATAAGTTTAAGACACTCTGTAGAGTGGCAAAACCGTATATTGTTCTAAATTAAGTTTTATTTATCAAGTCACAACTATTCTTAACAGTTTTGTTTTTGGTTCACCTTGATATATTTATTTTTGTGGAAAATATGGATTTTTAAAAAAAACATTGCAATTTCCAATATTTTTCTGTATGAAGAACTAAGGTTGCTATGGTCCATCCATAGGCTATGGAGAATGACAGTGACAGTTTTGTTGAATCATCCCATACCGGCTGAAGGACCTCGGTCAATGGCCATTTGTAAGAAATTGTGTTAACTTTTTTTTGCAATAAAGTTCATTTATTATTATTAAATATATCGAGGTGAACCAAAAACAAAACTGTTAAGAATAGATGTGATTTGATAAATAAAACTTAATTTAGAACAATCTACGGTTTTGCCACCCTACAGAGTGTCTTAAACTTATGGTAAAAAAACATTTTTTGTTTAAACCTGTATATTATAATCGTACGTCAATTTTTTAGTTATTTTTTAAAATGTGAGCGATTGTCCATTAATTTATCTACAATATTCTTTAATAGTTGTTTAAATCCGAAAACAAATAAAAAAGTTATTTGCGATTGAAATTCATCGAAAATTTGTGTGGATCGATTATTTTGCCTGTGAGTGTATTAAGATGGTTATAGATTACTAGAATGCTAGTATTATTCAAAAATAAAATATGACATCTGTCAAATGGTTAACCTTACTTTTTACCAATTTTAAATGTTATAGTCGCCTTTTCCCATATTAAAACCTGATTGGTTCAAATCACAGTGAATATTGAAATCGGCCAATAACTGAAGCCTAACAACGTGAATAATGAGATCATTATTCACGTTATTAGGTAGGGTCTTTATAATGTTTATCATTATTTACGAAAAAACCCAATATTATGCAATAGGAGTAGATAAAAGTATTTATTTTATGTTTTTTAGATTTTAAAGAGACAGGGGATTTAATTTTGAACCAAGGTTACAGAGTTAACCAAGCAGAAGTGGCTAAAGTTTTTAAGAGTTTTCTTTTGGAGAAAAAGTTTGACTGGGTTCTAAATATTGAAGGTGGCGGAGATGGAGTAATGTAAGTGTTAAATATTACGCTGGTTTACAAATTAACCAAAAATACTGACAAACCCAAAAATCGCAATTAAGGCAAGGTTTTTAAGATATGATTTTTTATTTTTTTTCATTTGTTTTTCAAAGGTGTCAAATTAAACATAATCGATAATAAGGTATTTACGAAAATGTTTGATTGGCTCTTTCCATTTCAAAACGACCGGTACGCGCAGGTCATATGAAATACAGGGTGAGTTTTAAGTTGACGCGTTCCTTTTAACAGCGTGTAGAAATCAGATAAACAAATAAATATTTTAAGTAACTTTTTTATCAAAACTCAAAAATAAGAGAGTTATAGGCCTTCCAAGTTTAATTAAATTTTGAGCCGGTCCTGGCTATTGTTAACAAAAAACATAACCATAAAAATAAAAATAACAAAATAAACAATGCAAAATGTCATCTATGACAACAAACATAACCATATAAATCAAAATGACATTTAGCAATGAAAAATGTCAGTTTTTTTGTGCCTCAATTATTGTTAAAAATGGTTCATAATTATAGCAATAATGAATTAGTGGATTGTCGTCAAAATGCAAATGCTGCAACTTAAGTAAATAATGACATTTTTTATTGCAAAATGTCAATTTGATTTAAATGGTTATGTTTGTTGTCAAATATGACATTTTGCATTGTTTATTTTGATTTTTTTATAGTTATGTTTTTCGTTAACAATAGCCAGGACCGGCTTAAAATTTAATTAAACTTTGATGGGCTATAACTTTTTTATTTTTGAGTTTTGATAAAAAAGTTACTTAAAATATTTATTTGTCTAGCTGATTTCTACACACTGTTAAAAGGAACGCGTCAACTTAAAACTCACCCTGTATGTTGTTTTTTGGTCGAAATAATGTGACACGTATTTTTTTTTGCAAATTTTTTTTTTTTATTTTTGGCGATTTATTTTTTTAGGTAAAAATAGTTTTTTTCCGTTGACCATAAAAGCCTTTTTTTGAAATGCGTATAACTTGTTCAAAAATTTACCGATTTTGACAATTGAACTTGCAAAATGCTTGTACTGGTTTACACTATCCATTAAAAATAAGAAAGATTTTAAATTCATTGTGATAATTTTTGTTACTTGTAATGGATAGTGTAAACCAGTACAAGCATTTTGCAAGTTCAATTGTCAAAATCGGTAAATTTTTCAAAAAAAAGGCTTTTATGGTCAACGGAAAAAAACGATTTTTACCGAAAAAAATAAATGGCCAAAAAAAATACGTGTCACATTATTTCGACCAAAAAACAACATATTTCAATGACCTGCGCGTACCGGTAGTTTTGAAATGGAAAGAGCCAATCAAACATTTTCGTAAATACCTTATTATCGATTATGTTTAATTTTTTATACGATACAAAACGAAAAGTCCAGAATTTTTTCCAAATTTAATTTTTCAAAAAGTATTTTTTTATTTTTTTTTATATACAGGGTGTTATTTAATTAATGTTATATATTAAAATACTGAATATCTTTTGACATAAGGAATAAAGGAAAAATATTTAAAAAAACATTTTTCCAAAGATAAAGAAAAAATATGCATTAGAAGTTTTTTATATTTTTTGTGATACGCCACTGGTTACACACTTCCTTTATCTCTGCACACCTGTATTTTGTGAGTACATAGATACCAACCAACAAAGTAGCTATGCGTTGCCAGATGTAAAAAATTGTTACTAAAAATTTTTCTTGCAAAAAATAAATAAAAACTCAATAAATACAAAAGTTTTATGCCCTTAAAGCTCTAATACCCTTCTGTATTTATTTACTGATCCAGCTATTAGCTTAAGCAATGATTAGAAAATTTAGTACCTTTGAAATTTGAAATCCATAACCACAAAATTAATTTTTTCATCAGTTTTTTTCTTTCTGTTTACTTAGATGAAATTGGGACCAGTTCACAGGTTAAACTTTAAACATTTAATTTGTGTAAATAAATCCAAAAGCACTTCCCTTAGTTAAGATATTTACAATTTGAAAACATAACCTAAAATTTAAAAGAAATGCACTAGATTCTGTCATAAAAGTTGGCAGATTTTGTTTGAATTTACCTTCAGTACAAAAATGACATAACCAACAATTAATAAAAACGCCAAATTGACAATTTGCATTGTTAATTTTGTCATTTTTGTAATTAAGCTAAATTTAAACAATGTTTGTCAACTTTTTTGAGAGATTTTGGAAACACTGTTGTTACCAACCATAACATCCACCAGATTAACCCAAAGTTCCTAGTCGATCAGTGGCGTACTTTTTGGTAGGATAAAGGTTATTATAAATTATTTTTAGACTTTGGAATTTAGAAAAAAAAAGTTTCAGGTGCTTCTTTATGGACCCTAAGGAACAACCCATTTTAATATATAACATTAATTACATAACACCCTGTATGTATATAATTTGAAAAAAAAATCATATCTTCTTAACGAAAAGTTTTGGCTACTTATGATAAAAAAAAAATAAAAAATACACTTGAAAAATTAAATTTTGAAAAAATTCTGTACTTTTCGTTTTTTATCGTATAAAAAAATTATCACAATGAATTTAAAATTGTTGTTACTTTTTGTCCTGTTAATTTAATAATAAATGCTTCAACATATTATAAGACATTTCGTTTTTTGCAATTATTGCAATTATTGCAGGCATAAAACAAAACTATAGAAAATATGTCCCAAATTGTGCATTTAAAAACAAATGAAAAAAAATCTAATCTTGAAAACCATACAAGTCATACAAAATTTTTATTGTGATTTTTAGGTTTAGCAGGTCAAAAAACATTAGAAAAAAAAGGCAATTGAATGTACATTTTGGCTCTAAATATTTATTAATCTAGTAAATACTTAATTTTAGATACCCAGAAACAAAATCCTTACTACCCCTTTACAAAATAATGGCGCAAACTTACCTAGACAACCTAAAAATACCGCAAATATGCACGGAAAAACTTAAAGGCACCAACAACAAAATAACGGATTATTTGTACCATGAATATAATACACCACTATTGACGGCCAAAGTGTCGTGCTGTTTGTATCCGGAAATAGGCAACATACCGTACATTTGGAGGGATACATTGGCACCCATAATGAGTCTCCTAAACATGACCAGAACCGGTAAATAGATGTTTTTATTAATTGCATTGTTTTTCATCATTTTTATTATTATTTGTCCTTTATTATTTAATATTTTCGCTTAGCTATGGCACATCGTTTTACTTTTTAATGTCATGTTTATTAAAGCTAAATATTAATTCAAGTTGCGTTTTTAAAAATTGACTGAACATTTTAAAGTAAAAATTTTATGATGTCTTGGTTTATTAAGTACACAATTTTAAGCACAGAATAATAATTAAAGTAATTTTAATTCTGGAACTGAATGGCGTATTTTCTGACTAAAAAATTCGATGAATTAAAATTTGGGTTGAGATAATTTTAATAAGGCGCTACTTGAGAAACACGCAGTCAAATTGAACCAAATTTTAATTCATCGAATTTCTTAGCCAGTTAATTCAAGGTGCGCGACATTTATTTAAGAAAAAGTAATACTGAAATTATCATTATGTCGCAATTATTTTCTATTACCTATTACTCGTCGACATAAAAATAAATTTACCTGTTAGAAATTAAACTGATAAAGTTGCTTATTCGACACACAAATATTTTGCACGAAATATTTGTTTTAATATTTAAATGTTTTTAATATTACTGAAAATTTTATTTGACTAATAAGAATTGAATACAATTGTATATTTATTGTTATTTTTAAAAATTTTAATATTTACTTTTAATACGAATTATTTTGTTGTTTAAAACACTTTGAAACAATTTTTATACGGGAATAAAGTTGTGGTATAGTTGTTATTAATTATTATGTTATTTAAATCTAGCAATACGAATTTTAATTTAACCACCTTTCTGCCATATTTCTTTTAATCCGATTATTTTTTTAGATAATAAATTCAATGCTACTTGTATGTGACAAAATAATAATTCCTTATTTTTATTGTTTGGAATAAATATTATGTACCTCGAATTTTCTGACTGAAAAATTCGCTGAATTAAAATTTTGGTTAACAGAATTTTAATTTCGCGCTAGTGCATAGTGCGGTTGTGTTACGTACTACAGCCACCAAACGAAATCACATAACGTCTAAGGTACATAAGCTCGAAAATAAATTAGGCAACGGTGCATTCAAATTCAGTGCTGACATTTTATTTACTTACCTGTTTTGCTTTCCTTAATTTCTTACCTAATTTATTGAAATAAAAATAAAGAAAATCCTTTTTACCAAAATATTGGTTTTTATTGACTAAAAGATAAAAAACAATACAATATTTTCAATCCACCATTAATTACATTCATGTTAAGTTTGTGGATTATTTTCAATTGCGTCTTATATTCTTTTTCTATGCTTATTACTGTACAGGTAGTCGGCTCGGACACGTAACGAGTAGGACAATTCTGGTAATTAGTATATAAATATCTTCTTCTGCGAGAAATCCTATTGCATAGACAACTAAGCATATAATGAACCACAATTAAATTGTCTATTAGGAGAGTCCATATCTAAATTATTTCGTATAAAGTGAGGTACCCCTTACATAATTTAATAATCATTATCATGTCAATATACATTTAATGTATTATATTATTGATAGAACTGAAAATTTTGGACTGCACTGTTGCCTAATTTATTTTCGAGCTTATGTACCTTCGACGTTATGTGGTTTCGCATCGTGGCAGTAGTACGTAACACAACCGCACTATGCACTAGCGCCAAATTAAAATTCTGTTTACGAGTGTTAACCAACATTTTAATTCATCGAATTTTTCATCGAGAAAATTCGCCTTGCGCTTACAGATTTAAATCTTGTCTAATTTTTATTCCAAAATAAATATTCTACTTTAACTTAATTTTAAATTAATAAATGAAATATTATTATTTACATATAAGCACCTTTTTTAAATAGAAAAAAATATTCATACAATAAAAACTTAGGCTTAAAAATATAGATCACACCAGAATGATGTAAATGGGTCATTTCACGTCAAATTTACCGTCAAAATTTAAATTTGTCTGAAATATTTTTTTTTTCGTTTACGACACCAAAAAAAGTGACACGTATTTTTTTGTTTTAAAATTTTATGAATTATGTTAAAGTTACGATTTTTTTTTAAATTTCAGTACCAGAAAAAAAGAATTTTAAACATTAGTTTTTGAATAGAATAAGATTTAATAAACTTTAATTTTTTTTTGGCTTAATTTTAAGGTTATGCATTGTTTTAAATATTTAAATTTAAAAAAAATAATATTTTATTTTAATTAAATTTTTTTAAGCAAATTTTATAAATTAATAAAAAAAAATGAAAATCGACAATTTTTTAAAAAAATTTTAAAATGTGTATTAACTTGTCAAAGTTTGCAGAACATTGTATAAAAATTTCAGAATGGACCGTTTAATATCGTATGAAATATTAATAATTTTAGATATCCGCGTTCTTAAAATGAAAGCTGTTACAGAGACATATTTAGGATATCACAAAATATTGACGATTAACATTCAAAATTACGAACAGAAATTTGAAATTTTACCATTTTATATATTTTAATGCAATATTAATAAAAATTTACATTCGTTAAAATGGTTAAGCTAGTAATTAAAACTTTATTTATTTTCTTTGGGGGCAGGAGTAAAACACAAGCCTATAAAGCAAATTTTATAAAATACCTAGTTTTAAAATTTTTTAAAATATTTTATTCTAAAATAAAACTGATTTATTGTCCCCTGGATTTTAAGTTTAATATTGCTTAATAATAATAAATGTCTGCCACTTCTTATAAAAAAATTAGATAAATGTACCATTAATTTATAAAATTGACAGAGAATTGCAAATATATACTTTTAGTAAAAGCCACTCTACAACGATTTTTATTGTTAAATATTTTATTAGTCCTAGAAAAAGTTTTTTTTCACTAAGAAAAGTCTCAACGTAACGTTTTTATTATTTAATTCTGCGTTAGCTAACACAGAATTAAATCCGCCATATTTAATTCTGCGTTAGCTAACACAGAATTAAATCCGACATATTTAATTCTGCGTTAGCTAACACAGAATTAAATGCAATTAATTCCGTGTTAGCTAACCCAGAATTAAATATGGGGGATTTAATTCTGTGTTAGCTTTTACTAAAAGTATATATTTGCAATTCTCTGTCAATTTTATAAATTAATGGTACATTTATCTAATTTTTTTATAAGAAGTGGCAGACATTTATTATTATTAAGCAATATTAAACTTAAAATCCAGGGGACAATAAATCAGTTTTATTTTAGAATAAAATATTTTAAAAATTTTAAAAATAGGTATTTTATAAAATTTGCTTTATAGGCTTGTGTTTTACTCCTGCCCCCAAAGAAAATAAATAAAGTTTTAATTATTAGCTTAACCATTTTAACGAATGTAAATTTTTATTAATATTGCATTAAAATATATAAAATGGTAAAATTTCAAATTTCTGTTCGTAATTTTGAATGTTAATCGTCAATATTTTGTGATATCCTAAATATGTCTCTGTAACAGCTTTCATTTTAAGAACGCGGATATCTAAAATTATTAATATTTCATACGATATTAAACGGTCCATTCTGAAATTTTTATACAATGTTCTGCAAACTTTGACAAGTTAATACACATTTTAAAAATTTTTTAAAAAATTGTCGATTTTCATTTTTTTTTATTAATTTATAAAATTTGCTTAAAAAAATTTAATTAAAATAAAATATTATTTTTTTTAAATTTAAATATTTAAAACAATGCATAACCTTAAAATTAAGCCAAAAAAAATTAAAGTTTATTAAATCTTATTCTATTCAAAAACTAATGTTTAAAATTCTTTTTTTCTGGTACTGAAATTTAAAAAAAATCGTAACTTTAACATAATTCATAAAATTTTAAAACAAAAAAATACGTGTCACTTTTTTTGGTGTCGTAAACGAAAAAAAAAATATTTCAGACAAATTTAAATTTTGACGGTAAATTTGACGTGAAATGACCCAAATATATATGGAAACTTATCCAATACACCAAAAAATAAATTGGTAGATTTTAATTTATAATTAAAGTTAATTTAGTAATTTTTTTGAACGTTTATATTTTCTAGGCAATTTTTAATTTTGATAATTTTTGTTTTGAGTTAATTTTTTGATGTCATTAAAAAGTAAAACGGCGTGCCATACTTAGCTGTATAATAGTAAGTATTAGATTCAGTAGTTTGATTGTTTTTGTATGCTATTTTAGGTGTACAGGGTAGAATTTTCGACCTAAATAACAAACCCATGGTAAACGCTTCAGTAACCATACAGGGTTCAGAGGAGCAATCTTACGATGCCAGTCGAAATTTGGCTTTTTATAAAATTATGCTGCCCAGTGGATACCATACACTTGTAGTGACTTGTATGGGTCAAGCAACAGAAATACGCAAAATTTTAGTGGAAAAAAATAAATTGACCGTGGAAAATTTCGTCTTGAAACCCGAAAACGCCCAAACCACAAATAATAGAATAGAAAAAATAAATCACAACATTCAAAAGGAATTTTTGGGTAACATCAAAACCGGCATAATCGGTTATGTAAAGGATACTTTGGATCACCCTGTGCCATACGCGGAAATTCTCATAGCACCCGGTAACATTACCTTGCAATCTGACGGCGATGGAAAATACAGCGTTGCCTTGTCACCGGAAAAATATACAGTCAAAGCCACGAAAAGTGGTTACTTTGAAGATGTAAAATTGGTGCAAGTTTTTGCCATTTCGCAAAAACCAATGGTCGTTATGTTGACGTTAAAACAAAATATGGATGTTATGGGGTTGCCCAGGATGGGTTTTATTATTTTAACAGGTAATACTACACTCACAGGCAAAATAATCGATCCACACAAATTTTCGATGAATTTCAATCGCAAATAACTTTTTTATTTGTTTTCGGATTTAAACAAATATTAAAGAATATTGTAGATACATTAATGGAGAATCGCTCACATTTTAAAAATTACAAAAAAATACACGTACGTTTATAATATACAGGTTTAAACAAAAATATGTTTTTTACCGTAAGTTTAAGACACTCTGTAGAGTGGCAAAACCGTATATTGTTCTAAATTAATTTTTAATTATCATCACATGTATTTTTAACAGTTTTGTTTTTGGTTCACCTTGATATATTTATTTTGGTGGAAAATATGGATTTTTTTTAAAAAACATTGCAATTTCCAATATTTTTCCTGTATGAATAACTAAGGTTGCTATGGTCCATCCATAGCCTATGGAGGTTGACAGTGACAGTTTTGTTGAATCATCCCATACTTGGACACGTCATATACAGCTTTCAAAAGCTATCAAATTGTTTTTTAAAAATTAATGTGTTAATTTTTAGGTGTCTTCTTACTATTAAAAATATCTCCGACTGATGTTGCCCTTTGTACTTTACTTCTTGTGATGTTTAAAACACTTGCCACGTAATACTGTGACCGTCCATCCTCTATTAAATTAATGGCTCTGGCAACATCAGTCGGAGCTCAAAATTTAAAAATTAATTTGCAAAAAACAATTTGATAGCTTTTGAAAGCCATGTATGACATGTCCAAGTATAGAATGATTCAACAAAACTGTCACTGTCATTCTCCATAGCCTATGGATGGACCATAGCAACCTTAGTTCTTCATACAGAAAAATATTGGAAATTGCAATGTTTTTTTAAAAAATCTATGTTTTTCACAAAAATAAATATATCGAGGTGAACCAAAAACAAAACTGTTAAGAATAGTTGTGACTTGATAAATAAAACTTAATTTAGAACAATATACGGTTTTGCCACTCTACAGAGTGTCTTAAACTTATGGTAAAAAACATATTTTTGTTTAAAACTGTATATTATAAACGTACGTCTATTTTTTAGTAATTTTTTAAAATGTGAGCGTTTGTCCATTAATTTATCTACAATATTCCTTAATATTCGTTTAAATCCGAAAACAAATAAAAAAGTTATTTGCGATTGAAATTCATCGAAAATTTGTGTGGATCGATTATTTTGCCTGTGAGTGTATTTCAGATGTTGCCTACAACAGAGCTGGGAGTATCTTGAAAAAAAAAGATACTTAAAAGTAACTTGGATACTTTAAAATAACTAAGATACTTTTTAAAGTAACTAAATACTTTTCAAAATAACTTAGATACTTTTCAGTGTAACTTAGATACTTTCTTAGAGAAAATTGGGGGAATTCCAGAACGATTCAAAGTAATTACCTAACCTACAACTTGTTGAATTTTTATAGTTTTTATTCAAACTTAAAAGTAACTTAGTTACTCAAAAGTATCTTAGTTACTTAAAAGTATCTTAGTTACTCAAAAGTATCTTAGATACTTTCGGATAGTATCTAAGATACTTTTTAAAGTATCTTGTAAGTAAAGATACTTTTAACTCAAAGTAACTGGATACTATTCACAAAAACAACCCTTATACCGAAATAAGTTTAAACTTATTTCGGTATAGTAATTACTTTAACATAAAGTATATTTCTTTTAGGTGTTGTCAGCCTTATTTTACTGGGGCTGGGTTTTTTTTGCTATGTGGCGTTCAAAAGAAGGAACGATTATGGTCCAATAGCGCAAACGTCATTTTTTGACGATTATCGAGATAATGAAAAAGAAACAATCCTGTTTAGCAGACCTTTTGAGAGTAAGTAATTTTTATAACAACACTGTCACTTACAACTGTAAAACTTAAGCTTAAAAATATTGATTTTTAATAATTTTAGTTGAAATATTTTATTCTACAAAATTTTCGGTTTAAATTTGTAAAGAGTCATTTAAAAGATAGTCGATACATTTGTAATATAAAAATTCTCACATTACATTTAAATGTATGTTTTAAATTTTAAAGTGGTAATTTTTTGATTAAAAATTTATCGACTATCATTTAAATGACTTTACAAATTCAAACCAAATCTTTTTATTTTGAAAAATTTTAAATTGATACATTTTTAACACAAAATTTATAACTTTACATTTAAATGTAAGTCGATAATTTTTAATTTACAAAGTGTAAACGTAGCTTTAGCTGTCTCTTTCTAGAGTGGTAAATTTTAAGCTTAGTCCATAGCTAAAGCAGCGTTTACACTTTTTGTATGAAAAATTATCGACTTACATTTAAATGTAATGTCAATACCTATGTTGGTGTTAAAAAATTATCATTTAAATGACTCTTTACAAATTTAAATCAATAATTCTGTACAATAAAATATTAAAACTAAAATTTAAAAAAACTTTTTTTCTCCCCATTATCTCTAGTTTTATAAAATATTTCTTGCGTTTTTTTTATTCAATGTATAACCTAATAAAAGAAGAATATTTTTGACATTTTTGATGCCAATATATTATATTATCAATTTTTTTGAGATTAAAAAAAAAAACTGTTTAACCTACCTATTTTGGTAGAAAATATTTTGTTTTATTTTTATATTCAAAAAAATTTAACTGTACCAATTTAATTTAAATAATTTTATAAAAAATTATTTTGGATTTACAAAATTGTGCCTAAACTTAAGAAATTATTTTTATTAAAACTTGATATGAATTTTTGAAAAATGGATTGGAAATAATATTGTTTAATACAGAAGTAAACTGTTGGTAAATTTTGATGATGGTTAAAAAAATTTAAAATTTATAAATTATTTAATAAATGTTTAAACAGAATGCCATGCTTATTCATTAAATTTCTTATTTTTCTTTTGTATCTTCATAGAAAAACCAGTTACAAGGCCCTATTATGATGAAGATGATGATGATGAAGAGGAAGAAGAATTCGAAATAGACTATGATGATATTCGTAAAGGGGATATATCTTCTGATACTGAAGAACTAAAATTATTGCAAATGTAATATTTCTTCTTCTAAATTTAGGGGTTTTATTTCCTCTAACTTTTTTGCTAGCAAGCCTTACATTTTTAAACTAAAATAACTTCTTTTTGTAAAAATAGCAAAACCATGTTTTTCTATTGTTAACTATTAACCGAGTACCTAAACACTTTAAAATGTGATCTGACTATAGTTTTAGTGTTAAATTAGTTTTTAAGCATAATTTAGTCAATTTGAACGATAATTTTGTGTTGTATTTTAATTTTAGCAGATTTTATATTTTTTACCAAACCAATTTAATATAAGTATTAAGTATTGACAACCATGCAATTTTTATATTTGTAAGTCTAATGTGTAACAAGCTGCAATATATGGAAAGGATGTACATAATTTAAATATTATACAAATTTATACACTATTGTAAAATCTATTAATTGAACTTTAATAAATCAATATTTATTTTAAACGCGTTTTTTATTTTATTTTTTAAAAAATTCCCTTAATCTGATATTTTTTGCACAATGTGGCAACCTCGCAAAGTATCTGGAGCAAAAATAATACCTCCTTCCATTTATGCACTCCTGATACGAAATTCGTTACTTTTATAATTTATTGGTAGATTTAATTAAAATCAAAATTATTTTTTGTAATTTCCCACAATCTGCTTTTATTGGCACAACTTGGCAACGTTGTAAAGTATCAGGCGCATAAATATACCTCCTCGGGTTTCTGTACTCCTGTTACAAAATCTTAAAAATCGTCCACCAAAATCGAGAAAAATTTTATTATTTGGTTTTATTTATTTTTTGAAAAATTCCCTTAATCTGAGATTTTTTGCACAATGTGGCAACCTCGCAAAGTATCCGGAGCAAAATAATACCTCCTTCCATTTATGCACTCCTGATACGAGATTCGTTAATTTTAAAATTTATTGCTTGATTTAGTTAAAAACAAAATTAATTTTTGTAATTTCCCACAATCTGGTTTTATTGGCACAACTTGGCAACGTTGTAAAGTATCCGGCGCAAAATATACCTCCTCGAGTTTCTGTACTCCTGTTACAAAATCTTAAAAATCGTCCACCAAAATCGAGAAAAATTTTATTATTTGGTTTTATTAATTTTTTGAAAAATTCCCTTAATCTGAGATTTTTTGCACAATGTGGCAACCTCGCAAAGTATCCGGAGCAAAAATAATACCTCCTTCCATTTATGCACTCCTGATACGAGATTCGTTAATTTTAAAATTTATTGCTTGATTTAGTTAAAAACAAAATTAATTTTTGTAATTTCCCACAATCTGGTTTTATTGGCACAACTTGGCAACGTTGTAAAGTATCCGGCGCAAAATATACCTCCTCGAGTTTCTGTACTCCTGTTACAAAATCTCAAAAATCGTCCACCAAAATCGAGAAAAATTTTATTATTTGGTTTTATTAATTTTTTGAAAAATTCCCTTAATCTGAGATTTTTTGCACAATGTGGCAACCTCGCAAAGTATCCGGAGCAAAAATAATACCTCCTTACATTTATGCACTCCTGATACGAAATTCGTTAATTTATTGCTCGACTTTAATTTAAAATAAAATGAAATTTCCCTCAATCTGGTTTTATTGGCACAATTTGGCAACGTTGCGAAGTATCTGACGCAAAAATTATACCTCCTCGAGTTTCTGTACTCCTGCTACAAAATCTTAAAAATCGTCCACCAAAATCGAGAAAATTTGCATTATTTTAAAGCAGGACTGCATAAAAGCGAGAAGGTAAATGATACATTGCCACGTTGCCAGATTGTGCAAAAAATCCCAGATGGAGATAATTTTTTAAAATTCTGATTTTTTTCTCAAAAATAAAAAACAAGGTAAAATTACACATTATTTTATTTATTAACAACAAATATATTGGACTTACAATATAAACCAAATACAAAAGTATCTTATAAAATAAATAGGTACAACAAAATTAAAAAAATAATGAAGTAATGGGGCACAATCTACCATTTAATTTTCCTAGCAATTTATAACATATCTTTTACAATAAAACGACAACATATTGACTAGAGTGGCCCTAAATGCTAAGACAATGGAAAACATTGATTAAATAAGTACACATACTTAAAATAAATTAATTCCCTTTCTTTCTATCGTTTACATCGATTATTCCCAAATTCCTTGCAGCAACGACACAATGAAGCAAAGAAATTGCTGTTTTTACCACAGCAATCGGCAAGGAGAAATACAAAATAATTCTGAACAGTCCCAGACCTGCAACTATATAAAAAAAATGTTAATGTCAATTAGGTATAAGGTTAAACGTCAAAATCTGACATTTTAATCAAACGTCAAAATCTGACAGCAAACGTCAAACTCGATATTTTGAGGTTAAATCTCTTATACTTACTTATGGGGCCTTCAATAAAGTTAACGAGGTACAAACTGGCGTAAAAAGCCTCGTTTCCAGCGCACATGAAGAATAATACTGGGCGGTTTGTGTAATATACATTCATAATAGGGTTTTCAGACATGTCGATGAACTTGTGGCTGGTTTTTCCTTGCAAAATCGAGCTAAAAATAACTCATAAACGACTAAAAATGATTTAAATACAATAACATACGAGTGTAAGTAGATCCAGTGGCAGAATATGTCGATACACATTGACATAATAATCCAAAACATCCAGTTCGGGTAAAAGGTGCATAAAACGGCACATAGCCCCATGGTGCCGCATCTGTCGGTGAGTTGGTCCAGCATACCGCCGAATTTGGTGCCCTGGTTCAACATTCTACAAAGAAAAATACGTTTTTATTTTTATTTTATGTTATTTTGAAGTTCTATGAACCTCGCTGCATGTCCATCGAAGGCATCCAAAAGGGATGAAACCACGTAACATGTTGCTGCTATTGTGTAGTGAGTTGGCATAAAATAAAATGATATTATTGCCAAAACAATCCTTGCATATCCTGTAGAGAAAACAACATTACAAAAACTTTACCAAAAGAAGCGTTAATATCGATAAAATTACCTATTAAATTTGGCACAAACAAAAATATATTCTCCTCAGTCATGATTGTTTCTTTTAGCATAAAAAATTAATTCGATTACACCGTTTTATCCTGTTTATTGGAAATTATCGACATAAACGAACTCTCAAATACGCATGTCTTTAATATGTTAAAACCGCAAAATGTTATGAAATATGATTACTTTTCGATTAAAAGAAGCACCAATATAATACTCTTAATTTGATTAAAGTTTATTAACTCAATAAAATCACGCATTTAGGTAATAATCAATTTTGAGCCCCAACTATTTTTCTATTTCCAAGGTCAAAAAATATTTAAATATAACGGTTCAAAAACTTATATTTTTAATAAAATATTTATAAATTTAGGTTTAATTTGCGTTATTTTTGTTAAAATATAAAAAAAAAACTCTAAACATTTTAATGTCAATGGTATTTCGGTGTTTTTCTTACGTTGGTACGGGACAGTGTTGCCAACCGTGATATAATTATGGTATTTTTACTTAAATTATAGTCGTTTTTTCGCGTAAATACCATGAAATACTATGGTTATTAAACTTAACCTTGGTTAATAGTTAAGGCATTTTTGCGTTTAGAGTGCGTTCAAAAATCCTAACTATGACGTCACAAATACCAGACCATAAAACTATATCGCTGAGCTAGTTATTCAACGTGGTTAATAGTCTTTCTCTTTTTAATATATATATTTCTGTTTCGATCTGTCAAAAAGTTGTTTACATTTGAAATTTAAAATATTTTAAGTAGGTACAATTGCTCTTAAACCGAATGTAAACTTTGTATTAAAATGGTAAATGGGGTGTTGTCAGTAAAAATAAATGATAGGGTGCTCCATATTGTGGAATCTCCACAAGTGGAGGAATTATATTCAGGTTTGTTTTATATTCTTCCTTATTTTGTATTAAACATGTAGGAGAATTAGATAACGTGTATTGAAAAAACTAGTACCTATAGAAAAAGAATATACTAGGTATAAGAAGAGGCAAAGAAATTTATTTACACCGGTAAAAGCATAGAAATTAAATATAAATAGGTAAAAACACATTTCAAAAATTATAGGTTATGAACAAGTAAACAAATGTCAAATGTTAGAAACCTAACCATGGTTATATGAATTAACTGTGACGTCATGACTTATTTAACCGTAGTATTACATAGTATTTACGCGAAAAAACGACTTATAATTTTAAGCTTATCCCATTTGGTTAATTTGATAAAAACTTGAAAAGTATGTAAAAAGGTTTAAAAAAGAACTTAATTTTAAGCTTATCCCATTTGGTTAATTTGATAAAAACTTGAAAAGTATGTAAAAAGGTTTAAAAAAGAACTTAATTTATTTTTAAATTCATTAAAACCAGTATGGTAGGCAACAAAAATGAAAATTTTAAATGGCTGCGCCATCTATACAAAAATTGCTGAACTAATTATTACGCTCCAAAATTTTAACCACTTTGGTTCAGCCATACTTGGATAGATGGCAAAGCTAATAAAACAGTGTGGGTATGCAACCAATATAGAACATGTTCATAATCCAATTGCCTACCTACAAAATATTGTTCGCAGCGCCATCCATATAACTATTGACAAACTAAATTTAAATTTTTTTTAAAGATTAAATAGATGGCGCTACTTACTTAAATAATTAAATAGGCAACCAATATAACCGGAATTTTTTTGTGCCGTGCAGTTGTCAAATTGTCAGTCAATCGAAGGGGCAAGATGGCGTCCATACTAAAATTATCGAAGGCAGTGGCCAATTTAGGCAAAAATAACAACGCCTTGCAGGTAAAACCGATAAAGAACCGATTAATATTCAACCTGCTTTAAGATTCTATCGATTTAAAACGCGATTATTCCATAATTTTCGATATAATATTACGTAATGTACATAACCTAACTTTTCTTAAAATGATATATTTTAGGTGTTGAGGTGCGCTTCCGCTAAAGCCCAGCACAAAGAGGCCCTGCTTAACGTCCCCCCAACCAAAGTAACAACCCTACCATCAGGTATTTATACTGAAAATATGAAATTTAAGTCAAAATTCATTGAATGACATTTTTAAGGTATTAGAGTCGCAACCGAAGATTGGGGCTCCCAAACCGCCACCGTGGGCATCTGGATCGATGCCGGTAGTCGATATGAGAACGCCAAAAACAACGGTGTCGCCCATTTCATGGAACACATGGCTTTTAAGGTGAGTCGAAGTTATGTAATTGTAGCATCGAAACTGACAATTGTAATACCATTAGGGTACCGGAAAGAGGACTCAGAGCCAGTTGGAGATCGAAATCGAAGATCTGGGGGCGCAGTTGAACGCCTACACCAGCAGAGAACAGACCGTTTACTACTCTAAATGTTTGTCGAAAGATGTACCAAAGGCAATCGAAATTTTGTCCGATATTGTGCAAAATGCCAAGCTGGGCGAAGGCGAGATCGAAAGAGAACGCGGTGTGATACTCAGGGAAATGCAGGAGGTTGAATCCAACCTCCAAGAGGTTGTTTTCGATCACTTGCACGCCATTGCCTACCAAGGCACCCCATTGGCCAACACAATCTTAGGTAAGACTTTTGAACGTTTTTTACGCAATATAACCAATTAAATTTGTTACAGGGCCCACAGCTAACATCAAGTCGATCAGTTCAACAGATTTGAGATCATACTTGGACAACCACTACAAGGCGTCTCGTATCGTTGTTGCCGGCGCTGGTGGAGTGAATCACGACGATTTAGTGAAATTGGCTGAAAGTAGCCTGTGCAAACTCGGTAAGTGCACTGTAAATGATAAAAAAATGTTATTAACCACAAAATTGCAAACGTAAAAAATTTGACAGATGTCAAATAAACATGGCCAACTTATATGGTATGTGGTACATTTGAACTACTGGGAGAAAATAACGGATTTTTACGCAGTTTGATTTTTTTGGAGCTTAAATTTTAAAGTATAAATATCAAATTGATTTGTTTTTTATAAAAAAATATTAAACTCCTAAAGTAAATCCGACCACAATGTAATTTGAGTCTTTGAGAAGAAATAACATTACATGTATATATGTCAAGCTTATTTATGTCTCTTTTTGGTTTTTCCATAAAAATCCATAGTTTTTAAAATTTAATAACTTCAAATACTTGGTTGATTCAAAATTGAAAAAAAAAACGGTTGATATAAACTTTTTCTTCCTTAATATTATCCAATAGGTAGCAACAGAAAATGTTGATTTTCGTTTTCTTTTCTTTTTCGATATTTTTAAGTACCCATTAAAAATCCCTTTTTGGTAAAGTTTGATAATTTTTTGATTACTCATTCAAAAGATATTAAAAAACAATCGCGTTTTTTGGTTTTTGCTGCTAATTTCTTTAATAATGGTCCGAATTGAAATTTTTATTTCTTAAAATTTTCGTGTTTCAAAATTATCCAAAGCATATTTTCATGCGAATTTTGAGTTTTTGATTTTCTTGCAAATTTTTTATGTTAAACTTCTACGCACTCAAAAAATTTTAAGCTGGGGTTAATAGTAGGATTATGATAATTAGGTGAGAAGGCGACCTAAACAAAAAAATTATTGAAGCCGCATGGTATGAACAAATAGTTAATTTTGAACGTCTGTTCCTGAAAAAAAAAACAATAAAAAAAAATTTCCAAAAAATTAAATATAGGTAAATATATTATATTATATATATTATATAACTGAGTACATTACTCATTATCATAAAAAATTGTAATTGAAAATTTCAACATACTCATTACAAATTAAAAATGAGTAATGTAAAAAAGAATACATTACTTATTGGAAACAATTTAATGAGTAATTAACTTTATTTTCATTAAAAAAGAAGTAATTCGTAATGAAAATTAAACACATTACTAATTATTTTAATAATGTGTTGAAACTAGGGTTTTAAAGTGTCGAAAAAAAACGGAAACTGTTTTTTCCCTTTTTATCCCAGGCCTTTAAACAATTTTTGTTTTGGAAAATATACACATTTGAAAAAAAGTAGCAATCAACAACTTAACATTATTTAAAAAAAAAAACGGAAACTGTTTTTTTCCCTTTTTAAAAAAAAACGGAAACTGTTTTTTCCCTTTTTATCCCAGGCCTTTAAACAATTTTTGTTTTGGAAAATATACACATTTGAAAAAAAGTAGCAATCAACAACTTAACATTATTTTAAATAAAATAATACTTTATTACAAAAAATTTAAGAAAATAATCATAATATTATATGATTATAATCAGCGTCGGAAATTCAGTTTTTTCTCGATATCAGTGTATGGAAATTTTCAGAAAAATTGACTTTATTTTTTTCGTATTAAGTACCCTTTGAATAAAATTTAAAAAATTAAAAAGTAAATTTTTCTGAAAATTTCAGTTTTTCCGTTTTTTTTCCGGAAAAAACGCTTTTTTCCCGCCGGCTCAATTTTTCCGTAAATTTTAAAACCCTAATTGTGGTAATGCATTATTTGCAATATTTACCCACAAAAAATCGCAATTCAGAACACCCATGACCCTCTATCAAATCTTTTAGACAACAACTACACCGGTGAAGTCCCTACGTTGGAGCCGTGCCGCTACACCGGCGCGGAGATCCGCGTCCGCGACGACTCGCTACCCCTCGCTCACATCGCGATAGCCGTGGAAGGCGCCGGTTGGTCCGACCCCGACACGCTAACCTTGATGGTGGCGTCGACCTTGCTGGGCGCCTGGGACCGCTCGCAGGCCTCCGCCAAGCAGAACGCCACGACTTTGGCGAGGGCGAGCGGCGAAGGGGACTTGTGCCACTCCTACCAGAGCTTCAACACCTGCTACAAGGACACCGGGTTGTGGGGCGTTTACTTCGTCTCCGACCCCTTGAAGATCGAAGACATGATCTTCAACGTTCAGCAGGAGTTCATGCGTCTGGCCACCAGCGTTACCGAAGGTAAAGTGTTGTTGTTTCAGACATTATTTTCTCTACGACTACGTAAGAATAGTAACGCTTATATAATTTTAACAAGAGAAAAGAAACCAAGCAGTTTTTGACATTTAAGTTTTTTGTATTGTCAAACCATTTTGTGCCGTCACAATTTTATAATGTAAATTATAATAATTTAAACAAATGGTATGCCTAAATCTTTATTATAATATAAAATAGTTATTTACACTGACTAATAAAAAAAATAACATTGTAACAAATACAAAACTAATTTTACAAGTAATCTATGTCAACATCTATTCTTTTTCTACATTTTAAAGGTCTTTTTTTTAACTTTTTGAATCTGTCAAAACTTCAAATCCGGTATAGTAGGTTTATCATTTTAATATCAAATTTATTATAATTTTGATTTGTATATTTGAAAAACAATAAATATAACTAATTTTTTGTGCCTAAACCTTAATTATACAACTGCTATTATTTTTTAATTAATAAATAATACAGTAATATTTAAATATTTTTAAATTTTTTACATTTAGTAAACAGCCAGGAGATGTCGTTACTTGTGACCATTCTTAAACAAGAGTAGGAATATTCTCGCACAGTATTGCAGAAAAACATCCTTTCTATGATCAAAAATTACACTAGAATGTTACTATTCTTAAGTAGTCGTAGAGAAAGGATGTTTTTCTGCAATACTGTGCGAGAATATTCCTACTCTTGTTTAAGAATGGTCACAAGTAACGTCATCTCCTGGCTGTTTACTAAACGTAAACAATTTAAAAATATTTAAATATTACTGTATTATTTATTAATTAAAAAATAAAAGCAGTTGTATAATTAAGGTTTAGGCACAAAAAATTAGTTATATTTATTGTTTTTCAAATATACAAATCAAAATTATAATAAATTTGATATTAAAATGATAAACCAGTTACCTACTATACCGGCTTTGAAGTTTTGACAGATTCAAAAAGTTTAAAAAAAGACCTTTAAAATGTAGAAAAAGAATAGATGTTGACATAGATTACTTGTAAAATTAGTTTTGTATTTGTTACAATGTAATTTTTTTTTTATTAGTTAGTGTAAATAATTATTTTTAATTATAATAAAGATTTATTATAATTTACATTATAAAATTGTGACGGCACAAAATGGTTTGACAATACAAAAAACTTAAATGTCAAAAACTGCTTGGTTTCTTTTCTCTGTTTAAAATTATATAAGCGTTACTATTCTTACGTAGTCGTAGAGAAAATAATGTCTGAAACACGTTTGGAATAGCATATTCCACTCTCGTAAAACCGTCACACTCGCCTTCGGATCGTGTGTCAAATTTTTCCTCGAGCGGAATATGCTGTATTCCAAACTTGTTACAGAATGTACTATTTTTGTTTATTAATTTGTATTATTTTTTCAGGTGAAGTTGACAGGGCAAAGGCTCTATTGACCGCCAACACTCTTTTACAGTTGGATACCACCACTGCTGTATGCGAGGATATTGGTGAGTAGAACATTTTAAAATGTCAAAAATAATTTGAAACTCAACAGGCCGTTTTATTTTCAAGATAAAAGATATCACATTTTTATTCTGCGAATTAATAATAAAGCACGGTCTTATATAAGACCGTGTAATAAAGTTTTAATGACGTTTTAACAGAAATTTACAAAGTTAATTTTTTTTAAACCCAAAACAATTGATGGTCAAAAAATATTTTAAATATAAAATACAACTGTAAAAAAATTTAGTTTAAATATTTTATTCTACAAAAATATCAGTTTAAATTTGTAGCGAGTCATTTAAATGATAGTCAATAAATTTTTAATCCAAAAATTAGGTACCGTAAAACGGGGCTACTTGATAAAACTTTTTGGAAATTCGACACCGTCTGGGTAAAACAATTTAAGGTTTTGGGGAAGCTCTTCACACATTAAAAAAAATTTTTGCTCCCACCACTTTTTGAAAAAAAAAGTAGTTATTTTCAAGTAGCCCCCGATGGGGCTACTTGAAAATATGCCTTTAAAAGCCGTTAATTTTCATGTAAGGCCAATACAGGGGCTTCATGAAAATAAATTTAAAAAAAACCCATGCGTACTGCAGTACTATGTCCAGGCTTCTGTGTGTAGGTTTTTTTATTTTTCTATACAACGTAACATATGGTATATTGTACTCACTTCACTCACTTCACTTTAAATTACCCGGTTCGTACCTTGACACAGCATTATCCAAAGCCTCTTGACTATAATTTCGATATGGCCTGCTTCCCATCTTCCTTTGATAATTTCACACAATTTTCACGTAGCCCCAAAATGATATCAAAAAATAAAATTGGCGGCACTGGCTTAGGGATGTTTGATAGGTCGGATTTAACGTATATATTATAAGCATATAAAATAGCATTAGAAAAAAAATACCCCGACTTACTGATAGTTACCAAGGTACTTGAACAATAAGAAGTATTGAGGCAATAAAAAAACATGTTTGTTACCTTGTTTTTGCCGAATTCTCCTCGCAAAACTAAATTCACAAATAACACATATGCCATATAAATAAATTCCTGGTGTTCTACTATACTGACTGAAAATAAATTATACTTCTAGAATAACCCTATTGGAGGTAGCACCTGCTTATGCAAAACTCTGCGTTTATTTTCAACTAACCCCGGTATTTTCAAGTAGCCCCGTTTTACGGTACCACTTTAAAATTTAAAACTAACATTTAAATGTAATGTGAGAATTTTTGTATTAAAAATTTATCGACTTTCCTTTAAATGACAAAATAAACCAATAAGTTTGTAGAATAAAATATTAAAACTATAATTTAATCTAAATAATTTTATAAAATATTTATTTAAGATTTACAAAATTCTGCCCAAATAAAATTATACTTCAGAAATTATTTTTATAAAAAAAATTTTAAATTAAAAAAATATTTAATAAATGTTAAAACAGGCTGCCATAATCTGTTTCTTATATTTGTACTTTTTTGTTAAATACACATTTTTAATTCGCTTAATTAAAAATTAAATTTAATTTTTGTGTCAAATGTATATTTTTTATGTAGTTAATTTAAATAAATATATACTTCTTTGCTTGGTTAATAACAAATCTTCAGGCAAAATTGTCAAGTTTTAAAATCTTTTAAAACTTGATATTTTTGCCTGGAGATGATATTTTAAATACCGAAACTAGTCGCAAATATATAAGCAAGGAAGTATACATTTATTTAAATTTAAAAAAATTCAATATTCCAACCTTGTTAAAAATGGACTACAAAAACTAACGAATCTTATATTTGTATTTGTATTAATATTTAATATTGTTCTATTATAACAGTGTTTTTGAATAAAAAAATATTTTTTGAGGAATTAAACGGTCAACCACGATACCTAATTTTGCCAAATAAAAACCTTGTTAAACAGCTTTTGTTTAGAACTATTTATAAAAATTTGACATTAGTAATAATATTATATTGTAAATAAAAACTTGCAACTGTCCCGTCCGTTACGCGCGGAATGGCCGTTAACACATATTTTAAATTCTCTAAATTAAATATATCACAGGAGAAATTTTTAAATGTATTAAAATTATCGTAGATCCCAGTAAATGTGCCGCCATCTAGCGGCAGAATTAGTTTGGAATACCAGAGGTGTCCAAACTTTCAATTTGAATTAAAAATATAACATTAATTAAAAATATCTTTTATTTAATAAAATAAAAATTAAATCGAATTAAAAATATCTCCTATAATATTTTTAATTCATTTAAAAAAGCTCCTATATTTTTAATTTAGCGAATTAAAAAAGTGTTTAAATAAAAAATACAAACATAAGAAACAGATATTTTAAATTCACTAAATTAAAAATATCAGTTTGGCATTTTTAAAAATCTTCCATGGTATTTTTAATTCGCAGAATAAATATTCTTATATGATGTTTTTTATTTAATTGAAAATATCACTTTAGTGTTTGTTAACACATAAGAATAATTCTTGAATAAAAAAATAATACGGCGCCCCATACAACACCAAATATTTTAACTGTTTTTTAGGTCGCCAGTTGCTCTGCTACGGCCGCAGACTGCCCCCCAACGAGCTCACCCACCGTATCGCCAGTATCACTGCCCAAAACGTGCGTGACGTTTGCTACAAATACATCTACGACAGGTGCCCAGCTGTTGCTGCAGTCGGACCGGTCGAGCAACTTCCCGACTACACCAGAATTCGCGCCTCAATGTACTGGTTGAGAGTTTAAATTCAATTTGTTAAATTATAATTCCTTTTACAAATAATCAATAAATAAAGTCACCATTATCCGTTTCTTAGAGTTTAATTTAAAGGTTTTTTTTTAACTTAGATTAATGTGTAAATATGTTTACCGATTCATTTTTATTTAATAAATACCTAATTTATAGTCTGTTTTTTATTTCAAATCACCTAAAAAATTTAGTTATATAAGTTAAAAGAAAGATATGCCAAGTAGTTCAAATGTACCATTTGAAAAACGTGAACTACTAGGGTTAATATTAATCCAACTGCAAACAAATTCGGTGAGGACATTTTTAGGGATAATATTTACGTTGTCTACAAATTTGGTCAAAATTATTACACAACAAAAAAAGTTATTAACAATTTTCGGTTACTTTGACATTTTTCTATATTTTGGCAAAAATATTAATCCCAAGTTAACCAAATTTGCAGGGGACATGCAAATAATGTTTATTGATGTTGTAATAAAATTTGGTTTAAATTTAATTACTAAAAAACAAGATCTAACTATTTATTTAAAAAATATTTACAATTTTTACCCAAATTACTGCCTAATAATGGAATTCCCTTCTTGAACAACCTTAGATTTATGCGTTCCATCACAAAAAGGCCTATTATTTGTATGTTTACAGTTACAAATCCAATAATCCTTACTTTCGGCAACACAAAACCTAACGGGCCTAAAAAAAGACATTATCATAAAAAAATCTTCAATATGTAAAACTATGGCAAACAACATACTTTTGCGTAATTTTCAGCTGCTGTTGTTTGTGTGTACCGTCACAGAAGGGCTGAGATTTGCTACGACCACACAGGCACCATGAATATCTCTTTCCTGCCTCCAAGGCCACTTTAAACGGTTTTTTATCGTAAATTTGACCGTTTTCTTGTTGCTTATCGGCCGATATTTTATCCCCCAATCCATTTTTAGGCAAATCAGGACCGGTTTTTGAATAAAAACACTAAAATAAAGTTTGAGGTTATGTTATTAAGTACATCTTACAAAAACTCACCTTATTTATAATATTTGTGCATATAATTTTATTTGGGGTTGTTTTTAGTAGATTGCGAAAGAATAAGGCCATTTTGCAACGTAAAATTTGAGATTTTCAGGACATGAACTTTAAATTTTGTAGGTGATTTCACTTCAACTGGTATAGAGAAAAGTCAACGGTATAGACTATAGACATTAAAAGCGTAGATAGATTTTTGTTATGATTTTATAAAACCCGCTTAACGTTTCTAAAAGAGTTGTGTGTATAATTACGCAATGAGAAGATTGTGGGATGTAAGATATTGGAAAACAGTATGGTTTTATCCAAAATATTGGTCACAATTTGTGACTCACAAATGAGTCGCCTAGTTTCAAAACCCACTTAATCCACTTTTATTAAAAATCGCATATATATATCGCTATAGCAATACTTCTTTAGTATATAATGTTAAGGTGCATTTAGACCTAGGCGACTCAAATAATAAATAAAATCTTAAATATCTTTGGATTTTATACTGTCAAAGTTTGGGCGCATTCTTTTGGTAATTGGTATACTGGTACATTGCAAAAAAAAAATTCCTTGCATAATAATAAATCCTAGTTTCCGAAAAACGCTTTGTTTTTAAAATACAGATCGAGTATAAATTTTTTTAAACCCTAGATATTTAACTCTTAAAGCCGCTAATAAGAGCGCTGTATTTCTGCTCTATCGGCCTTGTGTTTGTTCCAATGTACGTAGGCAACCCAGGTTACAAATCGATAATCATATCCGCAATCAGGGTGGAAGAAGAAGGTGATATAACTCCTATTTCTACAGTACAGAAGCAAGCGTCCAGATAAGTCAGTATTTCGTTCGTTGTTCGTTAGATGGCGCTTCAAATAAGAACCTAAGGTTTTACCAACGAAATCCATATATTCTATAACAACTTAACTTTTAACAACAAATTATAAGATAACGAAAACCCAAGGAGAGTCTTCTACCCTCCTTAAACGAAAATTACATCTTTTCTTTCAGCATTATTATAATAATTTGCAGAACGATTGGCAATACTGTAGTATAATACTACAGTACTACTAGTATTGCCATTTGTTCTGCCAAAATGCACAGTCGCCACAAACGCACAAAAGTGACGTTGAAATGGTTTTGTTTGAATTTTAATTAAGCTTAGTGGTCTATTCTTTGAAGTTAATCAATGCAATTTTACTAAAAATGGGAAAAGTTTGTCGTGCACCGGGATTAAAACAGGTTCCACTTCAATGCGCCATCTATACAGACTTTTAACAAATACTGACTTATGTGGCCGCCTTCAACCGTTGAAGGCGGCCACATAAGTCAGTATTGAAGTTCAACGACGGAGTTGAATCAACCTCCTTCTTCCACCCTGTCCACAATACACAAAAACTTCCATGTGAGAACCAAAAGCTGGGTTAGAATGTTATTCGCACTGCAAATTCACGTTATATTCAAAAATTTATAAATATTAATTGTAACAAATGTTAAGAGAAAGTTAAATTGGCAGCAAGCGCTTTTAATACTAAGTTCTTTTTTTATCTGGAATGCGGCAACGTTGCAAATTTAGGGTTTTGGTTGGTAAATGTCAAGTTGGTCGCATTGATTAAAACAAACTAAGCTAGTTATAAATCTAAGTTATGTATAAATTATTGTATTTAGGTTACATTGTGCAGTTGTCAAGTTGAGTTGTCGAAATTCGTAGTTAAAAATGCAATTAATTTGGCTTAATTTGGCTTTGGTGGTGCTTGGATGAATAAAATCATATAAAAAGTAGTTAAATATAGGTTGCTTTACGGCCCAGAAGAGAAAGTATTCCTAGCGGATAATAATCTTCGATTTGAAAAGAATTTATATAAAAGAAATTAAAATTTTTTGAGAAAGTAAATGTTGTCCAATGGTGATTAATGTGAAAATAACGTAATATTTATAAAACCAAATTCGTTACTATTTTACTCCAAAAATGTCCATAAGGCGATGTACTTTTTCTTCCATTGAGGAATTTGGCATAATTTCATCAAAATGAAGTTTTGTCCTTAAAAGGGCTTTTACATTCGAATTCGTTGCTATTATTTTTGGCATAATTATCTTTATATTTATAATTGACAAGTAAATTATCAATAATAAATATTATTGTCAATTTGACAGTGTCAAAGTATTTAATTAAATACTAAAAATACTAAGTCAAACTGGCATAAGCCACCAACCTAACAAAAAACACGAGTCCAGATAAAAAAAAGAACTGTAGGTACCTTCCGCTTTAGTGTCAAAAGTAAAAAAAAATCTCAAAACTGCTTTTTTTACTAGTGACACTTTTAAAGTGGGTTTCCGATACAATTGCGTTTTAATTTTTATTATTAGTAAGAACTTATGCAAGCTGTAAAAAATATGTGGTTAGGGTGAAAAGTTACTATAAGTAGGTACCTAACCGAAAATTGGGTATGGCAAAAATTGCCTTTACTTACTGTTTTTTATTTTCATGTTATCGTTTCTCTTGCATTGCATCCACTTTGCTGCCAGATCTTTATTTTTTATAAATTGAAAATATTTAATATTAGATTGGGTTGGGTATTGGAGTTTCTGTTCATATTTCTGCTATAACACAAAACACCTTGTAAATAGTTATTGCTGTTCAATAAATGCAGTAAAAACTCAAGGATTTTACACATGTGTGTAAAATCCTTGGTAAAAACTTTACGAAAAACGTTGAATTTTCTAACTTATGTTGTTCATTATGTTTTCCAAAGATGTGACTTTAATGTAGTTCTGAGTGTGGTGAATTTACAGTACGCGCAAGTAAAAACCTTTATTTTATTTTTATTAGTTGTTTTTTTTCATGTGTTGGTTTACTTCGTATTTTGGTCCAAAGAAAAAACATTCGCTGTATCCACATATGATTGTTGAGTCACTAAAACAAAATAAAATGTTAGTTTATTGTTTTTAACAAGAGTAATAAATTTAAAAAAAAGTTTAAAAATTTTGTAAACAATAATAAAAGTAAATGTGCTATTTTTTAATTTATTGCTAGCCAGATTTTTATATCATAACATGACTAAAAAATATATTGCGATTTTATCTTCCAACTTATTTTGTTATTTATGCTTATAAGGTTTTGCAATCTTTGGTTTGGGCACACCCATATCTCAGTTATTAGATATGGGACCCAAATCAAATTTATATGAGTTTATAAACAAGTTCTGCGCAAGCAGAATTTAAATTGAAGTTTCCGAAAAAAAATTTGTGTGCCCCCCCAAATTAAGATAATTCAAATTAAATTCACTGAATTTTATTAAAAAAAATTCAAGTATTACAGATTTTATACCATTTCTATTTTTTTAAATTTAGTAGGTATAAGAAATAATCAAAATTTAAAATGGTATAAAACCTGTAATTCTTGAATTTTTTTAATAAAATTTAAAGTTTGTCGATAAACTTTAGTGAATTAAATATTGTACCACTTTAATTTGGATTATATTAATTTGGGGGGCAGGAGGATAAGGGGCATACTTAAAAACTAACTTTCGTCGCAAACTTCAATTTAAATTCTCCTTGCGCAGAACTTGTCTAAATAATGTCATTATTTATAATAACAAGTTATGCGCAAAGAGAATTTAAATTGAAGTTTATAAACTCTAGGGATAGAACGATATCACTTTTTTTTGCCGATACGATATATCGGCCGATACCGATATTTACGTGCCGATATACCGATATATCGTATCGGCAAACATAATGCCATCTATTTATACACGACCGAAGCAAAAATCGGGGAAGTCCCGTTTTAATTCCGTTGCAAGGAAACGTTTGTGATTGGTAGTGAGTGACATTTCGGATTTCTGGGAAGCCCCTTATACAGTGTGTATTAAAACGAATAGATACACTTAAATAAAACAAGTGCCAAACCCCGCCCACTGTGGTAGGGATTAAGAATTTATAGGTTTTATTTTTATCGAATTCGTTTGTTTTGTTTTAATGCATTTCTGCAAATAAAAACTAAGTATTGTTTAAAATCCATTAAATTCCAGTTAATGGCGAAAATGTATTTCTTAAAAACTATACACATTTCCCTACGACAGCGTCGGAACTACTGAACAAACACAGTAGATCAAACTGCATGCCGCGCTGTTGCCATATGCTATTATTGTTTCCTAAAAGGGTTGTTTTTCTTATTTTTTAATATTAAAAGTAAGAAAATTTTTATTTTGTTTAATAAAGTATTTCATTTATGCAGTGAAGAGTGAAAAGCGCAATTTTTTTTGCCGATATATCGGCAATTATCTTGCCGATACGATACGATACCGATAATCGGAAACAATTGCCGATATGCCGATATACCGATATCAATATCGGTATCGTTCTATCCCTAATAAACTCATATAGCAAAAGTTGATTTTAAGAATCTTCTAAGAAGATATGACCCGGAATAATGGAATATTCTTAGAAGCTTCCCTTATTGCTAAGAATGTTCTTAGGGACTTTTAAAACATTCAATAGATACCCTTTTAATGATGCAATTAGACTCTTAAAAGCTTCTTAAAACCTTCTTAAAAAGCATCCCAAGAACATTTTAAGAATACGTTTTTGGAATGTTCTTAAAAGGTTTCTTATGGAGCTTCTAGGAAGCTTTTGAGAATATTCCCAAATATGTCACATTCGTAAAATTCTTCAGGAGACGACAAATACGCCTCACTGTCATAATATGACAGTGAAATGTATTTGCGAAATATTTATTTAAAAATATTAAATAAACAATTTGACCTCTAAACCATAAGTTGTATGACATTATTTCATAAAAAGTAAAATTGAAAAATTTTGTGGGATAAGTCAGATTGGATTGAAGTTGAAGATAGTTAGGAATATAATACATAAAAATGTTAATTCAGAAATAAAAAATCGGTATGTATACAATCGGTATGTATACAAATTAATAAATATTTATTTTTAACATAAAATAAAATACCTATAGTAAAAGTATTGTTAATTGTTTTAATTTAACAAATAATTATAAAAAAATATTTTGGATTGTGTTTTTTACTTAGTATTTAATTACTAATTAGGTACTTACGTATGGGTATAAGTATACCTTTATACGTAGTTTATGGTATATATTACTTTTATATAGGTAACTGAACTAAATATGCT